AGATATTTTTTCATTGGAAAGTTCACAGACCCCTCTCCAATCACATAGCCAAAATTGTATGGTTTCTTGTTTTGTTGTTTTCGTACGCACCGCGTGAACAAAGTGACATAGACTTGAAGTGACGGAGATTGCCAAGTCATTGTCCTATGCTCCTCACTATGGTTAGGAGTGTGCCCCCCCCCCCCATCCACTTTTCAAGTCATCGGCCATTAGTTATGGAAATGTCATGACCTTTCCATATTTCAGTGTCCCGTATAGGGAAGGCACAAGTGGCCTTACTAAGGTATGTCCTGTGGGAAACCATTGAGAAAATCAGTCAGAGATGTTGCATTGTGAATGTGCCATTTCTAAATGTCATTTCAAAATACCCTGTTTGTACCATCTTTCATGTCACATCTTGGCTACTGTCATTTCATTGGTCTAAAACTGTTTGCATGTCATTTGACATAGAAATGATGTGCTTGGGCAGTGTGGAATATTTTTGACTGAATTAATGAGTTCGAGTGCATCAGATATTTTTCTTTTGGTAAATGTGGTGGTGTTACCAGTGAAAAAAACAAAGTTTTTAAATAACTCGCCAGCAGCTCACAATAATTGTAAATCATTTCTCAGAATTGACTATCAAACTTTTCACCAATTTTCTTTTTTATGAGGGAGGCGATTTTCATAATGTTTTTAAAATTTTGGAAACTAAACGAAACATATGTTCTCATTCTTGAGAACTTAACAAAATTGTGAGACATCATGTTTCTTCAAAATTGGTTCCCAGAAAAGTCAAATGTTGCCTGTCAATTTTGCCCGTCGGACTATACGTGCTTCTTTTTTTGTAAACAGTAATGTGTTATCTTGAGTACTGTATATTAATAAGGGGCTAGCATTACGACATGTTTTCAGGATGTTCTTTTGTCCGTCCTTGAATGGGAACATTCAGGTCACGGTTGTAAGAAGACATCGTTGAAAAATCAAACCCGCTGGGTAAAATTTCATGGTTCTGCCTAAGAGCAGGAGAAGCTGTTACGTGCTAACAAGAGCAGAAAAATTGGGCTGACCTTAAGCAGGTTCCACAACAGTGTAAGCTGAAATTTGCAAGCATGGCAAGGAATCTGTTGTACATTGCATCATGATTTGTGGCAAATTTGTCCCATGAATTTAGTGTGTTCCTTGTCATGCAGAATGCTCTCAGTCTCTTTGTAATTGGCTGAAGATCTGTCAACAGAAAATCATATGTGGAGGGGACACTTGAAAGGTAAAGTAACCTTGTTGCGCACTGGTGTGTAATTGCTTGTAAATTCTGTCAAGTTGAATGTAAATAGGCATTATTGTACACTTATTGAAATGGGCTTCCCGAAAACTGACAAAAACATAATCTATAGATTAAATATTACAATACATAATGTATCAAGAGACAGCGATGGTAATAAGAAGGCCACATAGTGTCTTTGGACAAAATACATTATATGATCGAATGACATTTTATTTGTTTATTGTCTAACATGTTTCAAGTAATTGTCTTGTGGATACAGATAGTGTTCCTAAATTTATTATTTTTATATTATGGTACTAACTATATAGTATTTGTAGGTTATGTAAATTATAATGTAAAATGTTAAATTGTCAGTATGGGAATGACAAAAAAATGTTGATAATTCTAATACATACTTTGCAAAATGCTCATTTGAAATTGTTTTATTTTGCAAAGTGAAGGGAGTAAATAGTTTTAAAATATAACATGGTTTGAGGGTGGAATACCTTTGGGAGCTTATACACTCTCAACTCATGTTATATTTGTGTAATATTCCCTGGCAGTGGAGAAAGGGGACACCTGTTGGCTCCAGCATGAACAGTAGACAGTGGTTCTTGTCTGCTCCTGACTCAGGCTCCTTGTGCATGTGTGTGGGAGGCATTAATTTATTTTAAATGTGCTCATACCTGTGTTATCTTTGTGTAAGTTCCAGAATAGCAGCAATGCATCCGAGTGGGCCTGACTCTCTTGGTACAACCATTGAGGGGGTAATTGTGCACATGGGTCCATAGTTCCAAGTCAGGTTAGGTTAGGCCAAAAAAAAAAAATATTCGGTCTCTGGTCAACCCAAAGTTCCGGAATTGACGCGGCCACGCGGCTTTTTTTGTTGTTTTTTGTTGTTGTTTTTTTCTTCAAGCTTGGATTGTACAGACAAGGTGGTACTATTTTGCTTTTTTGGTGTCCTCATGTACATTGGTGTCCTCCATAATTTGCCTTGGTGCTTTCGATCATTTGCCTTGGTGCAATTTCCCATTCCTTGGTGCTCTTTGGTAAAAAAAAAAAGAGGAGGTGCGGAAATAGAGGGCGCTGTTGGAGCTACCGCGGAACATTTTGGAGAAAAAACAGATCGACGCGCATGATTAAAATCGACGCGCGCACTGACCAGAGACCGACTTATTTTTTTTTTGGCCTTAATATGGGACATAGAATGAGTATTTACTGTTTTTGAATAACTGCAGAACCACATCTTCATATTTCATGGATAATATGCTCTCATAACATCGTATTATTGGCTCCAAATTGTTTGTTTCAAAGTCACTGTGCTGCCATGGAAAAACGGATATATATGTCCTATCTGAAGAGATATCGGTTATTAATAAATGTATTAATGACAGATTTTTCGAATTGCAATCAACGAAACAAATCTCTCGGTTTTGATGAACCAGTGAAAAAGGAAGCTTCAAATCTAATTTCCTGAACAGTAGTTTTTCTGCTTAAAAGGCCGACCAAAACTTGCTCAGAGCTCATCAATAAAAAACAATTTTTGGATTTAGTATGTTTGTATGCCTGGATCATCGATAAGAATATATATGCACCGTATCGTGTACAGAGACAAGAATTTTTATGAAACAATTTTTTTTTTTGGCACTGTATCTTTTTGTGTTCTTTAATTGTAGCTTTTGCTGGTATTTTTTTTTAACCTGACCTGAACTGAAGCAAGTGTAGTATATTTTTTAGCTTGTCACGCATTGCATACAAATTTAATAGAATAGAATTGAAATACTGTAGACAAGCCTCAGAGCAGACGACCAGGTTAGATTAGAGTTGCTTCAAGTCCTTTCTTGCCCTCTTTTTTGTGTTTTAGTTTCTGTGGTATCATCTGTAATAATCCGTGTATGTAAAGCATTAATATTTATATATTAACATTAAAAAGGTGCAAGGTTTTTTGTATTTTTTGTATGTGTACTGCTTTGCGAAGATAAAATATAATGTTCTTGTTGATATTGTGTAGTTCATGTTGTTTGTACACGACAGCAGAATTAATTGATGTGTAATGAGGACTAAAATATAACAGGTGCTAAAACAAATCTCAGTTATTAACTACCATTTATTTTTTGTCTTCATTTGCATTTGGATCTTTAATCACATAATCCAAACATTTGTGAGTCTGGCACCCTTTTTAGTACCCTTTGGTAAAAAGGGTTACCAATCAAAACCTCATGTGATGTATAATTGCTTTTGGCTGGTTCTCGGCCAAATTTTCTAAGCAATCAGTTTTATGCCGTTGGGTCTTAGCAAAGATGCCAGGGAAGTATTAATGGTTGAAAGGCCTTTTTCCTTGAATTGTTGCCTCCCCCATCTTCCAGAGTTGGCATATGTACTAGTCTTATGTCATCAACATTGTCCCTAAAGTCACAGACAGTCGAAAACTACCCCTGCCATGCCTTTTACACAGGCTAGTCACCAACAGTCATATAATTATTTCAAGCAAGCACTGTGACTATAGTCAAATTCAGTCAACTGACAAATGCAGGCAACATAGCCACAGCTGGCACATCAATCAACTGCATAGCTGTAACAAGTTACAAAAACAGTCACAGCCGGTCAATCCTGCCCTGTGTATAGGCTTGGAGCTCTGAACTGTTTGTAACAGTCACTTGATTGATTTTGACTGAAAGGACAACTTTACACAATGTATGTTTGCATAGGGGGATAAAGTTCCATTTGCATCCATCTGAAAACAATAGGCTAATATGATACTATTTTCTTCTTCTTCCGTGTTTCAATAACATTTTAGTTGCCTTTGGAATTATGACTGTATTGTTCCTCTTTGCAAACTTTGCAAACTCTGTAACAATAATTTTTAATTGCTAGTATTGAAATTTGAGTTAGATTTGTTGAATCAACAACGTACTGGTGTTGTGATGCGAATAAACGAAGAGTAACTGTAAGAAATTAAAAGAAAACTCATATAAAATAAAAGCATTTGTTGTGTTTTTTTCCTCAATTCTTTTTTGCTGGCACAGAGAGGGCCAGCCTGGTGTCCTATTTGTACCTCTGACCTACTGACTGACTGACTGACTGACTCCCCCAATTTAGGAGCTGTTTACACAACTTGCCTATTCATGTCTAATATTAAGTATTCCACGTGTGCATTAGTCCGGCGCCACTTGTTTTGTACGGAGGCAATGCAAGTCAAATCTCCAGGCGAACAGCAGAAATGGATTTAGCATTTCAATCACGTTACCAATAAGACTTATTGTACAATTGTGCCATGGATAAGCTTTACTAGGTTTGCCTGGTTCTGTGTATTTTGATATGAATCCAAGAAAGATGAGGGTGTTTTGGGATTTACCATTTGTTCTAAAATATAGGCTGTGACTAATTGCCGTGGTCAAATCTTGGTTGTCGCACAACACCGCCATGCAAGTTTCTTTGCCCCACCCCTGCCCTACTATCTAATCCCCTCTATTCCCCCATCCCTGTATAGGCCTATATAGTTCATGTTGTTTGTAATGACCATGAGAAACTGAATCAGGTCTAGAAACCCAGGGTCCAGAGGTCTATTGTCCATAATACCAGAAGACCATCGTCCGGAGGACCAGGGTCCAGAAGACCATCGTCCGGAGGACCAGGGTCCAGAAGACCATCGTCCGGAGGACCAGGGTCCGGAGGACCAGGGCCCAGAGGACAAGGATCCAGAACTCCAGGGTCCAGAGGACCAGGACCCAGAGGACCTTGCAAGGCCCACAGGACCATGCAAGGCCCACAGGACCATGCAGAGCCAAGAGGACCATGCAGGGCCCGGAGGACCAAGGACACTGGTCCAGAGGACCAGGCATGGACCCAGATGACCATGCAGGGCCATGAGGACCATGCAGGGTCCAGAGGACCATGCAGGGTCCAGAGGACCATTGAGGGCCCGGAGGACCAGGGTCCATATGACCAGGGTCCATATGACCAGGGTCCATATGACCAGGGTCCAGAGGACCAGGGCCCGGAGGACCAGGGCCCAGAGGACCAGAGCCCAGAGGACAAGGCTCCAGAACTTGAGGGTCCAGAGGACCATGAAGGATCCAGAGAACCATGCAGGGTCCAGAAGACCATTCAGGGCCCAGGGGACCAGGGTCCAGAGGAAAAGGCTCCAAACATCCAGGGTTCAGAGAACCAGGGCCCAGAGGCAGTGGCGTCACCAGACTTTTCAGTCTGGGGGGCACAGGGGGGGGGGGCACCAGCATTTGATGGAGGGGGGGGCACTTAGGTGGATACGGATCGCCGTCCTGGGGGAGGGGTCTCCTCCCCTTTGGAAAATTTTCGCATACGGAGGATGGGCTAGATGCAAAATGGTGCCACATTTGATGCTAAATTCGATCTGAAGATATCTCCAGAAATTGCTATTTTTGAGGTAATGATTTTAACAATGCGCAGAATTTTGCAGAGGATAGGGGGGGGGCACCAGCATTTGATGGGGGGGGGGGCACTCGGGGGGGCACTAGGTTTTCCAGGGGGGGCACGTGCCCCCCCTGCCCCCCCCCCCCCCCCCCCCCCTTGGCGACGCCACTGCCGAGAGGACCATTCAGGGGCCAGAGGACAAAGCTCCAGAACTCCAGGGTTCAGAGAACCAGGGCCCAGGGGACCATGCAGTGTCAGAGGACCCAGCACACTGGTCCAGAGGACCAGGCTCCAGAGGACAAGGGTCAAGAGGACAAGGCTCCAGAACTCCAGGGTCTAGAGGACCAGGGCAAAGAGGACCAGGGCCCGGAGGACCAGGTCCAAGATGACATAGCAGGGCCCAGAGGATTAGGGCCAAGAGGACAAGGCTAAAAAAAAAAAAAACAGGGTTCAGAGAACCAGGGCCCAGAGGACCATGCAGGGTCCAGAGGACCATTGAGGGCCCGGAGGACCAGGGGCCAGAGGACCAGGGCCCAGAGGACCAGGGTCTAGACGACAAGGGCCCAGAAGACAAGGGCCCAGAAGACCAGGCTCCAGAGGACCAGGCTCCAGATGACCCAGAGGACCAGGCTACAGATCTCCAGGTCCAGAGGACCAGGGCCTAGAGGCCCAAGGCCCAGAGAACCATGGCCCAGATGGCCATGCAGGGCCCAGAGGACCCAGAACTTTGGTCCAGAGGACCGGGCTCCTGAGGACCAGGGCCCAGAAGAAAAGGGCCCGGAAGACCAAGCTCCAGAAGACCAGGCTCCAGAAGACCCAGAGGACCAGGCTCCATAACTCCAGGACTCAGAGGACCTGGGCCCAGAGGACCACGCAGGGTACAGAGGACCAGGCTTCAGAGGACCGTGGCCCAGAGGACCATGGTCCAGATGAACAGGTCCCAGAGGACCAAGGTTAAGATGTTGCTTCAATAATGCTCTTACTATTTATGTTCACTGCCCAAGTTTCCCACTCTGTGTGAATGTTTAAGTTGCCTTTTAATATAAATCGAAATGTCGGAAATATTATGTTCCTTACCAAGAAATAATTTACATGAGACTCTTCGTTATTCCACAGAGTAAAAAATTAACCAGTCCCTCTCGATTAGACTGCCCTGATGTAATTCGGCCTTGCATAATAAGTTCGTCAACTGGTTGTGCTAAATTCGTTTTTCTTTAAGGAAACAAACATGTATAGCGCAACGATGATGACACATGTAATTATAGACGGTGTTGGTCAACACGGGCGTCGCTATAGTATGAAGGGGGTGCTGTCATGCGGCCGTCACGCACTGAAATGAGTGTGTAATGGATATGTTCCATCCAAAATCATCCTTTTAACTCCGTTTCTAATTTCCTCTCCAAATATTATATGAACTGTTAATTATGTTGGTTACTAGTCTTTGAATGGATTTATTATTATTTTTTCAGTGGGATAAGTTCAACTTCAATCGTCAAAATGTGGCCCTTTCACATTGAAAAGTTCTGGAATTTTTAACGTCGCAAAACTGCGTGTGCACACTCTGTCGATCCGAGTGCGCATACCCTGTGGAGGCCCGTCCCCTGCAATTCGTAAGTGGAACTGTATATGCGAGTGGCGCGGCGGATCGAGCGCGAAGCCCTATATGTGGGGTCGGAGTCCGAGCCCGCTAAAGGGATTATGATCTAAGGTGCAATCTGAGGCACTTCCTCTGGCCACTTCCTCCCTGACTTTTTGAATGAAATGTGCTCGTATTAAGGGAGATATGGGGCATAGCTCATCAAAGTTGATATTGCGTTTATTACTTTGAAAAACGCAGCCGCATCACGGCGTCCAGTCAGTACATTCCAGTAATTGCCAGACATGAAGGATTTCAGAGTTGTTGAGATATTATAATGGAATTCGATGTTTCCAAGATATTTTATCACAGAAAACACGGTAACATGGATATCCATACGCTTCCGTCACCCAGACAATTGACAGACCTATCGCCGTTTGCGAGTTAGCCACGCCCCTTAGGCACCCCTTTGGAATTGTGTACGTTAAGTTTTGTTTTTCTCAGATTTTGCTCGTTGTATATCTTTTTTAAATTTTCCATTTGTATATCATGTAATTGGACAATATTCCACAGGCTGCGTTGACGCGATATTCTACCGCGATAGCAGTGGCATAGCCACCGGGGGCGTGGGGGGGGGGGGGGGCGACCCCCCCCTGAAACCTTGTCCCCCCCCCAGTCGCCCCCCCCCCCCCCCCCCACTGAGATTTTGAGTTTCTAAAAAAAATATCATTGATCTAAATCTAAATAGTAGCGAATGATCCACATGATGACCACTGAGAAACGACCCTTCGACCGGCGACCGCGGACCAGTAAGCTGACAACCGGCGTGACATAGCGCATAATGATAATCTAAAATGCGTATTAACACCCACTGCACTGCTCGCTCACACCACGGAACACGTATAATTATAGACAGGTGGTCCGTGGGTCACACAGTTTCAGTCGGCGATATCACGCGAATTGGCCACGCACAAACTTTTTCCTCCATTCATATAAGCTAAATAATAATAAAAGACCAATTAAAATTCCTTGAAATTAGTGGCGTAGCCACGGGGGGGGGGGGGGGGGGGGGGGGGCGTGGTGGGGGACAGCCCCCCCCACACGCCCCCCAGTCGCCCCCCCCCAACCTTGTCGCCCCCCCAGTCGCCCCCCCCCCCCCCCCCCACTGAGATTTTGAGTTTCTAAAAAAATTATCATTGATCTACATGACGCCATGGGCGTCAATCCTGGGGGGACAGGGGGACTGGTCCCCCCCCCCTACTTTTTGAAGGGTGGGGGACACAATATCAAATGTCCCCCCCCCCCAGATTTTTGAACTCGTGTCTCATTTACAGGGCCCCATTATGTACTACAATGTATCTTTTGCAATGTACAATGTACAATGTATCCTATAGCTCAGAATTCTGGTAGCTGGTTCAATGACTCCAACCTCGAAAACAATGTTCAAAAATTTTCTTATGCCTTTAGCTGAGAAAACCTCGAAAATTATGTTTAAATTATTATCTTTTGTGCTAAGATAATTATTGGTTTAAGTGGTAAGAAATTGCCTCAGATCACACCACAGAGCATCGAGAATCCAATTTTCGAACCCCACGCCTATAGCTCAGAATACCGATAGCCGATTCAATGACTCCAACCTCGAAAACGATGTTCAAATAATTATCTTTTGCTAAGAAAATATTAGTTAAAGCATGGAGGAAAGTGGTAAGAAATTGCTTCAGATCACACCACAGAACATCTAGAATCCAATTTTTTTCGGGCCCTTAAGCGGGCCCCGAACCCCCACGCCGTAAGGGCTTCGCGCTTCGCGCTCGCATCAGTTCTGATCAAGGTATGTCCACCCCCCCCCCCCCCCACTTTTGAGAAGCGATTGACGCCCCTACATGACGCCCCCCCCCCCATGAAATGTTCCAGCCCCCCGGCGCCCCCCCCCCCCCCCCCACCCCACCCCACTGAAAAATTCCTGGCTACGCCACTGCGCGATACTTATTTTGGAGTCACACACGCGCGTGGAGGGCCTTGTGCAAGTTTATTTAATCTTCTGCGGCAAAAAAATATATTGGTGGCGCTCTGTAACAAACGCTTGCACTTTGTGCATGTGCGACGTGCATACATGTGCAGCATGTGGCTAGCTTGCTGAAGCTGCAGGATTTTGTTGTCATGTAATAACTTTCATACGTGTATGTAGGTCCATGCTGACATCATGGCTGAACTATTGAAATCAAGTTGACGACAGCAGTAAGATTCGGGACGAGTGTAATATTCATTATTACATGCCACTTTGCTGGTTACTGAATTCATGAACATGAAAGGGGAATATTTCCATATCTGGCCATCAGTAACTTGTCAATGTCAAGTGACCTTGTGTAAAAACCGAGACTGGTCTGAAAATTTCTAACCTAAGTATTTTTTCATTAAATACTTCAATATTTTCCCTGCTAAATTTGACTTTTTAGGATATCACTTTCTGATGGCTGATAAGGGAAAAATTAGTGATGTCCATATATATGTATTCCCTAAGAGAATGTAATAATATCCACTTCTAAAGCCTAGCGGGTAGCCATAACCCGTTTTATGGATACCACCTTCTTTGGGGGCATAACAATGAAAATACGTCCCATCATGCAACAGTAGCTGAGCATGATGGGATGTATTTTCTTTGTTTTGCCCCCCCCCCCCAAATTGCAAAGATGGCGGTATCCGCAAAACGGCTCATGGAGTACGAGTAGGTGGCCTAGTACTAGGAGATTCCAGTGCATTTTCAAAGTACTTTCTTATGAAATTGGAATGTTCACTGGAATGTAGTGGCTGTGCAGCAGCCATAATGCAAAGTTCAACCAAGTTTTTCAAATTCAAAGCCAGTTTTTTTCCAACGCTGGTCGGCCGACCAGCGTTGCAAAAATACATTTTTTCTTGAAAATGTCAGCACACTAGGAGCCATAATTTTACAGGATGCTTTAGACTGTCAATCCCTAACAATTCAGTAAGGTATTTCGTGATTATTTGATCATTTCGGTTTTTTTATGTTTGCAAATGTTGTATCTTCCCTTTAATTGCATCTGTATAATTTTTTATATGATATGGAATTTGCGTCTGGGAGATGTTAATCTTATATATTGGGTTTAGCCCTTCACCGACGTATATTATAAGCACTGTTTACTCAGTGTTGTCTAAGGGCTTGCGAGAAAATGATGTCCTTAGATGTCAAAGATAAATGATTATGTGCAAGACATCACTGAGAATATGATGAAGTAAGGCAGTCAGAGATAAGATTTCAGAAAACTTGTTTCAGTCTCAAATTTCTCTCAAATTTATAGACCAAATTTGAGGTCATGAAATAACTGTTCATTTCCAATTCCCTCCAAAGTGTTTTTTTCTCACAATGGAACTTGATACATTTGTCGAATAGGTACTAATGACGTCACACTTTGTTTATGTGTGTGCTTTCCTATGGTGCTCAGTGGACCGTGGGCGCCCACTTGCTCTGTAGGAAAGTGCACATGTAAACCGTGTCATTAGTACAGTGGCTTATTCAGTTAAAGGGAAGATACAACATTTGCAAACATCAAAAAGCGAAGTGATCAAATTTTCACGAAAAACCTAACTGGATTGTTAGAGAATGACAGTCTAAAGCATCCTGTAAAATCATGGCTCCTGGTGTGCTGAAATTTTCAAGAAGAATTATATAGTTTCCAATGCTGGTCGGCCGACGTACCAGTGTTGGAGAAACTGGCTAATTTTTCATATTTAGTTATTATCCGCATTTTCTTTGCAATCGATTACACACCTGTGAAGGGGTACAAGCCAACTAGACTGATACTCTGACCTTAAAATACCTCAATGTCTAAGTGGGGTCAGGGAACCAGACTACAAGAACATGATTGGTTTTCTTGTATTTTTCCAGCATCTACATTTGTACAAGCCCAAAAACGTGAAACATATCAGTTTCACAATTTTTTGCTATAACAAACTAAATCCTCCAAATCCATTTATTTCGGAAATTTGCAGCAAAAGCAAATGTTGTAGATTCCGAATAAACTATTGACTGAAAAGGGGTAGGTTTGGAGCCCATACCAGAGTTGCAAATGGGCATGTATTTTAAATTTTTATGCATTTATTCTGTTTGTTTATCACACAGGAAGTCAAGTCAGTTTGGTAGCTTGATTGATACATGCTCGTGTCAAGATGGCTTCTGCATCTAATATGAGAGAGGAACAGCTTGCAACGTTAAGAGAAGAACTTGTGGAGCTCTTGAAAGCAAACCAACCTCACATAAACCTTGGGAATCTTCAGGGGCTCTACAGCAAGCATTTTAAGAAGGACCTCGCCGTCAGGAAATTTGGCGTATCCTCAGTCAAGCAACTGGTGCCTTTGCTCGGGGACGTTGTGGAAATAGTCACCGTCGGGAAAAGTAGATTTCTGATGTTGAAAAAGTTGCCAGTGGCCACAAAAGCACAGAAGAAAGGTGGAATTAGGAATTATATCCCAGTTGAAAACACCACGGCTGCAGCCAAAGACACCGGAAATCTGTCAGCAGGGTCAGAGCCCAGCTCCAAGAGATACCAAACAGATCAATCTTCGGTGTGCAGAAGAGATACCTTGATGGACTTGAGGAAGGATTTGGTGGAATTGTTTCAGAGTTCCCCTACAGGGTACATCGAGCTGAACTGCCTGCCAGAAAAGTATAAGTGGAAGTACAAAAGAGCCCTGAACCTTGCTGAATATGGCATCACCACAGCTGACTCGGTTGCTTATGCATTCAGGGACATTCTTGAGGTTGTCAGTCAGTGCGATAACATCAAGCATCAACATGTCCGAATTAAGCCAGAATGCACTGTCGCCCAACAAAACAGAGGTGTGGGTAAGCAGACCAAGCCTAACTATATGCAGGAGAAACTAAAAAAGTTGCTTCAAAATTACCCTGGAGGTTTGAAACTAAATGCAATCGGCACAAAATATGCACAAGTTTACTACACAAATGCACCCAAGAGGCAGGCGATAAAAGATGCGTGCAAGGATGTCTTTGAATTCTTCAGTAGGTGCCAGACACCCAGCCGCCGGCTCCTTCGGCTGAAACCAGGTCATAGCAAGGCAGGTGGTGGCGGGAGAGCAAGTGAAGCCGTCACCTCAAGTCAGCAACTCCCTCACCAATTCCCTCCGCAGCTACCAAAGCTGCCTTTGAAGGAACAGCTACAGGGGCAGCCCCACAAGATGGCAACCAGTGTCAAACAACTGAACACAAATCAATGCTTTGACGATGCAGTCCCAAGTTCAAGAGACAAACAACGGAAGCGGTCTGCATCAACTCAGCGACAGCAGCAGCAATCCAAGAAGCCAAGACAAGCATACCTACCACTGGTTCAGCCCTTTGACACTGGAAGTCTGTCAGGAGGGACAGGGTCCAGTTCCAAAAGATATCAGCCAGATGACTCTTCGACGTGGGGAAGATATACCTTCATAGATGTGAAAAAAGATTTGGTGGAATTGATTCAGAGTTCACCTGAAGGGCATATTGAACTGAACTGCCTGCCAGAAACCTATGAGCGGAAGTACAACAGAGCCCTGAACCTTGCTGAATATGGTATCACCACAGTTGACTCGATTGCTGATACATTCAGTGACATTCTTGAGGTTTTCAATCAGTGCGAACACACCAGGCATCTTAGTGTCCGCAATAAGCCAGAAGACGCAACTGCTCAACAAAACAGAGTCAGTGGTGAAGGGGCCCAGTCTAACAGCTTTCAAGAGGAAGTGAAAGAGTTGCTAAAAGATTTCCCTAAAGGTTTGAAGCTAAAAGCAGTTGGCAAACAATACGTGAAAAAGTACCACAAACATACACCTAAGAATAAGGTGATAATACGTATGTGTAAGGATGATTTTGAAGTATTCAGTACCGGTATGTGCAAAACACCCAGCCGTCGGTTTATTCGGCTGAAACCAGGTCATAGCAAGGCATGTGGTGGCGGGAGAGCAAGTGATGCCGTCACCTCATTTCACCAACTCCCTCCCATTGTGTTCAATAACACAGGGCTAGGGACCTCTTTGCAAGCAGCCCCGGAGGGCTGCCAAGATCCATGCCCAGTAGGGATTGCAGGAGTCGCAGCAGGAGGTATTGGCGTCGGTGGATCTGGTTCATCAGGAGCCTCACAAGCTGTAGCTGCCTCACCAGTTCCATTACTGGGTCTCAGTGTTGGTGCTGTAGCTGAGAACCCAATTACACCACCTGGACAGGGTCACCTCGGGCCTGTGTTATGCCAACAAAACCAGGATCAGCAACAGCAACCACAAAAACTTAAGGAAACTGCAGTCGGTCTTGTGCAACAAGAGCAGATACGAAGTGTGTCAAAAGTACAACCTCAGTGCAGGGACGATGCAGTCGAGAGTGCAAGAGACAAACAACAGAAACGGTCTGCATCAGAGTCAACTCAGCAACAGCATCAGCAGCAGCAATGCAAGAAACCAAGACAGGTATACCTACCACCGGATGAGCCCTATGGGGAAATGTGTCCATCTCTTTTGTCGTCACAAAGAAGCAGCTCAAAGCAACAAGCTCAAAAACAGAGCACCCTGGATGAAGTGGCCCAGACCCTTATTGGCAACCTTGCTGCAGCCAATAGGTTAGTGACAGTGAAACGTGTGGTAGAACTTCTAAAGCAGCATTTTCAGGCCACCAGTTTGGAAAACCTTGGGCTGCAAAACGAAAGCCAACTGCCTGTCCTGAATCACTTGATGAGGCTCCAGTCCAAAGTCAATGTCTTCATCCAGGCATTTGTCCAAGTCAGGCCCATCTGTACCCTCCACGAACTCCGGGAATCTCTAGCGATGGTAGATGCCCCAACCGGTTCCACAGAGAAGCTTGACTATGCTGCCCTCCACCTAGGTCCCTTATCCAAGCAGCCCCTGGTCTATTATTTCTTTAAGTTTCCACCAACCAAAGATGACAGCGATATCCCCAAGATCACAACCCTTCATGTCTTGGAAATTCTGAACAAGTATCTGTCAGAAAAAGACTTGTGGAGAAGTTATGTGAAGTTGGAGGACTTCATGGCATATGTTGTAGAAGACTATGGTGTGGAAGGGCCTTATGACTTGGGTTTGCGAATCCGGAGTGTTGCGCTTGCCATTTCAGTAAGTATCATTTTATTTGGTAAAGGCTATTTACAGTTTTAGCACATTACTTATGCCCAAACCTTGTAACAATTAAATTTATTTTTGTATCAGAATTATTATGTTGCAGCTTTCTTTATCTCACTGATACTTGTATTAACCCTAACATACCTGAATCCATCAAAATCCACATCCCTGTTTCGGGGGATTTCGGCAGATTCAGGATACCTCCCTATTGCACAAACTGGGGGATTTTGATGGATTTAGGATTGCAAGCAAAGCGGAACTGCAGGATTTTGATGGATTCAGGATACCTCTATATTGAACTGTTGTGGGACTTTGGTTGATTCAGTATCTCAACAGATTTACTCTCGCCTAACTGGTGCATTCTGATGGACTCGCTGGCCACCAACATTGATGGATTTTGGAGGATTCAGGATACCTTCTTGTAAAAGAGCCGTAGGGGTTAGGGTTAATAAAATGCTTATTTGAATAATTGGATGGTTTCCAACTATAAATTGAAAAACAAGGTAGCTTTTGCACCAAATTTAAAAGGTTATTAATAAATTGATTAAGGAGAGACCCATTGCACTTCTCATTTGTCTTTATAATGCCAAACAAACGAGTCACAGATCAAGATGACCTAAATTGATAATAAATGCTTATTTTATTTATATCAGGCACTGAGGACTGCCTATCGTGAACAGAAAACTACCATGGACCAGGCTCGTGAAAACTTGAAGACTTCCATGACTGAAGAGGTGGCTGAAGCAATGGAGAAAATCCGCAAAGCCGTGATATCACAGGCGGACATCACTGGGCACCAGTTTCCCTCGGGTCCTCAGCTGGAGGTCCGGCGCCGCTACTGCAACACGACAGCGGCAGACGCAGTCAACAGGGTGTTCAACAACGCCTACGAGCTGTGTGCCTATAGCATGCCCCTGCGCCAGTTTTGCAATGCGCTGAGGAGAATGGTGATGGACAGGCTGAGCCGGTCGCTGTTCCAGCTGGCTATCTGTAGTGGTGACCTGTGTCGGCCGGATGACCTCCCAGAGGCAATTCTGGGTTCTGACGACAAAGACGAGGAGGAAATTGGTCCGGAGGTGGAGCAAATCCCAGTGAAATCCAAACCAACTGAAGGTACACTTTGTTTTATTAACCCTAACCCCTTTGGTATTTTTACTAGAAAGTATCCTGAATCTGCCAAAATCCATCAATCTAGCCATGCAAAAAAATAAATATGGGTGGCCAGTGAGTCCATCAGAATCCACCAGGTAGCCGAGAGTAAATCTGTTGAGATCCTGAATCCATCAAAGTCCCCCAACTGCTCAATATGTAGATGTCCTAAATCCATCAAAATCCGGCAGTACCGCTGGGCTTCATGTCCTTATGGAGGTATCCTGATTCCACCGAAATCCTCCAAAACAGGGTGTGGATTTTGATGGATTCGTCTGTGGCTTTATCTTCATCTCGGGCTTCAGAATCATGTAGAAGACTAATGTCTAAAATAAGGGAAGTAACCCAAAATTTTGCCTTGGAATGTAATGTTCATTTACTGCTGAACTATTATGATTCAGAGTCCCTCAAGTCTAGGGCTAAAAAAATTTCATCAAGGCGAAGGCAGATATCAAGCTGAGTTTTTCGAAAACCTCTGTTAAAAAGAAACTCATACAAATTCATGTGTTTACAGCCGACTGCTCCCAGCTTCCAAAAATCAATCGAAGCCCAATTGTGGCAGGAAAGTAGAAGGAGCTGGGGTGTACTGTGCTCATTTTTACGAAATCTTTTATAACATTGTAGCAGTAAATGGGTTAAACAATCAAGACATATGCGGCTAAAGTAGTTGAGGGTACCAAATGAATGGGAGAAATGTACTTATTATGACAGCGTCGCCTTCGGCTAGCCGGTCACGTTTATCGACATAATGAGCCAGCTAGTCAAGTTCTCCTCTGGAATCCTGAAGCCCCTCGACGAAAAGGTCGTCCCAACATGACCCTGAAAACATCCATCGAGCAAGAAACTGGTCTGAGTGGTCCATCTCTTTCCAACACTATGCTCGACAGGGACAGTTGGGCCCAACTCATCAAGTCATCATGAAAATGAATGAATGAAGAAGAGAAGGCCTTTGTAAAAAGATCTGAAAAGTGTTTGTGCTCCAACTTTGTGTTAGATGAATAAACAACATTAGGTCAAGCTTTCCAAAATATTCTATGGAAAGTAAAAAAAAAAACAACATGGCTATAAACCTTTTTTTTTTTGCCTCCTAGATCAAGTCCGTGAAGAACTACAGTGTTACCTAGAACGCATTCAGCATGGAAATGTCAATCTCAGAGACCTTGCCCGCATCGAGGACAAACTTTGCCAGCATTTTGGCTTTCAGGACTTTGTGTCGCTCAGCCGAGCCAGGAAAACCTTCCTGCAGTTCCTCGCACTGGATCATCCAGAGGTAATCAACTTTTCTTCCCTTTTGAAACATTTTTTTTATCTTCAGTATTTTTGTTTTGCTGATTTAACATTGAACAGTCAAACCTTTTCGCATTTCTCCTGTATTTGGCAGGTGTCATTAACTGATGGGCGTCAACGAGTGTTTTCAAGGCATAAAAGTTCAAGCTTGTGCTCAGAGTTGATTCTAGTCACATTCAAATAAGAATAATCTTGAGACTATATTGAGATATTTTGAGAATTTTTAGGGTCTAAACTATATAGATAAACACGCTGGTATTCTTGTATTTCTTTTTGAGACATTGTATAACTAAGGTTATGCGGGAATGATTGACATTGTAATCACTTTGTGGTGTCAGATCTATAAAATTATTGCAAAAATTTGCAAAACATACTTCTCTGAACAGTCTTCTTGTGTACATTTTGACATTTGCTCAGGTTTTGGAGAGTGTTGGCGGTACCCTGATGGGGCTGGTATCCAGCAATCCCAGCCAGGGGTCCATCTACAGACCCTCACGCATGGATCTGGTGGAATTCATCCGACAGTGCGACCCTTGCAAAGTATGTGTTTTAAGAAGTCATATATTTTTGAATTTATATCTCCCTTCAACTTGTATTGGGTTTAAAACTCGTCATCGACAGATTCTATCTCCAGATTGGCTGTGAGTGTGTCACGTGATATCGGCTATTTTCACTTGATCATCTACACCCATAAAATATAATACCCATAGCAACCACGCTACCAAAGCACTTATGTACTTGCTGTTGTGTTTCCCATTCAAACAGGATCTTCCAGGATTCCAGAGGAATAGGCTAAAATTTCTTTCATTGAAAAACAGGATTTTGTTACACACAAAACGGAAGAAACTTCACATTTTGGGAAAATTCAAGTTTATTTGATGTAAATGTATATATGATTACCCCCTTAGGCCATCAGCCTGGGGGTTTGGTCGGTATCAAATGAGGGGAATAATGCTCATTGTGATATTTGGCAAGGTATGCACCCATATGTGATAGCATTGCAGCGGTGGCAGCTTTTTGGGTACTATCATAAAAAGGGTGGGGGGGCAAAACATGCTCTTTACCACATATAATTAATCCGGTAATAAGAAAATAGGTGGCCATTTTGAAAAAAAAATTAAAAGTGATAACACCCACAAAAACTGCCACCGCTCACACTGCAAAGCTTTCACACATTTTCCAACTCTAGATGTGCATACCTTGCCAAAAATCGCTCTGAACATTGCTCCTTTCGATCATTTAATACCGGTGGCCAACTTTTTGGAGCGAAGCTGATAGCCTACCTAGTCACTAGATTTAGTGCTTTAATCGTGATATATCTCAAGTATACTATTTATGTGAAGTAACTGAATCTTGTTGCAGAAACAAATGTTGGAGTTCATGGAGTAATCGGTGTCCTAATGATAGGCAGAGCATACTGTCAGATACGTTGAGTTCCCCCTGGTTCTCGTCAGATCCTCACGAACTCCCACTAACTAAGAGATGTCGTGTCATGAGGTGCAGCGGCAAACTTATTCTTATTATTGCCGAAACAAAATGAGAATTAGAGAAATCTATAACTTTCCCTTTCAGGAGTCTCCAGACACCCTGGATATCTGCCTGTGTGCCCACTACCAGGTCAGCAGCGTGGAGGAGCTAGGGCATGGACCTGTCAATCGGCTGAGTCAACAGATCATCAAGATGGCTGCCACAGTAAACCAGCCAGAGGAGCAAAATGCTGTTATTTACGAGACGGCTTTGTGTGCATCAAATAGGTGTGGTTTTAGTGACTCAACATTTGTGACCCAGCCCATCAAAATGAGTCATATGTTGCCAAAATTACTTTTAAGTAATACAAATCTTAACAAATCATACATAGTTGAAGTCAGCGAGAATAGACAACAGTTTGACCCACAAAATATAGGAATATATTACAATGTCAAACTAAGCGATACATCAAAATGAAGAGCTCTTTCAACTGAACATAAATTACGAGAATGCTTCAAAACTCATTTTGTGTGGTCCGGTGACATATTTTTATTTACAGCTTGCTAAATGGCAAGGCCAAACAGTTGTTTATTGATGCAATTTAATGCATTGGAGTCCCTTAAACTATACCTCTGCAGTTTAAATAAATAAATAGGGTGAGTGGTTGGGTAAAATGTGAATCAACTGTCAGCATTTGCTTTGCTGTTTGTAGGCTTGGCTGCACGTTGCCTGCTGACCAGCTTACAAATGTTTTCTCTCCTATACACATTCTTTTGAAGGCGGAATGAGAGTAAACACAAGGAGGTCGGCTTGTTTGGCTCTCAGAGCCTGGAGAGCGCCCTCGCTTGTCTGGCCTCTGCCCCTCTGCTGGAGGATCTAGCCGAGTGGTCTCATTGGTCGATGGTCTTTGAGCCGGAACATGGAAACCTGAAAGCATTTCTGGAACGAAATCCTGGTATGGCATTTGTGTGATTAAAATTTCCTTTTAATTTCAATTCTTGGTTCCTTTTTTATTATTTGATTTTAAGAGTTGAGTGCATGTTTCTTTTCCTTTTTGTAATATTTCTTTCAAAAATGGTAGCATGGTGCTGTTTAAAAACATTTTATAGTCCCTTTATTGTAGTTTGTAATACGAAATTTAAAATGTTTTTTGAAATTGTACAAACTGTCTGATGATTTTTTTCACATCTTCGTAGTAAATAAGGAATTCAGGATTTTTTTGTCTTGAACTTCAGGTCAAAGTGTGTCGCCACCAATAGAAATCAATGCCCTGGAGGTCCGTCCTGGAGTCTTGCTCCGATTGGCCACAGATACGTCACCTGACCACTTTGCCGCAGCTGCAAAGCGCGGCGACAGCATCAACACCGTCGGCCATCTTGCCTCTCTAGTGGCCAAGGAGGGCCTTACCAATGCACCACTGGCATTGCTTAGCAACCACATGGAGACGGCTCTGAATATTCTGGCCGTTGAGTCTGAGGGAGAGGAGATGAAACACAGGGCTGTGATTGGTTTTGTGCTGGACTGCCTAATGGCTGTGCCTCTCCTCATTGGACAGACAGTTGTTAGGCAGGTGTGTATTGACTTTTTTTTTTAAACTCTTTGACAATAGAATTAATTGATTAGATTTATGAAATGAAAATACTCTGAAATCAATGCTGAGCTGAAACGTTTCTTCATCACCAATTTGAGGTATTTTTTGGCCAAAATATTGGTTCAGGTATACAAAAAGTTCAAAGCTTTGCTACTATTCAGGTAGTTGTAGCACCCAGAAAAAACTGAGGTCTGAATAACATCCAAGTCGTGAAATGTGATGCGATCAAGCTAACTGAGTGGTTTGTCGACCCTGGTCAATTTTTCTTTTTTTACAGATTTGAAAAGAGCACAATCTCGGCATTCCTGTTGTGAACACCGCATGCTGGTACCGTCTTTAGTTCAAAAATTATAGAAGTCGAAACACCAAGAAATGTGACGAAGTGATGTGATGAAGTGGTCCTATTTTGGCCTGAATCTCCAAATGAAAATTCTCGACAAACAACTCATTTAGCTTGATCGCATCACAAATGTCCAAAGAGTCATCTCACTTGAAAATTTGCGAAGTTGGTAAATTTTCTGGAAGTTTTGCCTCGAGAGATGTAAATGTTAACATTGGATTTTGCCATTCACCAATCCCCTTGGAAAAACATTCAAAGCGTTGAACGGAAGTGGGACTTTAAACTACCGTCTCTTTACCAGTGCAGCTGTTTGCCACTTGACCACAATTTCCTTGACAAAAGGCAAAACTTAATGAAAATATTTATTATGCTGCTCTTGGTTACTGCAGGTCATCTTAAATCCCCTGACAACCGTCATTGGGTCAGAGGTCAAATCAAGACAGTTGATTCTCAAGGCCTGCCGCACTACCACCCAGAGGACAAAAATCCAGAGGCTGGGGCTCCTGCTGGGCATCGGCCAATGGAAGAACAGCTTCACAGAGGAAAGGATGCCCCGGAACATGGATAAGGAGGAAGACTATGTAGAGGACTTCTTAGGAAGTGAGGACGAATGTTACTTCAGTGATTTGCTCGGGATGAGCAAAGCTCCTAAACGTACTGAGGTGACAATTTTATAGATTGATCTGAGTTCTTTCTGGTAATGAATCTGAAGGTCCTTTAATGTTTCAGCTGAATTGAACAATATAACTTTTTGTAAAAAAACCCCAAAATTACAACATGATTCTGAGGTTAACCAGTTAATACTGGAAAATGTGTAAACACGACCTGGTAATGTATATTCACAGGGGTTAAATCGTCAAGAGTCTTTGGTGGTGTGCACACTGTATTTTGAACTTGAATTGCCTACTATACACGGCCTGTGGTGAGAAGCATCGTATAAATATTGTAGTGTCAGTATTGGTAGTGTTTGACTTGACATAAAAATTTGGCCGATATATCAGTCAGTATCAGTTTTTCTGTCAAAAATAATCCTGGTGGCTAAGTTGTAAAGCATGCTTATTCTATTCGTGAGTCTGGGCTTTGGATTTTATTTGTAGAACTTGTTGGAAAAAAACACTGTAATAAGCTGTAATAAGCTATCATATTTTGAGCAGAAGATTCACAGAGGTTTCACTGCGAAATGTCCCATCTAAGGTCTGAATGCTTGTGAATCAGATACATGTTTTATCAAACCTAACCGGTTTTTCTGTTGCAAGGGACTCGTGTTTTTGTGAAAGCAGAGTTGTCAAGTCATCACAACTTATAACGTCATCACAAAGCAGTCGCTAGTCAATCGCAAATCATCCAGTCTCATGTCAAGCACAAGAATTCATACTAATTGCGATATTCAATATAATAGTCATATTTTTCATGCGCAGTTGAGACTTTACTTGCTATCTTAATTCTGAATTGATTTGTGATTAGTCAATTTCACAATCTTTGATTAGGCCAAAACAAATAATAGTTCACAATCTTTGATTAGGCCAAAAAGAAAATAATAGTTCTGCTTCCCGTTTCCCTACCTACCCTATTCTGACAGCCCCTACTTTATTTTTTCATTGGAAAAATGAGGAAAAACACCCAAAACCATAAATTTCTAACTTTACCCTTGACTACACGCAGACGCCTCTATATGATCGTACACAAAATAAATTTGGCAAAAAAAAAAAAAATTGCCTACCTACCTACCCTATTTTCGAATGCCATTTAATCGGAAGCAGAACTATTTTTTTGGGCCTTAGAGGCAATTGACAAATCTCTTACATTGTCCACAGGCGGCAGAAAGCTCTTCAACCACGGAGGTCAGTCCCATTGACACACCATCCCTTCAAGATGCTGAAGAGCTTTCCCAGACATCGCTGGAAAAAGATGAGCAGAGTAGAGATGCCCAAGAAGTCCTTAAAGAGGAGGAGACGAAAGAACAATCTGAAGATGACTTTGGCAACCTCATTGCAGCCAGTTTTGAAGATGATGAAGAAAGTATGGAAGTTCAAGAGGATTTATGTAAAAGTAAGAATGTCTTTGATTTTGAGATATTTCCTTGATTTTGTGGTGTTTTGAAAAGGCTGTATCAAGAACTAATCAAGTGATCTTGATCCCAAGTCAATGTTAATCAGAGGCCATCCTGTCATCCTATCCAAAGTCAAGTCAAAAGCTGTACAAATAAAATATGTCAAAAGCGTTCCTTTATCTGTTATTTTATAATAATGTGTTTGATGCCTGGCTGGTGGTTGACTTATTATTTGACATAATTTTAACTCTGGTCCTTATAACGCTGATATTTCAGAAAATAACATATTTTGTCTCATAATGTTAGTGTTAAAAGCATGTGTAAGGAACATACTCAAATAGAACGGGACTGAAACAAATTGGGGAGTGTGATTTTTTTTCTGAAAGTAGAAAACAAAGTTTAAAGAATAACTGAACAAAATAATTTTAATTATTTCTTGTCCAGTAGAATCGAAAAGTAATGCCAATGATTCTTTGGCAGCGGGCTCGGAAAAAACACATCGTCTTGGAATGAGAATTTGGACACAAATTTTAAGGAAAAATACACATCAAATTTGATTGTTTTATTTCCACTAAGGAGAGGGTGATACTGATGATTCTCAGGCAGTGGGCACGGGAGAGGAAATTTCAGCTCGCGGTGAAACTTTGGATGGAGATACTCCACCTGTAACAGAAGAAACAATCAAGACCGAGGATGAAGCGGAACCAGAGCCTGACCTAACGCCATTCCAGCGCGACGTGCTGGACTGCCGGGCAGTGATCCACAGCATCTGCCGGGAGGAGTTTGGCGTGGGCATGGAGCTGGACGAGCAGACCCAACGACTGATGGACCGGCAGCGGGAACGCATCGGTCGCAGCCTCAAACGACTCTCTGAGGAGCTGTACAGCAAGGACACCCATTTTGTCCTGGAGCTGATCCAGAACGCCGACGACAATGAATACGAGACAGGGGTGGACCCTTCCTTAGTATTCCTGGTGGACAGGTCAGTGGCAGTGACAAGATACAACTTTTTTTAAAACGTGATTTGTATCAAGATACCATTAAAATTGTTACTAGTTATGAAACCAAGGATTTCACAAAAGTACCCATGGCACTGTAGCTCGTAAGGTTGAACAAACCTCAAATCAAATTAGGTTTTGCCCTTCACCGATGTATAAACACTGTACACTCGAGTGTGTTACCTCCCGAGTGAAAGTTGGAAAAAATCACTCGGGTGGAACTCGAACCCACGACCTCCTGCTTTCTAGTGCAGACGTCTTACCACTCGACCACCGAGCTAATGGGATCGGTTAGCTCGGTGTTGAACAAACCTATAGAGAGAAACCATGGAATCAGACAGGGACTGAATACCAAATCAACAGATTGACTCAGGCGGAATTCAAACCTGGGCCAGTGGTAGGCAAGGAAAGAACCACCACACCGCAGTGAAATCACTGCGCCAACCTGACACAAGATACATATCATGAGTCAGGTTGGCACATCCAGCTGTTTGACACACATGCAATAATTGAATTCGTTCATAAGTTTGTTGGTTATTTAAAGAGGTTGTGTAATGCTGAAAGTCGTTTTGTTTTTTGTATTTTTTTTATTGTAGAGTAGACCCATATATATCATAATGACAAAGTCCCATTCTTTTGTAATGTCGTTTATATGTTTATAAAACTGAAATTCATCGAGTAATTTGTTGGTCGGCGAACGCATAATTGAAAACAACAGTTGTCGGGTTCTTCGTAAAATGAGAAAAATCGTGACGTAATAAACAGGACTCGTTTATACTACGCTGCATCGGGAGTCCTGTTTATTACGTCACGATTTACTATGTTTTGTTTGCTGCCCCCAACGCCGACTTTTACACAAATTGCATGTTCGGGTCGAAACAGGACCTGAAAAACGGCTCTCAAAAGTACCCTTTGTACTCATTTCATGACAGACACAGTAGTCGTTTTTATTTCATCACACCTTAGGCTACATATACCACATTCCACAGCCTCTTTAAAAAAATTAAAATTTCAACCACTCGAAAGTGCTACAGCTGCGTAACTTTTTGACTTTCATCTCAAAATTACGTTTTAAATGGTAAATGTCTAAAAAAAAAAGAACAATGGTAAATCACAGTTACAAGTTTGGACTCTTGTTTGTAATCTGCCTATGAAATCTATCTTTGACTAAGCTTACCTGAAACTATTCCAGACATTCACGGCATGTGCAGCATTATCCATACAGTGATATGTCGTTACACCCCTACAGGTCTGAGGTGACTGTCCTTAACAACGAGGTCGGGTTCTCGGAGAGCAACATCCGGGCTCTCTGCGACATCGGGAGGAGCACCAAAGGAAAGCACAAGAGAGGATACATCGGTAAGACAATGGAGACAGTTTTGTTAAACGTTTTGAAATGTTTGCAAGGATTTTGACTTGGGATTGATCCCTTGCCACACTGTGTATTTTCGGTTCAGTTCCAACAGATCCCACTGGTATGTTATGGTTGGATTTTAATTTAAAAAAAAAGATTCAAGTTAATTTGGCTCGCACTCTTCGTTTTGCACAAGAATGTTCCGCATTAATTCCTTACTAATGGAATTTCATAAATGATGACCTTTTGCCGGAAATGTTGAATAAGGATCTTACAGTACTGAAATAACAAAGACAGGTTTATGGACAAATGAGAGGAACACCAACATATCTGATTAACTCAGTTGATAGACTGCCATAACGATATTAATTTCTTTTGACATCTGTTTTCATTATTGGGTTGTATCTGTTCTTAATTCTTCTATTTCTTTTACTTATTTTTCTTCTATTTATTACTGGTAATGAAACCAGGGATTCCTCAAAAGTGCCCTAGGCACTGTAGCTTGCAAGCCTGAAGAAACCTACAGAGAGAAGACAGAAGAAATTACAGTGTTAGAGGTGGGAGGAAAACCCCAGAAGAAAATTCTGAGGAAAACCCACAGAATCAGGTAGGGACTGAAAGCCCAATCCACATGTGGTCTGGGGCAGGAATCGAACCCAGGCCATAATGGCGGAAGGCGAGGAAAGATTCACTGCGCCAACCTGACTTTTATTTATTACTGGTATTGAAACCAGGGATTCCTCAAAAGTGCCCTAAACACTGTAGCTCGCAAGCCTGAAGAAACTACAGAGACAAGACAATGAGAAGTAATTACAGTGTCAGAGGTGGGAGGAAAACCCCAGAAGAAAATTCTGTGGAAAACCCATAAAATCAGATAGGGACTGAGAACCCAATCAACATGTGGTCTGGGGCAGGAATCGAACCCGGGCCATAATGGTGGAAGGCGAGGACAGATTCACTGCGCCAACCCGACTCCCTCTTCTTTCAGGGCACAAGGGCATTGGATTCAAGTCAGTTTTCAGAGTGACTGACAAACCTGAGATCACGTCCAAGGGCTATCATGTGTGCTTCGATCAGAGTTCCGATCAGATGGGTTACATCTTGCCCACCTGGGTAGGGCCGGAAGAGATCCAGGATGTTGCCCAGATGGAGGAACCTACCAAACCGTAAGAGCTAATGCTGTTGAAACAATCGTACAGTACTTTACAATACTTGTCAATAGGCCTGATCCCTGAGCAAACGAGGACAATTTAACAATTCTGTTTTCTGAGTACAAATAGTAGAATCACAGTTACTGAACAGTTTTATCAGCTTTACCTCAATGTTTTTGCCATGGGAGTGGGGGAGGGGTGGGGGCGGGGAGTGTGCACAGTGATAGCATGCTTGGATTGGTGTGTATTAGTAGTATTTATTTCTGGTAGTGAAACCAAGGATTCCTCAAAAGCGCCCTAGGCACTGTAGCTCGCAAGCCTGAAGAAACCTGTAGAGAGGAGACAATGAGAAGAAGTTACAGTTTTAGAGGTGGGAGGAAAAGCCCCAGAAGAATATTCTGGGGAAAACCCACGGAATCGAGTAGGGACTGAAAACCCAATCCACATATTGGCCCAGGCAGGATTCGAACCCGGGTCACAGCGGTGGAAGGCAAGGAAAGTACCGCTACACCAACCTGGTTCCCCAAATTATAGGACAGTAACAAAGATTTTGTGATTTTCATCAATATTCATCACATCTGCATGATCTTACGAATATTTAATTGAACAGCTGGACCACCCGGATCACCCTGCCTCTGAAGGGAGACTTCCAGCGAACCACCAGCCTGGTCAACAAGTTTGAGGATGTCCAGCCCTCCCTACTGCTGTTCTTAAACAGACTACGATCGATTATCATCGTTAAAAAGGTTAGATTCATGAGTAGTTCAATCCTTTTAGTTACATATACATTACACATAGTGGGGCTCCATACTGCCCTGTATCTTAAATACATGTACTTTGGGTATACACCTTTAAAGAAGCACAGAAGCATTTGTTTTTATTCCTATAGTATTTGTTGATTTTTTTCTTCAAATTCCAGGATTCTACTGAATAGTTCAAATGCGGCTGGCTCCAACATTTTTTTTCTGATACTGCCACCTTTGTTAATGATGGATTTTTTATATGTAGGAGTAGTATTGTTCTCTTTACTTGTCCGTGTTTATTTCTTGAACTGAGCATTAAAATAAAATCCCAAACGAGATTACGGAGCCATTATTAGCAATCCTATGGGAAGAGAAATAGGCTTAGGTAATACTCTGTGGAGAACAACATTTGGTTAACTTTTAGAAATGTTTGGAGAGATAAACAATTTTGGATAAACTTTTCAGACTCTTTGGGCTTCCATTCCACCTTAGTTGTCAATGGAAATTACAGTCCATACCAGTCAAGTGAGAGAACTTACCTTTCCTGTTTGTGTGCACTTGTTAATTTGTAACATGTGTTAAAGGAAATATACATCATTGGCTTTTGCTGTCATCATCAGAAATGAACTATTTGAGGGGTTAGTATAATAGATCAAATATTGTTACACTGACAGCGTTTGAAGTTTTGTGTTCGAAAATGCTGGAAAAACCAAGAAAAACAAAACTGTTCAAGTAGTCTGGTTCCCTGACTCCACTAAATATAAAATGAATCAATTTACAGATACCCGAAAATTGTAAGGTAAGGGTACCAGTCTAGCTGGCCTGCACCCGTTCATGAACATGTTACCAATAGCAAACAAATTTGGACTGAATTAATGGTAAATTTGGAGCAGTAGTTGAAAAATAGTTAGGTTTTTCCAACGGTGGTCGGCCGACCACCGCTTGAAATTTTTACAATAATACCATTATCTTGAAAATGACTTCACACCAGGTGCCCTAATTTTACAGGATGCTTTAGACTGTCATTTACCAACATCCTATTAAGGTATTTCGTAAAAACTTGGTAGTTTTATTTTTCGATGTTTGCAAATGTTGTATATTCCCTTTAACAGGAAGAGAACACGACAAGCCACATGAGCAGAAGAGATAAAGGAGGCAACGTTGTGGAGATCCGCCACTCCAAACACACAGACAGCTGGCTGCTCATCAAGAAATGCTTGGATGCTGCTAAGGTATTGCACAATATTGATTCTCCTGCGACTGGAGTGGGATTCGAACCTTTAGGTAACAGTTTCAGTGCTTGGCCAACAAATTTGAGAAGTCTGCCAAATTAGGGCAAAAATTGCTAATTCGGTAGAGCAACTGGTACAGTATTCTCATTTGGGGTTCGAATCCTGCTGCAGTTAATTTCCGTTGTTCTGATATTCTGACATTCTGACAGTCTTCAGATGTTCAACAACAATTTTTACCGAATGCTCTATTGAGATTTTTTCTTTGGTCGGATGGCCAAGATACAACAGAAGTCAGGCCAAAATTTGAAAATAAAACAAATGCATTTGTAGTTGGCAGAGTTCATTTGAATGTCTATTTAAATATCTCTCACAGTCTATGTAACCATAGAGCTACTTGTTCTAGAAAATGTCATTTGGAAAACACCAACATTTATTCAAACTTGTGCTTAATACCTTGGATCTTTCGGTATGCTTGACTTGCCATTTTTCTGGGTCTTGAAATTTTTTTTAACAATCAATGTTTGGTCTTATAGCTACAGCGAGTGGGCATTGAGTCAACAGAGTTAGGTCTAGCCTTCCCTCTGTCTGACGGCATGTCCAGCGAGCAGAACGTCTTTGCTTTCTTGCCACTGAGGAGCTATGGTTTCCGCTTCATCATTCAGGGTAAGATGAACCCAGGAAATTCTTTCCATTTCCATGCAAAAAAGAAAAAAATATTGGAGAAGTTTGTAGCTGCACAAGTGACTACTTTTGAAAGAGAAATGGTTGAGAGGAGAACAAGATGCATTAATTTGGTTAGTATGCTCAGCCTGTCACGAGCCAAGAGAACTAAATCATCTACCTATCTATGGCTTTATGCAGATTAGTTTAGTTTAGAGTAAACTGACTAAAATTCTAACTGTTATTGCAACACATGACTGAACCATGTTCTTTGACTTGACTTTGGAATACAGTGGAACGCCGCTATAACGAACATGGTGGGATCCACAGAAAGTGTTCGTAATAACGATCGTTCGGTATTTTTTTGTTAATCTGTTGATTTTTTCAACAGTACTGTTTGTTACGTTTTGTACATTAAAACTGGGAGCCAAGGATGATGTTTGGTATAGCTGAATGTTCTGTATGGCGGTGTTCGTTATAGCGGCGTTCCACTGTAGTAATATTTGAAGATATTGATGCCAGATGGCCATTTTTTGCAGAGATCTGATATCAGAATTGTTGTACATTGCTGGCATCTTTCCTTTAATGAGCTAGTTCCCTCATTACGTTTATGCCGTAACAAAATTGAAAAACAAATTTTCTGTGACTTCCCAGAACATTTTGCATACCTTGTAAAAGTCCCTGATTATCACATCTTAATTCCAATATTGTCATGCTCATTTCACTCTTTTATGTTTTATATTCCAGGTGACTTTGACATCCCGTCATCTCGGGAGGACGTGGATGCTGACTCTGCCTGGAACCAGTGGCTCCTGCGAGAGATTGCGCCGCTCTTCATCGATGCCCTGGAAAACTTCAAGGTCAGCAGATACATATCAAATCTGTTCTTGTTGGAGAGAGAGCAAGTTTTTGTCCAAAACTTGATTTAGTTTTTGCCAGCATGCCAAAAAAGCCTCCTCGGCAGTAGAAGACGATATCACTGAGATCAATCATATGCAGACTTAGGCACTTTGGCACTCAAACCCCCACAAAATCCGAGCATACCTCTCTACACAGGGTGAGTAAAAAACCGAAACTCAAATGTTTTAGTGAAGGTAAGTGTTCTTTCAGCAAAACAAAAAACAAATCACATAGGGATGTGTGTGAAGTTTCTTAGTTTTGCTGAAAGAACGCACACCTTTTTTGTGATCCGTAGACAGAACTTTAGAACGTTGGTTGTGTTTAAAATTCCGTAACTTGAAAAGTACATGAGTGATTTGAATGATTCTTGTACTAAAAGAAAGCTTATGAATTGGGCTTTCATATCCTAGATTTTGAAAGTGCTACATGTAGAACTACACTAACACAGTGGTCCCGACATTTGGGTTTTTTTTTTTTTTACTCACCCTGTATTCATGCAAATATGTGCGCACTGACTATGCTCGGGTCCGAGTGCCAAAGTTCCCCACCCCTGGATTTGACTCATCTTGTTGATAGTGCCCTCTACCACACAGCAGCTTGAATAGGCTTACTTGTCAGGGATCAGGACTGCATGGCTGCATCATGGGAACAAAATCCGAATCCAGACTTGGATCCGTTCTTCGACCAAGACTGTAGGAGAAATCAGGTTCAATTTGAAGAAAAGTGGCTTATAAAATGGAACGCAACGATGAATTACGTCAGCAGTCTAGCTGAGATGAGCGAGACTCAAACTGTGCTAATTCATTTATGAACACAGATGTATTTATACTCTGGCCATGACAATGATAAAACAAGGATTGCAGGCCATTTACCTAAAATTATATCGGACATTGAAACTTATGGGAATATCAGAGACAAACTGAGTTGTATCTGTGTGATTGTTAAACTCAGAAACTAGATTTGATCATCAGTGATGCTTCAGGAACCCTGTGTGTCCTCCACCACTTCTGAATTCGGAGAAGGAAAACAAAGCAAACTTTGCATTGTTTGAAACTATTTCCAACCCATTTAGTGCCCCCTCTAGAAAACGAGGAACCCAAAGTACCCCCCGTGAAATTGAAATCAAGTATTGTTTGAAACTATTTCCAAACCTATTTAGTGCCCCCTCTAGAAAACGAAGAACCCCAAGTACCCCCCGTGAAATTGGAATCAAGTTATGCCACTGGAAGCACTTCAGCTTAAACAGTATTTGCACCACCTTATTTTATTGTGAATGGCGGGAATTTGTAAAGTTTGTGAAATATCCCATCCCTTTTTTTAGGCACATTACCACGACGATCCCGTCCATGCCGTCTGCCAGTTCCTCAAGTTCGTTCCTATGGAGAGTCAGATTCTGACGGACTTCTTCCGGAAGGTGGCCACCAACATCCACCAGAGACTGAAGGCCACACCCTGTATGCCGGTACTCACTGGCCAAGGCGAAGGCAAGTTTGCTTTATAGCCGGAGTGCATGACCTATAGCGGACTGTGCGAGGACCGTAGGATGACCGGTGGTTAATAGCAATATGCGACCGCCTCGACTCAAACGATGGTCAACACTTGATCACAAAACTTCCCACCTGGCTTTTCAGGTCCTGGCTCCCCATTGTGCTTTATGATATATGATGGACACGGCTGTTGGTAACCAGTGATGGAACCACATGCCCCTATGCTTGACCTTTTAACCAACCATGATTAAATGCATCCTACCAAGAACGGTCACAACACTGGTTAACCAATGGCCATGCACGCGTTATTTACAGCTGGGTAGTTCCACTGTGTTGGGCGTACATCTTGGACTATTCAACATTGTACATACTTGTAATTATAATCATTAAGTGGATTTTAATTTTGATAAAATGTATCAGTTAGTTACTACAATGATTTAAAAACAAAGCAGTTATTCATCCAACTTTTTTCAAACAATCTAGTACAAAATTTTGAAAACCGTGGTGTCTTACGTACTCAGACAAATACGTACCAGTTAATTAATTAATTTTCAGTTGCAAGTAACAGGCCCACATTGAACATTGTTTGAAATAACCATATTTCACTAATATACAGATCAGTCCTTCTGATTTGAAAATCACAGGCGTGTGGAAAAAGGCACACGTGGATGTTTCTAGGCGTGTGGTTTTTCTAGGTGTGTGATTTTCTAGGCGTGTGATTCTGTGGTCCGGGGGCGATTCAGGCGTGCAATTATTCACACTTCTCGGGAAGCTTTTAGGCGTGCGATGGCGTGGGGGTGCAGTCGCACGCCTCAAATCAGAAGGACTGCAGATAATAAGCTTCAAAATGATACACGTGTTTCATTTGTGGCATTTGTACCATCTTGAAATGTTGGTATTGAGCTGTATAATTCTGTGGAATTGCCCATTATCGGTGCAACATTATTGAAAATAAATTCCAGTTACGAGTTGAATGTATTTTATTTTTCCTTCAGATGATGTTTGTTGGAAGTTGCCATCAGAGACCCTCATGTGTCCAGACCGTAGCGTCCGGGAGTTGGTCTGTGAGTTGGTTCCAGAAGACACCTTGCAAGAGCATCTGAGCTGCTCCTACCTGCATCCGCATGTGGCGAGCGCCGTCAGCGAGGTGTTGCTCAAGAGTCTGGGAGTCAAGGTGCTACAGATGGCGGAGCTGATGAACATCCTGAGCAGTGTGGCACGGGCAGCTAAACAGACAGGTATAGTGGCCTAACTATGGGAGAATTGGGATCAGGGGGACCCCCCCCCCCCCCATTTCCAGGCCTGTAACTCAACCCCTCTGATCCCCCCCCCCCTCCCCCGCCCCATCTCAGAATTGGGAGACTGCAAAAATAGCTTTGTGTTTTGAAACTATGACCAAACCCATTGTGAACCCCTAGTCTGGTTGAAAATCACAACGGTAATGTTTGCCCGCAACCAGCCTATTGCAAAATAGCAATAGGCCGTACCATGAATGAACAAATTTGGAGGTGATGAGTTTCCATTTTTGCTGATTTCGAAAGTGTTTTTGGCAAATATTAATAAAGAGAGAGAAATTACTGTTCAGTATTCAAAACCTATGCAGTTGAAATGCTTGAAAGTTACCTTCATGGAGACACTGATGATTTTGCATACTTTTTATGGTAAGACTATCCTGCTCTGAACGTGTTGCCCTTCTCTGGGCGTGTTGCCTGCCTCAGGAATGAGTCCCTGCTTTGCAGCAGATTGTCTGCTCTGCGGGCGACCAACCGTAGCGGCCTCACTTGCTTGAGCAATTGAGCAACTGGTTTACACACACACCCATACATCCTTTAAATTGCACTTTATAGTATAGTGATTTTGTCAGACTGATTTAAACACGTGAAGAAGAGTATGAAAGATTAATGAAAGAGTAATGAAATAGTATGTTTTTTCTATTACATATAAAAAGCAGTAGTAGTACAAGTTTTGTTGATTCCTGTCACATATGTGGAACTGCGGGTATTGCTGTTACAGAGGAACCGTTGTCTCCTAAAACCGTGGCACAATGGCTGACCTGTATCTATCGTAGCCGCGACAAATACGACGTATCCCAGGGAACACTGGACCAGCTACGATCCATTCCCATGATTCCACTGTCATCGGGACGGGTTGTCACCATGGAGGAGGGCAGTGTGTTCTTCCCTAACAGGGAGGAAGACAGGACCAACCAATCACAAGGCCAGATGCCATCAGGTGATTTCTTCTTTGACCAATAAACGCAGATGATGAGATAGTGGATGCACTGAAATTTAAAGTACTGCATTAAAACAGCAACTTTTGTAAGAACATAGTTTTTAAACTCTTTTTATCCCATTGGAAAATTGGAAAATCAGAGTTTTAGCTGATGAAGTAATTGTGAGCAATTCAAACCACAAACAAAACCGACTTCATCTTGTGAAATTGTCATCCGTTTGTAGATTCCTGTGAGTGACATTGGTTTTTATTAATGAGGGGTCTGAATGAATTTGAGTTTGTGTGATGTTGACCTATCACCGTTTGCAAGTTAGCCATGCTCCTGAGATGGCCCTGTGGAATTTTGTACGTTAAGTTTTGTTTGTCTCAGATTTTGCACATTCCGCGTCAGTTTGTATATCATGCAATTGGACTATATCTCTGCGTTGATGCGATTCTACCACGATAGGTTAATTGCACAGAACAAGACGTGACGGAAGTCAAATATGAAGTTGAAAGGGACCTCTTTGAGACAAATGCTGGGTGGCAAAACGCTTAGTAAATCACTCCTGCTGCCTGCCTCTGAGGTTTTTCTCACAGATATCATTTGAAAAAGAGAATGTACCATGACAATCTAGTGCAGTGGTACTTAATTCCTGGCCATTTCTCTCTTTGAACCAGGTCAATTTCCACTCATCTGGAGTTTACCCCCCAACTTCCAAAACCAAAAATGTTTTCATTGTCTTCCCTCCGCACATTATTTTCAGGCTTGCAAGCTACAGCGCCGTTGCCACTTTTGGTTTCATGACTTTACTACAACATTGAAACCTTATAATAAAATGCTTTAATTAATGTAATAAATGCAATATTTTTGGTTTTGTCCAGTAGCTCACAGCCAGCCCTTACAGGCCTTGGAGGAGGACATGTGTACTTTAGACGGCCGAGTCCTGACCAGCCTGGACAGCGTGGCCAACTCCCAGGTGATCCAGCTGCTTGAGGAGCTAGGAGTCCTTCGCATCAGTCCTAGAGATGTGATTGGCCACCACATACTGCCGGTCATCCAATCCGATCAGTGGAAGGTAGGTTTTTGATTTGATTAATCGAAAATTACTGTGTAAAAATGAAGGGTTTCCTTGAGAAAGCGCAATAGCACATACCAACAAAATTCTCCACCAAAAAGTAAAAACCACAAAACATACTATGGAAGAACATCTTTCAAAAGAAAGTGATATAGAACAGCACAATGGATGTGTACTTGCTGCAAATAATGTAAAAATGTTAGGGTTTTTTTTCTAGAAAGAGAACCCGAACCTTACGTTTCTGTACCAACAGGGAGATGGATGACGGGCATTGTAAAGACTTGGTTTTCTTGACAGTGTTTCACCTGTTGATGACAGTATTTATTAGAAGACACTATTGGGTTAATGTATATTCAGATGAAACCTTTAGTTGAGTTGCATATACTCTCTGTGACATATAGGTACTAGCACTTGAAACTAAAGGCTAAGGCTAAGCCAGTGGCTAAGGCTAAGCCAGTGGCTAAGGCTTGAAATAACACACAAGTCTATGGGAAGTGGCTGCGGCTGCTACCATAAACACATGTAATTTCAAGTCGTAGCCAAGTAATACAGACATGGCCTCACTTAGCCTTCACTGGCTCTTGCAAGTACTTCTCTCAGTATTACCAGCAGCTGTGTTTTATTGTGACGTTGTTCTGTTACTTTGTAATGCTTGAACCGAGGTCTGGCAGAAAGGTTACTTTTAAGAACATTTTTGGAGAAAGAAATCTAAAATGCTTCTTTATTCTCCATAAAAGGCACTATGAAACCCAAAGTGTCAAAAACGTCTTCGTCTCAGACAAAATGTTTGAAGTTTTCACAATGGTTTGTGGAACTTTGGACCTGTCAGTTATTGGTGTGTATCAGACATTTTGTTGTGAAAGCAGTCATTTTGTGGTTCGTAGGTTGGACGTGTAGGTGAAATGATGACATCAGTTTTATTGATATGATTTAGGACAAATCCCAGGATGTTCTGGTTGGCTACGTAGTGTACATCAAAGAACAGCTAGCCAGGCAGCCAGATGTCTGTGACTTGGACAAGATAGCAGACTGCATCCACGTTGTGACCAACCACGGACTGATCCAACCCAGGGAGAGACCTGTTCACTTCACTGTGACGTATGGCAACCCTGTTGACCTTAATCAAGACCTGCCAGGTATGGTGTAGGAGCTGACTTTTAATCCAATAAAAATCGCAAGCAAAATCACCAGTCAGGTTACAAGTTAATCACAAGGCAAATCACAATGACAAGTCAATCACCAAGCGGTCAGGATGGACTTGTGAGGATGCATGGCACCCTTGGGTTAACTTCAGGTGCTAAGCGTTCATCTGGCACACACACAAATGTTGCATCCCACTTTACAAAAGTTCATAGTAATCACTTATAATGTGGATTTACTTAGCCAATGGTTGTCTTGTCTTGTTTGAACTTGCAGGCTGTGATTGGGTTTTGTTGGACAGTTGCTATATCTTCCATGACAGGCCTCACAGACTCCACCCCAACGAGACTATGTCATGGAATGCTTTCTTCAGTAAGCTCGGGGTGCTGAACTTCCTAGCTGTTGAGAAGAAAGTAGTGACAGTGAAGGTGGAGGAACTGGCAAGTATTTTTCTCTCCCTCATCTTTCGAATGATTTGGAGTTCTGTGTCGATTGTGCTATTTGTTTTTTCATATTGCTAATCACGCTCATTTTGGATTTTTAGATTTAATAATAAATGTATAAAAAAGTAATGAATTTATCGACAATTGTTTCTCAGGATGTGACACCCTGGGCGGACCTTGGCCAATTCTGGGAGGAACCAGCAGACGGTGTCTACAAAATCCATGATAATGCCTGCAAAGAGTTTGAAGAGTTGGTCCAAGCCAATCTGGAAATGTCTACCATACAAAGTCAGCGACGGTGCCTTCTTGAGATTCTCAACCACGAATGGAGCAGATACTATCCTGCTTTCATGGGGGCTGAAGTGTTTGACCAGTCTGGGACAAAACTTGCTAGCACTGAGTCCAGCTTTGCAATCCACCTGAAGACAAGCCCTTGGCTGCCTTCAACTCCGATCAGAGAGGACAATGCAGGTCAGGAGGTGTTTCGAAGGCCTAATGACATCTTCATATATTCAGTTAGAGCACGGGAGCTCCTGGGTGATCATGTTCCTTACTTGGATGCCCCTGTCCAAGGGGATGGAGGCCCCATGTTACAATTCATTGGATTGAAAACCATTGGAGTACTTGATGTCAACTTCATGATTTCAAAGCTGAAGTCGTGGTGCGGTGATGAGGGCCAGTCACCAGATCTTAGATCTGGAACCCCCTTCTGCACCTCCCTGGGTCACATCATCAGGGTGTACAGTTACTTGGAGGAGAATTGCCGTCCCAAGGAGCTCAAAGAATTATTCAGTGATCACAGAGTTGTGTTTGTTCCTCCGAAGGTAATGCTGCAAAAATATGAGGTCCCCGTTCCTGGCCAATTTGTCCACAAGTCTCTGGTATACTGGCAGGATCCTTCAAGTCTCTTAAAGAAGTACATCAAATGGTCCACCCGTGCCCAGCTGTGTGCACTTTACCCCCAAAACATGGAGGACTTCTTTCGAAGACAAATCAATGTTGACAGTATGCCGACCATCAAAGAATATGCCCAGGTCCTGGTTCATTGCGCTGGGGCTATTGCACTTCCAGACAATGCTCGCATCAAGGAAGAAGTCTTGGTGCTCTATAGCATGCTTGGTCAAAAGTGCTCTGCTTTAAGCTCAAGTGGACATAGACATTATTCGGATGAACATGCAGTTGGGTCAGCTCAGCAGGAACCAGATGTTAAGTCGAGTTCTGTCCAGTTCTTGAAAAGCATCCTTGAGGGGCAAGCAGTCTTTCCCACTTCGGGCAACAAGTGGGTGACTGCGGAGGAGAAGCCCCTGATCTGTGACAGCCAATCTACAGACATCCAGAAGCTCTTCTTGGACAAGAAGGAGGTGCATCTGTTGAATTTTGGAGATCGCAACCGTCTTGGCCGAGTTGTTGAAGGTGTGTCTGGGTCAGTAGACCAACAATACGTGGATGTTTTCCTTGAGGCATTTGGCATTGAGATGCTGTCGGACTGCATCAAAGAAGAATTCATCACTGAACTCACAAAGCCATCTCCCCTACTTCAGCTTTTCCTCCATGATGTCTGCCATTATATTCAGCTCTACATGAGCATGCAGCGCAATGTCAAGAAGGAGTTCCAGTCCACATGTGAGAAGCTTTCAACCACATTGAACATCGCTGCCAAGTTGAAAGTTATGCGCTTCATGTCAGCCAAAAAGATTGACAAGGTCTACCGTTTCACACATGACCCCAGTGTGTTTGCAGAGCAGAGCGTTGAGTGTGGACTCCAGGAGCTGACAGAGTTCTACATAGTGACAGGCATCTCCAAGAATCTGCGGCAGAACAGCAATGTGAGGCGAGAGGTGGCCAAACTCTTCAGCTGCGAGAGCACTGAGGTCCAAGAAGCATTGTTCAGTTTCATCGGCAGTCTGCTCCTGGAGATGGGGTCCAAGCGGGGAGAATCCGTAGAGAAAGGAATCAATGAGGGTATCTGCAGGGCCTTGGGGCTAACCTTCCCTCGAGAGGACAATGATGAACCGTGGGAGGTACCCAAACCATTCATCCCAGAGGAAGTTGGTCGGTTGATTTCTGCTCTTAAGCCCCAGTCACACATTTACAGTTTGGAGCTCCGGATCTCCACAGTTTGAAATTTGTGATAAGCCATGGGAGTACCGTATTCATTCTTAGTACATCTGTAGTTATCCGTCATCTTCCTTGGTTATATGGGAGGGGCTATGGAAGTTTAAAACTGTTCAAAAACTTCTGTGGTGAAACGTCATGAAAATGTGACATCCGTAGGACATACATACTGAATCGTAGTGTTATATGTGGCTATTCATACATATTCTTGGAGATTTGTAGCTCATTTGTGGTAGAAATCTCTACGAATTTGCTACCAATGTCCTACCAATGTGCCCGAATGTGCTAGGGTTCTGCTAAGGTTGTACTACAAATATCCACACTTTATTCGTAGGAGAACCTTGGTCATCTGTGGCCCAATCGCAGACAACCGTGGCATTAATGTCATCATTCTAAGTAATACCATTGATATTCTTTACCAATTCGTCCATACTCTTGACAAACCGTGGTGTATTCGTAGAGAAACTGTAGGACAGTCGTGGCCATCCATCCTGAAACCCCAATTCCTCCTTAATAGAAAGTTGATTGCTTCTCGGATCTCGATGGTTCATCATTATCAATTGATTCTTGGCAAACCGTGGATATTCGTAGCTCTAAACCATAAACGTGTGACTGGGGCTTTACTTTTCACTTATTGACTTAACTTAAGCATATTGCTTTTTTAGGAGCGACAGTCTTATGACCTATCCTGCATGCATCTTGTGTGTTTTAGGGGGTAAAGTCAGCATGGCTGAGATTTGTGTTGAGGTTTAAAGAGAAAAAAGGTCTGTCATTAAAAGATAATTAGTCTGAAAGTTTAGCATGAGGATTTGTATGCATATAAAACACAACTACTACACTTTTTGTGCAGGATATGTTCTTTTGCAAAGTTGAAGTTGAAGTACAATTTTCCACTTCCCCTGATCACTCAACTATTCTCATTATTTTTTTTAACACTTCAGTATTCAAACCAACCAAAGTCAAGCCGGTAAGGGAAGCTACACAGCCACAGCCGTCAGCCAGTTCACTGCTTCAGGGTAATGACGGTGCCGCTATTCGCAGCTGGCCGCCTCGGTGTGGGACCTACGGCCCACAAATATCAACCAAAGGTAATGTCTGGTACCCTGACAATTGGAGTCACTAATGAGTCATTTCAAATTGTTGAGCATCTGGCAGTGGAACTTAGAGAATTTGTTCATTGATGGGATTCCTTGTAAAATATTGCACATTGACACCATGGGGTATTGTATGAGGTACAAACTTCCGGGTACATGTACAAAGTGGTGATGTTGATGGGTTTCAGCCATTTATTACATCCAATGATTACGGTGTTCGACTCGTGTGCCGTGGTACATGGGTTCGAATCCTGACCGGGGGAACATGGTGCTTGTGCTCTTGAGCAAGGCACTTTACCACTATTGCGTCGTCCTTCGGATTGGACGTAAAGCCGTAGGTCCTGTGTGTTGTAAAATGCGCTTTAAAGAACCCAGTAACACTTGTCGCTACGAGAAGGGGTTCGCCCTGGTGTTTCTGGCAGTGGCCGCAGCACCTTTTAAACCCTGGTGCCACATAATGGGTCTCATATCTCTCATGTACTTCATTCATCTAATAATAGACATAAGTCCCAGTGCCTTGAGTACCTCAGTACTCCATTGCGCTAATGCCTGAATAGGTTTCTGCAACGTAGCCATACAGACATAGATACAGATACAGAGAGTGCTGTTTAGTTAAATGACAGCATTATGTGGACTTTAGATTACCTTTTTCCCTTCAGATTACTCTTGTTCTGCACTGCTTTTTTTTTTTTAATTTTACTCTTATAATTGAAAGCTTTATTTTGTAGTAGGAGGCTTCATTTTGCCCTCTAAATGGGTGAGGCAGCTTGTTGCCTGCTCCACTTGCAAGTTGCCCCCTTCACCGGTGATGACCGGTTTGAGGATGATCAACTCATGAATGATCAGCTCATGAACAACCTACACACCTACACATGCCTTGCACTTTATAGTATAGTGGTGATTCACTTAAGCAGACAGGCATTTACATTTTTGTTATGATTGTTCCAGCTGGTGGCTTTCCCAAGAATGAAGAAGCTGTCCTCAAGATGTGGCCTCCAGTCCAGCAGTTAGTTGGTGCTTATCAAGCTGCCCCCTTTTCAACAGGTCCTCCACAGTCCACTGGCAGGCAGTCACAACCTCGTTATGGCATGCCACATGAGGGCACTGCAATTACTCAAGGGATGCCACACTACCAGAGTTGCCAGGATGGCGTTGTAGTGCGGACCTCGGGAGCCAATGGAGGAGGGGAGGTACCCAATCCAGGGCAGGTTGCTGGACAAGGTAGGACAGTGTTTTAATGTGAAAACAATTTCTGAATTTATAGTTGAAATAAAAAGTGAACAGTTTGCAGTTTGGCTATGGTTTTTGGAGATGTTAAGTGCCATAGCGCGTTGATATTTTATTTGCCCTATCCAAATTACGGTGAAGGTTTTATTAAGGGGTCAAACACCTGTAATTGACAGTGCGACTATTGTTTTGTTCAGGTGGAAGCAGAGAAGGCATTGGTCCCCCTCACCTTCACCAACCATCTGCAGGAGGTCCAGTACAGCCCAGACCCGCCCAGGCACAGCAAGAAGCCTCGTCTCCTAATGAATCCTCAAGTGATCCCACACAGTTGGCTAAAAACATGGAGGGGCTCGGTTCAACAGAGGAGGATTCCTGGGAGAGTGCATCCTTGGGATCAGGACTGGTGAAAGATGATAATGGCAATGGTGATGATAATGTGGAAGGCATTCCGGCACCTGAGATGGTCAAGGGAGACTTTTACAGTCCGCCTCAAGTCCAGCGTTCAGCAGCCCTTCCCCATCCCTCCACTGGCAGCATCAAGAAATTCTTCCTACCACCACACACCAGTGGAGAAGCCATTGAGGTGGAGTTTGAAGACATTGCTCCTGGCCCAGCTCTCCTGGAGAGTCTTGAAGGCCTGGGCCGTCCTCTTGGCAACAACACAGACACGACGAACATTGCACGCTGGGGAGAGAAGCTGGTGTACCTCTACCTGCTCCAACAGGCTCAGAGTATGTCACCAGAAGGGTCAGAAGTTACAGTCAAGTGGGTCAACATGCAGGACGAGACAGGGGATCCGTATGACATCGTCATCACCTGTGGCTCACAGAACATCTACGTGGAGGTGAAGTCGACAATCAGGGACCAGAAGCAGGTTGTGGAGATATCGCCCAGGCAGGTGGCCTTCGCTCTGGAGATGGGTCAGGCCTTCCACCTGTACCGGGTGTTCAATGCCGGGAACAAGAGTGGGGTGAGGCTGGGTCGTCTGCAAAACCTAGCCCTCAGGATGGACAGGAAAGAAGTCAAACTCTTCATGTACCTGTGATGTGCCGATGAGTGGACATACAATTGCTGAAGACACACATCCCCATTCCTCTAAATTTCAAGTGCCCCAGGTACCTCTTCACTCAAAAACCATAACACACTGTACCTCCAACTAAGAAACATGTGGTCTGTGATCAGATGGTTAAAGGGCCCATAAGATGTTGTTACCAAATTTCAGTCCCCCAACTAGAAAATCCTGCCTACATCATTTGCTGTTATGTGGAAAATCAATGTAAGCTCAGTACAAAAAGTTCAATATTAGGGACGCTATGGAGTACTTTCTCTGCATGAGCAGAACAGAAAATTGAAACAGCTCCTCGTAATTGCAATTTAAAAAATATTCCTATGACAGTAGTACAGTCGTTTATGAAATTTGGGTTTCAAAGATCTAAGTTCTGTTTATTTCTTTGGCACAGGTACTGGTCTTTCAGTAGTATGCAGATCTTACTTCAGGGGAAGTTTCACCTTGTGGGTTAAAAATGTTTGACTTGTGATCAAAGGATCTGGGGTTCCAATCTAGATGGCGGTCATGTGCTGTGTCATAGGTTCAGCTAGGCACTTCAGCCCAACATAGTTTTCTCAGCCCAAAAGAATAAATGATATTGTCAGAAAGTTTGTAGTATAAGTGTAGAAGAAAAAAAGAAGTTATAATTTCTTTTTGCCAGAATTTATTTATTTATTATGTTTCATGTTTTTGTACAAGAGCCGGGGGGAAATGGGTTTGTAGGAGAAATATTTGTTTTCATGTTGGCATGATGTTTGTTATATTTAACCAGTTTGCGCCAGATGACCTCTATACCTGCAAAGGTTTTGCAGAAATCGAAACAAATGACGAATAAACATGCAAAGAAAGAGGCCAGAAATACGAGTGTGCTACCCGAGAGTGATGACTTCAACCTGCCTGACAAGATGTCGAGTGAAAAGTAATCCTGCACCTTGTTCTGTTCTTGTCAAAATAATCCTGGCGCAAACTGGTTCAAGAAGGCTTTTCAAACAGATGGATAGGTTTGAAACAGTTGCATCTAAAAATGGAATGTTTCATTTCACAACAGTCGATATGTTAACACACATCTTTCCATGTAAACTGGTAAACATCTTTTGAATAGCTTTTATTTAAATTTCTTTCATTTAAATTATTTATTAAAAAAAAGCCGAAGAAAGTGCCATTAGTCCCACGAATTCGTTTTTGGCAGTACAGGTCAGTTCTGAATATAATTTGTGTAATATTCAAGGATTGTGTAATCCAAATGTTTCAACCAGTCTACCAAGGAAGAGGAAGTGTATTGGGCCTTATTTAATAATACATTGTCAAAAAAAAGGTATTTCTAAAAAAAAAAGTTATGCAGTGGTATTTTGTGCTAACTTTGTAACAGTTGCTGTAAAGTACCATAAAAAAATAATAAACAATTAAAAAGGACAAAAATGAAATTGCTTATTGTAGATTTTCACTCTTGTGTACTGTGTTTATTTATTATTTTATTTTATTACACGTCTCCGCTGGCTGACCAAAAAAAAACCCCACATAAGGCCCCCCAAAAAATATATTCTGTCTCTGGTCAGACCAAAGTTCCGGAATTGACGCGGCCACGCGGCTTTTTTTTTTTTATTTGGCTTTTTTTTTCTTTTTCTTCAAGCTTTGATTGTACAGACAAGGTGGGGTACTATTTTGCTTTTTTGGTGTCCTCATGTACATTGGTGTCCTCCATAATTTGCCTTGGTGCTTTCGATCATTTGCCTTGGTGCAATTTCCCATTCCTTGGTGCTCTTTGGTAAAAAAATTGAGGTGCGGAAATAGAGGGCGCTGTTGGAGCTACCGCGGAACATTTTGGAAAAAAAAAAGATCGACGCGCATGATTAAAATCGACGCGCGCGCTGACCAGAGACCGACTTATTTTTTTTTTTGGCCTAAGATATACAGAATCATAAATTAAAACCTAAAGGTTTACAGTTTGAGAAATGCAGTGCAATGGGAGACTTTTGAGATACGTAGTGGCAACAAAAATCACAGTAGTTCTTTCAAATTGTCATAAAAAAACATATGTCAGCCAAATAATGAAAGGTTTGCGGAAACACCATGTGTGAATAATATCTCAACTAAGAGAATGGTTCTGAAAAGAACCAGAGGTATAAACTTGATGTTCCGGTCAGTATGCTCTGACCATCTTCAGGAGAATGCCTAAACTCTAAGAAGGTACCCTTAGTTATTGCATTGCCAGATCATAATAGAAATGTAATTACAAGATCGAGAGACAACTTGAAAATAAAACATGTGCCAAAACATTCCATGTTGCATAATTTTTCACCATGATGGTCTGTTCAAAATAATTATGCTTGAAACCATTTATGCTTGGGTACCCCAGCCCTGATGCAAGTTTGCAATGAACATCTATGTAAGGGATTCTACAAGCAACATATTAAAAAGTACTCAATTAGCTGTTTCACAACATATTGATTTGTTAACATGCACTTACCTTATGATAGGCTATATAGCCCAATATGGGTCTGTTGTTTGCTTTAAAAACATCAGAACCAGTTTGTCTGGACTTGAAATACTTCTGATTGTAAGAGGCAAATTTAACCAAGCCCAAGTTTAAAAGCTGAAATTTTGAAAACACACGTGTCTCAAAAATTAAACTGCATGTAAAAAAATCTGACGGTATGTTTAAAAATGTGAAAAAATGTATGTATGCTGAAAATTCAGTCTTGTATTATTCCAAAAGGACAATTAATGCAAGAAAGTAAACTGGAATTTAAATACCAACAAAAGTATTGAATTGTTAACAGGTATATGCAGGGTGACCGTAAGGTCGATCATGGCCAAATTCTGCTAATTGAACTTCAAAAATCTGTCAGATTTAAAAACTTGATAAAATACTAAAAATCACATGCAGTTGTAGTATTGCCTCAACTATAAAGGCTCAAATTACAAATATAAACAATCTATAGTCACATAAAGATTTATGAAATTGCGTATAGTTCAGGCAAAATGCGGTTACGTCACGCTGAAGTCCAGTTTTCAACCTCAGCACCTTGACCAGCCAACCTGTCCCATTATTCAGGGGTTTGTTTGAAAAGATTAAAGCTTTTTTAAAATAATTAATGTGTGTAACATTTTTTTAAATTGCTATGTTTTTCTTTTGAAATAACTATTTTTTGTATAATTCTGCCAGAAATCTGCCCAAAAAAATCCATTCAAATTCATGTCAAATTTTCTGTCAAACTCGTTTTTCAACAACGAATAATGTCAAAGTTAGCCGAAAATCGGCTAAAACGGTCACCATGCGTATAGCTTTGCGCATTGGAAGGGGAATTCCCTTCTTCAAGCGCATGGGATTTTCCCGTATGAGAAATAGCTCATAAATATTTATAACTTGCTGGCAACAGCCAATTGTGTTACAGCTGTATGATCACATGACAGGAGTGACTCACGCATTCAGTGCAGTGTCGCTGGTATGGTGGTGTACCCTAACGTGGCGCACTTCGACAACTCACTGGACATCCGTTCAAATTGCTTCAAAACCCAAGAGCCGATTCTGTTCAGACTTACACACGTTAGTGCCGGATTGAACACCTTCCAGAAAAACTATCTGTCATTCATTTTGGTTTAGTACAAATGACAAAAAAATTCAGAGAGTACGACAGAATTGTCGAGAAGTTACTTACGCAAAACTGTCGAACTGTCCCCTAACGTGGTGCGCGCCGCTGATTGGCTGAAATGGTTTGGTACCATGCTACGGTGGCCTATGACGATCATTTGCCCTGACGACAATTTGCCGTGAAAAAAAGTTTCGTTTTATTGCATTTTATGTTATGCAGGAAACAATATGGATCTTTAGGTGTTTACAAGTTTACAAACGGCTACAACATTAAAAACAGTTGAAAAGTAAAGCAAATCTCTTGAACCTCGAAATCAGAAAATATAGCAATGCAAAAAGACATGACCCTTAAATAAAAAAAATAAACATGGTCATTTCTGTTTTAGCCTCTGAAAAAGAACTTGCAACGTCAGGCCACATTGATTTTTAGAAAAAAATAAACAGTTACAAAAACGTACGCTCGTCCAATATTGTAAGAAAAATAAAAATAAAAATATCCAGTAACTTGAATAAATGTTTTCCCTCACATGGAATTCTGCCGAAGATCTCTCTACAAAAATGAATAAATAAACAAACAAACGATATACTACAAGTTTTTTATTTTAAAATTTAATACATGATTAAATATAAAACTCTAGCTCAAGTTAAGAGAATAGAAAAATCAGCAGTTATGTTTCAATAATAAATTTATTTCTGACACGATATTTAAAAGGCATCCTAGACGTTTTAAATACATAACAATTTCAACAATATTCATATAATGTCAATTACCTCTACGTTTTGCATATCCGCTACATTTACTCGATTATAATATCTAATCAAAAGTGCACCCGCACGGTACCGGTGATGCCAAGCCACATAAAAACTAGGCCTAATTGTATTCACTTTATATGTCTATTACAGGCTACCGTACATGACGTCATGACAACCTAGAGCAGACGACACTATTTTTACGTTCCGGTAAATTTCCAGTAAACTTCGGATTATTCTGCTTACTTTTCATTAATACTGATAACGTTGACGAATAATATTACTTTTTAATTAGTTTAATTGTTTTGGAATCTTGAATTAAAAGAAAACGTCTGCTTGTTACCTTTTTTTGGCCATTGTTTCTGGACGTCGACGGCATCTTGATACTTTTTGCTATGGGATCGTCTGGCTTTCTGTGTAACCTTTGACCTTCTACGCGCAATCGTGACGTCAGAAATTTGAATCTAGTATGTATATTTGCGAAGGATTGTGTGACCTTTATTAAGTGTTAATTGTAAGAAAAATGGATTGTTCATTTCGTCAAGAGAGGAGAAAAACCAAAGTGCGCCACGTTAGGGGGCGCGCCACGTTAGGGTACACCAACAATATAAATCGGCCGGCTTGCTTGCTTGGCCTAAAACTTGGTTCAAATTTTAAATTAACAGAGGCTAGTTATAAAGAAGTGTGTATTTAAACAACAGTTTATTGGTAAGTTATTTCCATGCTTTTAATCTTGACAGCTTTGAGCTTATATTTTCCTTCACCATCATGCATCATGTTGACATAAAACATCGATACATGTACAGTACATCATGTACATGTACATGTACATGTCTGTTTGCATTGTGTTTTCTGTGTCATTGTGTGTATTATAAGGCCAGCTTTAAGGTTATTTTGGCTTTTCCTCAAAGTTGCTGAAAAGTGAAATGCCTTTGTTTTTGTTAAGATTTTTTTGGCTTTTCCGCATAGTTGCGGAAAAGCTAATTTGTTTTTGCTCATGTTTTTTTTAACATTCAGTCTTGGGAGTTCTATCCCAAAATCCATAGATTTTGAACACATCTTTTCTCAGTGCCACTTCTAGCAGTCATGTATCTTTGTCATACATCATTCAATGTTTGCGTAGGCATTATCCGTGGTCAATGCATTCGTCACGAGCCGCTCGCACGCATAATTGGTGGCCAAATATCCTCACCATCGCTAACTCACTAGCTCTAACATACTGTTATAATAGTTATATACCACGGTAATATATTGTGAAAGGTCAAGAGGATCACGTGACATGTCACAAAAACGCATGAGTGATGTACGCCGTGGTACATGAGTGATGTACCCCATGGGGTACATTACCTTGATCTTTCCCGCTGTTGAAAGTGTCGTTGGTACGTAACGTAAATTGATGTATGTTCCTGTAAGATGTGCCATGGGAGTTAGTGATGAACAGCTACAACCGCCATTGTTGTTTACATCGTTCATCACTGTTTGTCTGCTAGATTTTTAACTGTGCCAATTTCGCTGCCAATTTCGCCGTAATTTCACCACAATGTAGGCAGATGATGACAACTGTTGCCTCCAAAAAAAGTGCTTTCTCTCTTGTTACAAAGACGAGATCAGAAATGTGATTTTTGAACAGGACAGCTTCAGCACGAGGACAAATACGGAAAATTCTGTGAAAATAGTTCGCCAATTCTGCACCGCAACAGGAAGAGACCCACAGTTTCAGACGTTACCAGTGACAGAATAAGAATTGGACAGCTGTAACAGGGTCCATGCTGTGACGGGGAACTGCTGTGACGGGGTCCATGGGTTTTGTACACCCTCTGGGGCAAATGGCACCCTCGGCTTTGCTTCGGGTGCCAATTGCCCCCTTGGGTGTACAAGACATCATGGACGCTGTCACAGAAGGCAACAGTTAATGTATCCGTGCAGAAAATACAGTGCTAAACAGCAACCTCATGCGGCCACTATATTTATATGCAAATCAACCAGATCTGATTGAATGCCTGCCCTTGGTCCAACCATCAGCTTATGTTTTCTTTATTTTGCACTAGATTTCTAGTGCACGACCTCGTATACGAAAACAGATAAGTGTAGGCGGGGCATATGTGGACTGTCCAATCACGCCTTGGTTAATTCCGAACAATTTTTTATAGATTTTTATAGATTTATATATTCTTTGTGTAGCCAGAGGTATTGGAATTGAAGGCCTTCGGGCCACAGTTTTTAGGTAAATTTTTTAATTCCGGGCATATGCCCCTGGCTTTCGTCATGTTCGTTTTTGTTTCTTGGTTTTTGGTTTTCTTTTATTTTGTGAATGTTTGTTGTTTGTGTTTTTAATGCCGAATAAATAATAATAATAATAATAATAATATGCAGTTACTTTGCAACATTACGTGTACAACTATGGCGGAGATGGTCATTCGTCGTCCGAAGATCTGATGCGTTGCTTGAATTCTAGCAGCGAATTATTCCTCGGAGACTTTCAACACGAGCAGCATGTCGTGGTCACAACGTTTTCGTGAATTTGCCGACAGGTTATAGGAAAGTCATCATTTTTCAGCCGTGCGACAGGCACAAAGCCGTAACAATTCCTACGCAACAATCAACCAATGAGAAAATGACTTTTAAAGGTCAGCTTTAGGTTATTAGCATAATGAGAACCCCTAAACCCCACGCTGACGGTTGGACCAAGGCGTTAGTCTGGGTCTAGTTGATTTGCAAATAGGGCTGCATGAATTTGCTGTTCGCGCTGAGTGCGCTGTATATATGCTAGCACTAGCGAGTTAGCACCAGCGAGAATAATTTTTGGCCACCGGTTACGTTACCATGCGGACGGCTAATGACGAAAGCTTGACACCATGAAGGCATAGACCTTATAGCAAAATGTGTACCGAAGAGTGACGTCATGATGACGTCCTCATGTGCCAAGTGACATCCTCATAAAGGTGCATTTTTCAATGACCTATATCTAAAGAACTACAAGGCCGATTGGGATGAAACTGTGCATGTTCATAGACAGGGATGTGTTAGAGATGAAAATTGAAGTGACGTCATGATGACCTAGATTTTTGAAGTTTTGAAGATTGTCGCCATATATCTCCTAAACGCAACATGCTAAATTCAACATTCGTTTTGTAAAAGGTTTGTTAGGCCACACAAAAAAATAGTTCTGCTTCCGATTACATGGCATTTGAAAATAGGGTAGGTAGGTAGGGAAATTATTTTTTTTGCCAATTTTTTTTTGTGTATGATCATATGGAAGCGTCTGCGCACAGTCAAGGGTAAAAGGTAGAAATTGATGGTTTTGGGTGTTTTTTTTCTCATTTTGCCCATAAAAAAAATTAGGGTAGGGGCTGTCATAATAGGGTAGGTATGGAAACCGGGAGCAGAACTATTATTTTTTTTGGCCTTGGGTCATAGACATATATGCACAAAAACGTGTAACACTGTATACTCAGTGTGCTACTTCCAATGTGAAAGTTGGAATATCACTTGGGCGGGAGAGTCTTACCCACGACCTTCTGCTTTCTAGTGCAGATGTCTTACCACTCGACCACCGAGCTTGCAGGATAATATGCTTCGAATCTGATGTACATGTAACAGTGGGTACCACAGTTAAATTATTCATAAGATGAATTTGCATCAGGGTGATGTAAATCAATATTAGGTTTTGCCCTTTTAAGAAGGTCATGGGTTCGAGTCCCAAAGTGATTTTTTTCTCCCTACTTTCACTCGGGAGGTAACACACAGCATTTATACGTTGGTGAAGGGCAAAACCTAATATTGATTTACATCACCCCAACGTAAATTCACCTGATAAATAGTATCAAAGGGTGGCTGTTATAATATAAGGAAAGGTCTGATCGTCATGAAACTTGGTGGGAGGTTCGATGATGTTAATAATGTGCATAATCTGAAGTTTCGTCACGATGACGTCGTCAGCCAACACGGTCCATGGCCTCCCTCCCAAAACGAACCCCCTTTTTTTTTTGTAAGTGACGTCGTAATAAAGGCAGGCACTGCGTACACCACCAAAGGCCTTAAAAAATGCTTAAAGTGGTCAATAATTGAAACAGATTGCACCAGCGCGCCCTCCCTCTTGTCGCAAGTGCACTGTCTTGTTGCAATTGTTAGTCCAGTTGCCTTTTAAGTTTAGTAAAAGTATGACAGACCCCCTTTTCTTTTTGAGTCTCTCTCCCTCTCTATATCTTGCTTTTTTAAGCAAAAGGGCGGGGGTAAATCCCCTCTAAATATTAGCCCTAATCCATCCATTGCTGAAAATTAAAGCAAAAGTAAATGACACCTTAATTAAGACGTAAAAGATATACGTAAAGGATATCACTTCAGAGAAATTAGGCAGTCAGAGATTAGGCCTGTGGGGTCAAATATTCAGAAAGCTTGTTTCGGTCTCAAATCTCTCAAAGATGAATGTTTAGGCCCCCTAATAAATCAGTTTGAACTCTACCATAAAAGGGCACAATTCAGTTTCAACCAAAATTTCGTTTTCTCACAATTCAGCTTCATACATAAATTTGTGGATTAATATGTGAAAATTAAGTGACAGTTTCCATTTAATTGTATTTAGGAAACCTATATTCACTGGATAAGGTAGGCTTCAAGTCCATTCCAGACTTTGTACAATGGACTTTACAGATGTTCTTTTTCTTCACAGGAAGACAAGTCCTTGTTAATTTGAAGGATACATATTCATGTCAAGATGGCTTCTGCATCTAATATGAGTGAGGAACAGGTTGCAACATTAAGAGAAGAACTTGTGGAGCTCTTGAAAGCAAACCAACCCCACATAAACCTTGGTAATCTTCAGGCACTCTACAGCAAGCATGTTAAGAAGGAACTTGCCATCAAGAAATTTGGCATTTCCTCGGTTAAACAACTGGTGGCTTTGCTTGGGGACGTGGTAGAAATTATCGCTGTCGGAAAAACCCAATATCTGATGTTGAAAAAGTTGCCAGTGGCCACAAAAGCGCAGAAGAAGGGTGGAGCAGGAAAAGTCAACCCAGTTAAAAGCAACACTGCTTCAGCCAAAGACATCGGAAATCTGTCAGCAGGGTCAGAGCCCAGCTCCAAGAGATATCGAACAGATCAATCTTCGGCAGTGGGAAGAGATACCTCGGTGGACTTAAGGAAGGATTTGGTGGAATTGCTTCAGAGTTCACCTGGAGGGCATATTGAACTGCACTCCCTGCCAGAAACCTACGAGCGGAAGTACAAGAGAGCCATGAACCTTGCTGAATATGATATCGCCACAGTTGACTTGATTGCTGATACATTCAGAGACATTCTTGAGGTTGTCAGTCAGTGCGATCACATCAAGCATCCACATATCCGCATTAAGCCAGAAGACGCAGCTGCTCAACAAAACAGAGTCGATGGTAAACGGACCCTGTCTAACAACTTGCGAGAGGAACTGAAAGAGTTGCTTAAAAATTACCCTGCAGGTTTGAGGCTAGCAACAATTAACACAAAATACTCACAAAAGTACCACAAAAATGCACCCAAGAGGCAGGTGATAATAGATACCTGCAAGGATGGTTTTGAATTCTTCAATAAGTGCAGCAAACCCAGGTGTCGTTTTCTTCAGCTGAAACCAGGTCATAGCAAGTCTGATGGTGATGGGAGAGCAAGCGATGCTGTCACCTCAGGTCAGCAACTCCCTCCCATGGTGTTCAACAATACAGGTTTGGGGTCGACTTCTTTGGGTCTGTTGGGAGCTGCCCCAGAGGTTTATTATGGTCCACCCCCAGTAGGGTTTGGAGAAGTTGCATTTGGAAGATTTGACATCAGTGGATCAGGTTTATTAGGCGCCTCGCCAGCTGTAGCTGCTGCCTCAGCAGTTCCATTAATGGGTCTTGATGTCGGTGCTGCAACTGAGAATCCACATACACAACCTGGACAGCTAGGTCTCCTTGGGCCTGTGGTACATCAACAAAGACAGGTTCAGCAACAGCAACCACAAAAACTTCCCCTGAAGAAAACTGCAGTTGGTCTTGTGCAACAAGAGCAGATAAGAAGTGTGCCAAAAGTACAGCCTGTGAAAGAAAGTGGGAAGAGAAGTAAGAAAAACAAAGTTAGTGGCCAGCCTCCAGAGATTACATTTGGAAGCTTGGATGCAACTGAATTGACTCTGTTACAGCCACGAGACCAAAAACCTAAGCAAAGTGTTGCAATCAAGCAGGAACATGTGCAGCAACAAACCCAACCGAAGTGGCCACAGCCGTATTTGAAGGAACAGCTGCAGGGGCAGCCCCACAAGATGAAAACAAGTGTCAAACAACTGGACACAAATCAATGCAGGGATGCTGCAGTCCTTAGCTCAAGAGACAAACAACAGGAATGGTCTGCATCAACTCAGCAACAGCAGCAGCAGCAGCAGCAGCAGCAGCAACGAAAGAAACCTAGACAGGAATACCTACCACTGGATCAGTACCCATCTCTTTCTTCATCACGAAGCAGCAGCTCAAAGCAACAAGCTCCTAAACAGAGCACCCTAGATGAAGTGGCCCAGACCCTTATTGACAACCTTGCTGCAGCCAATGAGCTGGTGACAGTGGAAGGCGTGGTGGAACTTCTCATGCAGCATTTTCAGGCTGCCAGCTTGCAAAAGCTGGGGCTACGAAACGAGAACCAACTACCAGCCCTGAAGCAGTTGATGAGGCTCCAGTCCAAAGTCAATGTCTTCATCCAGGCATTTGTCAAAGTCAGGGCCATATGTACGCTCCATGAGCTCAGGGAATCCCTAGCGATGGTAGATGCCCCAACCGGTTCAACAGAGAAGCTTGACTATGCTGCCCTTCACCTAGGTCCTTTATCCAAGCAGCCCCTGGTCTATCAGTTCTTTAAGTTTCCACCAACCAAAGATGACAGCGATATCCCCAAGATCACTACCATTGATGTTTTGGAAGTCCTGAACAGATTTCTGACTGCCAAAGATCTGTGGAGGGATCGTGTCAAGTTGGAGGACTTTATGGAATACGTTGTAGAAGAGTATGATCTGGAAGGGCCGTATGACTTGGGCTTGCGAATCCAGAGTGTTGCTCTTGGCATTTCAGTAAGTTTCCTATGTACAGTTCTTTTCTGAAATTAATTAACAATTCCATTACACATTTACTCATGAATGCACAAACCTTGTAACAATGATTTTTAGTAGATAATTTCTAGCTCGAAATGAAAAAGAAGGTCTTTGTACCAAATTAAAGAGGTGCAATTTTACATTCCTATCACTTCTAAATTTATGAAATAAATGCTACTTTTTACTTATATGTACTCTTTTCAGGCCCTCAAGACTGCCAAACGTGAACAGAAAACAACCATGGACCGGGCTCGTGAAAACATAAAGACTTCCATGACTGAAGAGGTGACTGAAGCCATGGAGAAAATCCGCAAAGCTGTGATATCACCTGCAGACATTACCGGGCACCAGTTCCCCCCGGGCCCTATGCTGGAGGTGCGGCGCCGCTACTGCAACGTGACAGCGGCAGAGGCGGTGAACATGGTGTTTAACAATGCCTACGAGTTGACTGTCAATAGCAGACACCTGAAGCAGTTCTGCTTGGCGCTGAAGAGCATGGTGATGGACAGGCTCAGCCGGTCGCTGTTCCAGTTGGCTATTTGTAGTGGTGACCTTAGTCGACCCAGTGACCTTCCAGAGGGGATTCTGGATTCTGAAGACGAAGATGAGGAGGAAAGAGGTCCTGATGAGGAGGAGAGAAGCCCAGTCAAATCAAAACCAACTGAAGGTATGGGGTTTCTTAAAACAGTGGCTTTGTCTCTGGCTCCAACTTCATATCTGTCTTCAGCATCATTTTGAAGACTTCTGTATCCAATGGAGAAGCAAGATAACAGAAAAAAAATCTGACCAGGTACAAAGGATCTGATACTGAATTGATGAATCTCTCAAGTCAGAGACAATAACTCTAGCCAGAGATGAGGCCAAGTTTTTTAAACACCCCTGTGAAAGATTACAATAAAGAATTTAAAGCAAATTATTCCCTAGAGGCATATTTTTATAAGAGCCTTCTTGGATCTTACAAAATCAATCACTGTGATGTTGTAGCCCAACTGTGATGGGATACTAAAAGTAGCTGGGCTCTATTTTCCTCATTTTTACAAAATCTTTTATTACATTGCCAGTGGTAAATAGGCTAAACACTCAAATTGTATGCAGCCAAAGTAACAGATGGTACCAACTGAATGAGAGAAATATGGTTGGTTTGGAATGTGTACAAATTGTTATGAAAGCTGTGCCAGATTTTTTCCATATCTGCTTTGTGTATTCCAAAGTGCGCTTGTACACAGTGCACAGTGTGCAAAACAAAATATGTACAAAGTTGGACAAATAAATGAAATTAGTTGAAGCTTTCCAAAGTATTCTTTGAGAAGTTGGCTATGTGTCAAAAATTGCTACAAACCTCTTTGTTTCTTTTTTTCTTTTTTGCCTCCTAGATCAAGTCCGCGAAGAGCTGCAGCGTTACCTGGAACGTATTCAGCATGGAAATGTCAATCTCAGAGACCTTGCCCGCATCGAGGACAAACTTTGCAAGCATTTTGACTATCAGGACTTTGTGTCGCTCAGCCGAGCCAGGAAAACCTTCCTACAGTTCCTTTCACTGGACCATCCAGAGGTAATAATGATAATAATTTGGGGGTGAATCATTGTTCTTCTTGTCTTAGTGTGCTGTTGGACCCTTTCCTTTCAGTATTTGGCACGATACAATTGTCCTGTTCTGTTGTGTATGGGCTATGGTGTTTTGCATACCCAAGATGGCAAATGGCAACTATGGGCAGCAGTGTCACTGGGCCACCTACAGTTAACCATTTTTTTCCCAATCGCCCACTTTTGCCCCGTCACAAACAATAGCCTCCATCAAAATACAAATGCGGAAGGGGGGGTGCTTTGTCACCTAGCCTCCATCAAAATACAAATGCGGAAGGGGGGGGGGGGAGGGGGAATGTAGCTCTGCGCCAATGTTAAAAAAAACACCTGCGCCAATGTTCAACATCTTGCAACAGGGGGCACTGTTCAAAGCGGGCGATACGGGCAAAGTGACAATGGGCATGGGCGTCGCGAGGGGGGGGGCAAGGGGGGCACTTGCCCCCCCCCCTGGAAAAGCAACCCCCCCCCCAAAAAAAAAAGGAAGAAAAAAAAAAGGGAAAAAAAAGAAAGGAAAAAGAGGCGCGAAGACAAAGTGGTGTAAATTTAATGAGTTGGGGGGGGGGGGGCAAAATGTCCCTGCCCCCCTCTAAAAACTGATAAATCGAGAATGTGTTGAGAAATACAAGCATTTTTTGGCAACAATTTTTTTTGCCCCCCTCTAGAAAAAATCCTGGCGACGCCCATGACAATGGGTGGCACTCTACACCCAAGCATATTGGCCCATGGACACAAGATTTTGCAGGCAGGCAGATACTTTTGCGGAGAAATTAATTGGGGTGTCCGCCACCCCCCCCCCCCCATGATGCCCATGCCAAGGGAAAGACAGGGTGCCATTTGTTGAAACACAGTACTGCCCATCATGTTGCTACCAAATTTCTTACCAAAGTCTTGCATTAATGGCATTTGAGAGGTCCATGTGTTGTTTTCCCACGTGTGACTTGGGTTGGGCCACAACAGACAATTTTGTTTACTTCGTAGCGTCTTCAGAGATTGGTAGATTACGCATTTGGGTAACATATGTTGGAACAACAGTGTTTTAAAGTCATTATACTGTCGTTGACAGATGTATAGTTGTTCTGGTGTTTGTTGTATACTAAACAGGTACATTGGCATATTTAATCGGTTCTACCGTGATCTAAAAAAAAAACTGCATCCAAATGGTTGTGACATTATAACAAAGTCCTATCTAACTCCCAAAATGCAATGCAATATTTTTGACGTCATAGCAACTCGGGTTAATACACCCACATACATTGATACACATGCTTTTCTACGATCCTTTAAAAATATATGTTTTAACATTTGCTCAGGTTTTGGAGAGTGTTGGCGGTACCCTGATGGGGCTGGTATCCAGCAATCCCAGCCAGGGGTCCATCTACAGACCCTCGCGCATGGATCTGGTGGAATTCATCCGACAGTGCGACCCTTGCAAAGTATGTGTTTTAAGCAACACCTGAAAGAAATATTTTATAACTTGGTGAAAAAGATCCCCCTTCCAAGCTTTTTCCAGTAATGAGCATGTAATCTAACAACAAATGCTGTCTCCTGATTGGCTGAGAGTGAGTCACATGGTACATACATTGGCCGTTTTTGTTTTTGTTTGTTTTATCTTCCACACTACTACCCAACTAGATAGAATATAGTGTACATCGATACATGAAAAAAACCTCCAGAGCAATGATGAAAAAAATGAAAAGTTAAAATTTACTTCTCAGAAGTCCTAAAGACTTCTTTACGAAACTCCAGACAAAATTAAAGTTTGGGTAAGAAACACGAAGAGAGGATTAAACTTAGCTACAATAAATGTTTCCTTTTAAAAAAAACCTCACTCCTATTCTTTCATCACCGCAAAATTGCTCAAAAATTGCATTGAATGTATGCTTAAAATCAGCTAAAATCATGTTATTTTACTTCATTCATGCAATTTTGATATGAGAAATAACTCCAGATTCCGTGCACAAGCCTTCCCTCGACCGTTGTAAAGAGAAAGTTGCATGGGCGGGACCACTTGGAGAGACCCTTGGTTGCTTTAATTGCTAACGTACTGGTGCCTGAGTGACGCTCACCTGAGGACATAATAATTTATAGTCGTGTTTACTTGACACCACACACACAAGAACTTGGGTGCGTCCCTCCCACGAGAGCTCTAATGCAGCCGTCTACTTTTCATGCACACAGTCCATACTTTCTTGTAGAAACAAATTAAGCTTTCCTTGGATTAAACTTTGACTTTCAAAGGAATCTCAAGACACCCTGGATATCTGCCTGTGTGCCCACTACCAGGTCAGCAGTGTGGAGGAGCTAGGACATGGACCTGTCAATCGGCTGAGTCAACAAATCATCAAGATGGCCAATAAGTTAGGCCAGCAAGAGGAGCAAAATGCCGTCATCTACGAGACGGCATTGTGTGCATCAAATAGGTGTGGTTTTAGTTACTGCCAAAATGTCTATGACCCGACCCAAATTAAGGAGTCCTTTTTCACTAGATTTACTTTTGAATAAAAGGAATTTTTGGAAAACATGTATACAGGCTGAGTTAAAAAGAAAGTGACCCGGATTAAAGATTTCTTTTCTTAAAAAGCAATCAAATTTGATACACCAATGTCTTAAAGAGCATGTTCTTTCACTCATCTGAGGAAGGGAATTACTGAAATTGATCCATGCCATCAGAAGTTATGCATGTTTTACTAAAATAACCCATTTTTATAGCTGTCCATGGAATGCCATTGGAAGCTATTGAGCTGAGTGAGAATTACAGATTACAGACAAGCATTTAAATACAAATGAGATTTAAATAATTCTAATCAAGACTGAAACATTATTTTTACTGTCAGATTTTGTGTTTTGAATATGAGGAAGAAGTCAACCCTTTTTTTTTCTGAAATATTGATGGCGATTTTTGCATGTTTTCCTTTACAAGTTATCGTTCATTCGATCGAGTTGGGAAAACATCCGTGTTTCAATGTACTCAATGGGTATTCATCAGTTCGTAGAATTGTAAATGAACAGTGGTGGACAGCCCAGTTTTGTGATCTTCTTTATTGAAATAGACATAACATGGGAATAGAGTATATGCACATTACATGAAATTTTCACAGTTAAAAGATAATAAGATGCACTTTATCCCTATGTTTTTTGTATGAAATGGAGCAAGCCAAATATTTGACAAGTATTTTTCTAATTCGGTCACTTTCTTTTTGAATCACCATGTAGTGGAAATCATGTATATCTGAATATATTACAATGTCAATATTATTCCCAAATTTTGACAAGATGAGTTGGGATTGACAAGTTTCAGCAAGTTTCGCAGACATGGTAGGAAAGAAGGCTTGTATCAGGCATGCAATTTTCACTTGGATCAGCTGATCTAAACTTTTTTCACTGCACACGTATGCCATTAAAATTAAAAAAAAAAATTAAAATTCAAAACAAGTCTTTCAAAACATGGAATTCCCTCTTAAATTTTGTTTAGTTACTTCCTAGATGCATGCCTGTTATATAGATGAGAGCCAATTAAGAGAAACCGGCAAAGGGGGCTTAACTTACTCCTGGATTCAGCAGTGTTCTATGCAGCATTTTAGTTTTAACTTATTTTCTTTCGCATACATTCTTTTAAGGCGGAATGAGAGTAAACGCAAGGATGTCGGCTTGTTTGGCTCTCAGAGCCTGGAGAGCGCCATCGCCTGTCTGGCCTCTGCCCCTCTGCTGGAGGATCTAGCCGAGTGGTCTCATTGGTCGATGGTCTTTGAGCCGGAACATGGAAACCTGAAAGCATTTCTGGAACGAAATCCTGGTATGGCGTTTGTGTGATCAGATATCTCTTTCTTAAAGCCACTTATTTGACTTTGCTTGTGGTTCAAGTTCTCTGCAGATTTTAATCAAATTTAGCTATTACCAAAAAGGATGTAATTTGGAATAAGAAATCAGAATCTTTTGATCTTGACTTTCAGGTCAAAGTGTGTCGCCACCAATAGAAATCAATGCCTTGGAGGTCCGACCAGGAGTCCTGCTCCGATTGGCTGCAGAGACGTCACCTGACCTGTTTGCCGCAGCCGCAAAGGGCGGTGACAGCATCACAGCCAGTGGTCATCTTGTCTCTTTGGTGGCCAAGGAGGGCCCTGGCAACACCCCCCTGGCATTGCTTAGCAACCACATGGAGACGGCTCTGAATGTTCTGGCCGTTGAGTCTGAGGGAGATGAGATGAAACACTGCACTGTGATTGGTTTTGTGCTGGACTGCCTACTGGCTGTGCCCCTTCTCATTGGACAGACAGTTGTTAGGCAGGTCTGTAGGGACGTTGTGTCCCAGATTGTGAAATGTTTTAGAAGTTTTGCTTTGAGAGATGTACATTTTAACATTAGATTTTGTCACTTACCAACGTCTTGGAAAAACATTCACAGGGTTGAACTGGAATGGGCCTTTAACCTACCATCTTGTTACCAGTGCAGATGTTTACCACTTGACCACAATTTCCTTGAGAAGCGGCAAAAACTTAATGTAAATAATTTTGAGTATTTTTAAATTTAAAGATTGACCCTACTGTTTTTGTCACTGCAGGTCATCTTAAATCCCCTGACAACCGTCATTGGGTCAGAGGTCAAATCAAGACAGTTGATTCTCAAGGCCTGCCGCACTTCCACCCAGAGGACAAAAATCCAGAGGCTGGGGCTCCTGCTAGGCATTAGCCAATGGAAAAACAGCTTCACAGAGGAAAGGATGCCCCGGAACATGGATAAGGAGGAAGACTTTGAAGAGGACTTCTTTGGAAATGAGGAAGAGTTTGACTTTAGTAACTTGCTTGGGATTCACAAAGCTCCAAAAACTACCGAGGTGACAATTTTATCGATTTATCTGAATTCTTTCTGGTAATAAATAAAACAGTTCCTCAGTGTTGCATCTGAATTGAGCAATATCGTAGCTTTTTGTAAAAAAAAAAATGCAACATGATTCCGAAATTAAGCAAGTTTATCCTATCTGTGAGTCTGGGCTTTTGATATCTTTTGTAGAGCCTCTTGAAGAAAAATCAAGTCACAAGCATTCATATTAATTGTGATAGTCGTGTCCCCCCCCCCCCCAGTTGTGACTTGGCTTGCAATCTTAATTGTGAATTGATTCATGATTAGTCAATTTCACAAGCTTTGATAAGAGGCAACAAATCTCACAAATTGTCCACAGCCAGCAGAAAGCTCTTCAACCGCAGAGGTCAGTCCCATTGACACACCATCCCTTCAAGATGCTGAAGAGCTTTCCCAGACATCGCTGGAAAAAGATGAGCAGAGGGGAGATGCCCAAGAAGTCCTTGAAGAGGAGGAGACAAACGAACAGTTTGAAGATGAATTTGGCATGATCATTGAAGCAAGTGATGAGGATGATGAGAAAAATATGGAAGTTCAAGAGGACATATGTGAAAGTAAGGAAATCTGACATTTAAATGTTTCTTTGATTTTGTGGGTTTTTGTAGTAAATGTTATGGTTTGTTAAAGAAAAAAGAAGGCTGTGTCGAGATTTGTAATCTTGATCCCAAGTCGATTTCAGTCAGAGGCCTTCCAGTCTCAAGTGAAGTTACAAGTAATTCAAATGAACAGCGACATACACATTTCTTTGTTATAGTTCATCCCCTGGTACTTGATACCCGGCTTGTGATTAACTCATGATTTATTGGTTTGACTTAATGTCAACTCTTGTCCTAACAACATTCACGTTTTAGAAATAGCACACACACTTTGTCTCATAGTGTTTGTCTTAAAGCCTCTTATTCTTCTTTTTGCATTGGGGTGTTTTTTGGACAGAAGAGTTAAAAATGTTAATTTCAATAAAACAAAATTGTAAATTAAAAAGGGACTGAAACAAAGTGGGGTTCATGAATCTTTTTTTTTTTCTTAAAGTGGTAAAAAAGCTCTAAGATTAAATTTGATTATTTCATTTCCACTAGAATGAGAAGGTAGTGCCAATGATTTTCCAGCAGGGGTCTCAGGAGAAGAAATTTCACCTTGGGATGAGAATTTGGATGAAAATTAATAAAACAAAAATAAACATCAAATCTACTTTTTTGTTTCCGCTAAGGAGAAGGTGATGCTGATGACTCTCAAGCAGTGGGCACAGGAGAGGATATCTCCTCCCATGACGAGTGTTTGGATGCAGATGCTAAGCCCCTTAACGAAGAAACAATCAAGACCGAGGACGAAGTGGAACCGGAGCCTGACCTGACGCCATTCCAGCGCGACGTGCTGGACTGCCGGGCAGTGATCCACAGCATCTGCCGAGAGGAGTTCGGCGTGGGAGTGGAGCTGGACGAGCAGACCCAACGACTGATGGACCGGCAGCGGGAACGCATCGGTCGCAGCCTCAAACGACTCTCTGAGGAGCTGTACAGCAAGGACACCCACTTTGTCCTGGAGCTGATCCAGAACGCTGACGACAATGAGTATGAGGCTGGGGTCGAGCCTTCCTTAATATTCCTGGTGGACAGGTCAGTAGTTGTGGCGAGATAATACTATTTCAAGACTATTTCAAGATACAGAGGTTGCAATACAATGTACGTCATTAAAATTGTTAATTTATTTCAGGTATTTAAACAATGGATTCCTCAAAAGTGCCATTTCACTGTAACTCACAAGCCTGAAGAAACCTGTAGAGAGAAGGCAATGAAGAACAGTGCAAGGAAATCCTTAGACTAATACTCTGGGGGAAACCCATGGAATTGTGCTGGAACTGAAATCCCAATCCACGTGTCGTCTTGGGCGGGATTCGAACCGAGGCCGTTAGAATTGGAAAGCAAGGAACTGAATCCCCATTACTGTCATGAAATGTATCACAGGAATGAGTTTTTCTCAGACTTATGTCTGAAATCTTTCCTTTTGTTAGTACATTTTGTAAATATAGTCTGTCTTTTGCCGACAACATTCAACACCAATGATCACAGCAGATATTTGGTGCAGTCATGCCATATTGTGGCATTCTTGTCTCGTGATTATTGATACCTCTGTGTATATATATCATTGCTCCCCTGCAGGTCTGAGGTGACTGTCTTGAACAACGAGGTTGGGTTCTCAGAGAGCAACATCCGGGCTCTCTGTGATGTTGGGAGGAGCACCAAAGGAAAACACAAGAGAGGATACATCGGTAAATGCCACTGGATATTACGAAATAATATCCAGTGTATATAAATTATAAAATATTACGTAAATATACGAATGCAAAGTTGTGACATCATGGTTCATGCTGAAAATTTATGACCGTTCTGGTCATTTTCAATTCACCATTCAGGTCACAAGGGCATTGGATTCAAATCAGTGTTCAGAGTGACCGACAAACCTGAGATCACGTCCAAGGGCTATCATGTGTGCTTCGATCAGAGTTCCGATCAGATGGGATACATCTTGCCGACCTGGGTAGGGCCTGAAGAGATCCAGGATGTTGCCCAGATGGAGGAACCTCGCAAGCCGTAAGAGCTAAATAATTTGTCATACAGATGATACCGTAGATTGCAATTCTTGCCAATAGATTGATCTATTAAGTCAGCCCCGTGGTTGTTTTTTACCACCAAGATTACGTATCCTTCCATTGACGGGAGGCTTTGTGGCAGTCCAGAAACTTTGCAAATTTCATGAATATCCATCATAACTGCATGATCTCATGAATATTTAATTGAACAGCTGGACCACCCGGATCACCCTGCCGTTGAAGGGAGACTTCCAGCGAACCACCAGCCTGGTCAACAAGTTTGAGGATGTCCAGCCATCCCTACTGCTGTTCCTAAACAGACTACGATCAATTGTCATCGTTAACAAGGTTGGGTTTATGATTGATAATCCTCTCAGTTCTATTTTACATTACACGTAGTGGAGCACCATACTACTCCGTGTACCTCATGCTTTGAGTATGCACCTGAAAGTGTGAAAGGGTACCTGGATGTTTAGGGAAAGTTAAAGAAAATCCCCCACCCTTGCCCACTTTGGGAAATGTTCCAGCAGCACTCTCAGCAAACTATATGGGCATGAACCCGGCAGTATTTTGACTGCAGGAGCCTCGGACCCCTATGGTAATGTGTCTTCCCGAATAGTTCTGAACGTTGTGTTCATATGTGGAACATTTGCTCTCTTAATACACCTAAATTCTTCAATTTGTTTTACAATTTTAGTCTTTGTATTGATATATTTTCAAATTCCAAGATTCTAAGATTTTAAATATGCCTGGTTTCAACGGGTTTTTTTTTTTTTTTATTGCATGAAGCCGCCTTTTTCTCTTTAATTGTCTCTTTAGTTTCACACACAATTTTAGAACAATTTCAAGGTGACAGTGGAAAACCGTCTGTGATATCCTTTGGGGTAAATGGCCAGGGGGAAACAAGTATGATCTAATTATTGTTAACAATTTTCCAAGTAGGGCAAATGGGGGTTTGGGGTCGTTTTGAGATTATTTGGCATCTCTCCAAACCAAAAAAATTGTAACTGGAAATTGCTGCATGCAACTACAAGTCAAAGGAGAGAATTTGCCTCACTGGTTCATGTGCACGTGGACATTTCCTACGTTATGATGTAAATTTTCAGGAAGAAAACACGACAAGCCACATGAGCAGAAGAGATAAAGGAGGCAACGTTGTGGAGATCCGCCACTCCAAAACCACTGACAGCTGGCTGCTCATCAAGAAATGCTTGGATGCTACTAAGGTACTGCACAATATTTATTCTCCTGCAACTGGAACGGGATTCGAACCTGTAGCCTTTAGATTACTTTTCCAGTGCTTTACCGATAAAGTTGAATCGGGCTGCAGTCACTTTCCTTCGTTCAACTGGTAACACATTTTATGTCAATGAACAAGTCTTATAATGTAAACTGATACTTACCTACGGCTTCATGTACATTCCTTTGGGTGGGCAATCAGAACAAGAATATGCATTTGAGCATAAGACAATATTTTATGTGGCAATTGTTTAATTGCCAAGTCTGTTGATTTTTTGTTGAGCATAGTCTTAGATTGAGGCTGGCTCCTTAAAGTCTGGACGGAAATTTGTAATGACAACAAAAAAATAACCCATGATTTCACCTTAGCTTTTTTTGTTAAATGTATTAAACATGCCTTTAAAATGTTTTGTTTTATTTTTTGTCAAATAGTTACAGCGAGTGGGCATTGAATCGACAGAGTTGGGTCTAGCCTTCCCTCTGTCTGACGGCATGTCCAGCGAGCAGAACGTCTTTGCTTTCTTGCCACTGAGGAGCTATGGTTTCCGCTTCATCATTCAAGGTAAGATGAACCCAGGAATTTCTGCTTAGTGTCTGAGGAAGTAACTTTTTTAATATGAAGGTAACTAGAGATTTAATTGTTAGAGAATTTGATTTTGTTGTGACTGTAGATAGTTTGAGAATGTTCTCGAAGTTTCAAGACAAGATTTACTGCCTCATCTTATTCATCAACAGTTTGTGTTTCAAGGAGTGCTGTGATGAAGTATTTTCCTCAAGCTTCTTCTGTTGTACTCCCTCATTATTCCTTTCCAGGATACTTCATTCTCTCTTATCTTGTTTTAAACAAAATGTCAACAGATTCCTTCTTTATATTAAAAGCATGTTTCTTTCCAATTATTCTTTTTTTATGGGGGGGGGTATGTTTGTTTGTGATTGGCCAATTTTATGAACCAAAACTGTTCATATATTGTTTATCTCAAGTCCATGCTCAATATTTTGTATCACAGGCGACTTTGACATCCCATCATCTCGGGAGGACGTGGATGCTGACTCTGCCTGGAACCAGTGGCTCTTGCGGGAGATTGCGCCGCTCTTCATCGATGCCCTGGAAAACTTCAAGGTCAGCAGAGATCTATTCAATCTGTTCTAATTGTTAGATGGTGAGCTAGGCTTTGTCCACAAGTTAAATTTTTCTCCTTTAAATGCAGTCAGTCCCTGAAAAAAAAACATGGTCAAGTCTCCAATGGCAGTAAAAGGACGATATCACTGAGATCAGTCAAATCCTGTCTTAAGCACTTTGGCACTCAGAATCAAAACTTCTGAGCATACCTTACTTTATTCATGCAAATAATGTGTGCACTGTATTCAAGCTAGTGCACGCTTGAGGTATGCTCAGGTCCGATTGCTAAAGTGCCCTCTACCGTACAGTGGCTTGACTAAGCTTATTGCCAGGGATCACGACTACATGGCTGCATCATACGAACAAAATAAAATCCAGACTTGGACCAAGACTAGGAGTGATTTGGGCCCAATTTCATGGCTCTGCTTACCACAGAATTCCGTGCTTATGTTCACCATTTTGCACTCACAGCGCTAGCAGGAAACTTCTGTGCTAACCCAGTAAGCACAGAATCCTTAGTTACCAGATGTACGCATGCGCACAAGCCAAATTTCCTTGCTAACCCGTGAAATATGCTTACCGTAAGGAGGGAATTTTCTGCTATAGTAAGCAGGGATTTTTCATTAACGGTATGCAGAGCCATGAAATTGGGCCCAAAATCAATCAAAATAAGGATGGTTTACAAAAGTTCAGCATAATGATGAACTATGGTAGTAATCTAGCTGAGATCAGCCAGAGATGTAACTACTATGCTAGTCAGGCCTGTCAACTCTCACGCATTGAGCTTGAGACTCGCACATTTCAGGTTATTTTCAAGCTCTCGCGCCCACATGTGATTTCTCACGCTAAAAAAAAGTAAATAATTAAATTATTGACTCCAAACTCGAAAATGATGTTTAAGTGATGATCTGTTGCTAACAAAAAATGGTTTAAGTGTTCAGAAATTGCCTCAGATCGCCCTACAGAACGTCTAGAATCCAAAATTTTCCAGGGCCCACTTGCCGTTAGGGCTTCGCTCTCGCATTAGTTCTGATCACGCTCCATCGCCATATTCTCACTCTCAGCTCTTACTCAAAGTTGGCATCTCTGTACTAGTTCATTTATGAACACAGTTGGCGAAATCCATTTGTACATTAATATGCTAGTTCAGTTATGAACACAATTGGATAAATGCATTCGTCACTATAGCAATAACGATGATAAAACAGGGATTGTATGCCTCTTGACCAGAGTCATCTTGGTTTATGAAACATGAAAATAACAGAAATAAACTGAAATGGAGCTGTGTGACTAGCTATGAAACTGGGAAACCAGATTTGTATGACCTCCCCCCGCTCAAAATTCGGAGAAGAAAATAATAGCTTTGAATTGTTTGAAAAATGTTCCGCCCCCACCACCTCCATGTAATGGGACCCTTTGGAAAAGCTGCAGCTAAATTGGATTTGTGCCACTTTGTTTGTTTTTAATTGTGAGTATTTGTTGTGAATTGCTTACATGTTTGAAGTTTTGTGAAATATCCCATCCCTTTTTTAGGCGCACTACGACGGCAATCCCGTCCATGCCGTCTGCCAATTCCTCAAGTTCGTTCCTATGGAGAGTCAGATTCTGACGGACTTCTTCCGGAAGGTGGCCACCAACATCCACCAGAGACTGAAGGCCACACCCTGTATGCCGGTACTCACTGGCCAAGGAGAAGGCAAGTTTGCTGTATATATAGACTAATTCGGCAATGGCCATTTTCTCAGGTGGCACCAGGCAGGCTTGTGCCAGTCGCGCTCAGGTAATATGCACCACTCCGGGCTCCTTTGACCAAATTGGTTACCAAAATACGAAGGCGCATTGTCTTTATGAACACGTGCAGCATGCGCCTGGAAGTGGTTCCACAGCAAGAATGGATTCTAAATTTGTTTACGTTCGCCGAATGAGTCTATAGACTAATGTGCATGGCCTTCAGACTGCACACTTTGGTTAACAACGGAAAAGTTTGATGAAGGACCATTGGGCAACTAGTGGTTTATTTTCATGTCTTAGCTTACCCCGTGCGTTAATAGCAATGTGCGTAATCTAAAAAGACTACTGTCTAATACCGACCATGAGCAAGTTTGTTCAAGATGTATACTTTACCTTTTAACCAACTGTGCATCAAGTACATGCTTATAGTCAATGATTGCTTGATTAGTCTATATTTGGAGTAGCCTATAGAGGTTGGTTGCATGGCCGGTTTCCAATGGCCATGCACATCTTCATCTACAGCAGGAAGCCAGGACCAAGAAGTTCTACAAATGTACATTATAATTATAATTGCACATTATTGGATAGGAAAAAAAATTGAATGCATTTTATTTTTCCTTCAGATGATGTTTGTTGGAAGTTGCCATCAGAGACCCTCACGTGTCCAGACCGTAGCGTCCGGGAGTTGGTCTGTGAGTTAGTTCCAGAGGACACCTTGCGAGAGCATCTGAGCTGCTCCTACCTACATCCGCACGTGGCGAGCGCCGTCAGTGAGGTGTTACTCAAGAGTCTGGGAGTCAAGGTGCTACAGATGGCGGAGCTGATGAACATCCTGAGCAGTGTGGCACGGGCAGCTAAACAGACAGGTATAGTGGCATACGTAACTGGAGGCATTTCAATGCCTTTAACCCCACCCCTCCGATTTCCCCCCCCCCCCTCCTCCCCCACCCTCCTCCCCCACCCTCCTCCCCCACCCACTCTGAATTTGGAGAATTTGCAAGATTAGCTTTGTATCCATAGTTTTTATGAGACAGAATTGCATCAGGGAGATGTACATTTTTTTTCATGTTAAGTTTTACCCCGCCAATGTATTTGCCACTGCATACTCAGTGTGTCCGAGGGCTTTCAAACAAAATATTGACAAGCTTACTCAGGTGGGACTCGAACCCATGACCTCCTTCTAACTAGTGCAGACCTTCTAAGATGTCAATCTGAGTGATACCCCAAAACAAAGAGTATGAAAGAGTATGTTCTTTCTATGACTTATGATAAAAGGAAGTCACTTATGTGCAACTATGGGTATTGCTGTTACAGAGGAACCGTTGTCTCCTAAAACTGTGGCACAATGGCTGACCTGTATCTATCGTAGCCGCGACAAATATGACGTATCCCAGGGAACACTGGACCAGCTACGATCCATTCCCATGATCCCACTGTCATCAGGACGGGTTGTCACCATGGAGGAGGGCAGCGTGTTCTTCCCTATCAGTGAGGAAGAAAGGACCGACCAATCACAAGGCCAGATGCCATCAGGTGATTTCTTCTTTGACCAATAAGGTGGATGCTGAGATGGTGGATCCGATGAAATTAAAGTACCGAATGAAAACATGGTTATTTTTGTGAAGAATTTTTTTTTAACTCTTTTTATATTCGTGTTTATATGCCAATCTTATTTAAATGCTACATTTTCTTCGGAAATTCTGAGTTCAGTTGATGAAGCAATTTGTGAGCAGTTCAAGCCACAGACAAAACATATCTTTGGAGGCCTACTTTGTGTTTTACCTTGATTGCATCTTGTGACAATGTCATCATCCACTGAACCTGAAACCAATGAGCCTGAGCTCAAATGGAGACACGCTTGGTTGATGCAAGTTCAGATAAAAATTAATTGTGTGCATTTGAGGCAATACATGCTAAGGAACCAGTGCTTGCAGATACATTGTGTCTCTCCTAGTAGACTGATTCGGCGACCAGAATTATAGCCATAGGTCGAACCAGCTCGCACTCGGGTAGTATGCAAGCACTTTGTGCTTCTATGACCAATGGGCCTCTCTCAAATGACATTAATTCCAACAGATTGTCACGATGTATCGGCATTTTGAGCGTCAAATTTTTACGTGACGAGAATCGGCAGCGCCCTATTTCAAAGAAATTTTGAGCAACATGCGCATATGTTTAGAACATTCTGCACACTGCGCACACATGCAAATGATGGCATTGAACACGCAGTTGTAACTTTCCTACCAAGATGGCAGTCTATGAGTTATGAAAGGGGTCTATAGGGTTACCAAAATGCCTTGGTTTTAAGAACACATGCGGCGTCTAATTTTGCTCTCCAAATTAGTCTTTGGAGCTCTTGAGTGTTGATGAAGCACAATCTACTTTTGCACATATAATGACATGTTAAATAATAATCATAACTGCAATAATTTTGGTTTGTCCAACAGCTCACAGCCAACCCTTGCAGGCCTTGGAGGAGGACATGTGTACCTTAGACGGCCGAGTCCTAACCAGCCTGGACAGCGTGGCCAACTCCCAGGTGGTGCAGCTGCTTGAGGAGCTAGGAGTCCTTCGCATCAGCCCCAGGGATGTGATTGGCCACCACATACTGCCGGTCATCCAATCCGATCAGTGGAAGGTAGATTCTCGATTTGATTTAATATCAAAAACAACTCTCGTGGTGAAAATGAAATGGCTACTTTTGAGAAGATGTGAAAACTTGCACCAACTTTTCTCCAGGCGAATTTTGAAAAAATTACTTAACGATAAAAACTCTTTCAAAAGAAGTGAGACAACTAAAAAGACGGATGTGCGTACTTGCTGAAAATACTGTCAAAAGCGTTTTTCTGAAAAGGCACCTGAAACTTCCGTTTCTATACCAATAGACTGGTGGGTGACAAGCATTGTAAAAACTCAGTTTTTTTCGACAGTAGCTCCCCTCATGATAGTATTTATGCAAAAACACTATTGGTTTGATGCACATTCTGATGAAAACTAGTTGCCTGTACTCTGCACCATATGTGGAACTAAGCACTTGAAATTAAAGAGGTTGTGGAATGCTCGAAGACATTTCCGTCATTTTTTGGGTATATGTAGCCTAAGGTGTGATGAAATAAAAACGACTATTGTGTCTGTCATGAGATGAGTACAAAAGGTACTTTTGAGAGCTGTTTTTCAGGTCCTGTTTCGACCCGAACGTGCAATTTGTGTAAAAGTCATCATTGGGGGCAGCAAACAAAACATAGTAAATAATGACGTAATAAACGAGGACTTTTACACAAATTGCACGTTCGGGTCGAAACAGGACCTGAAAAACAGCCCTCAAAAGTACCTTTTGTACTCATTTCATGACAGACACAATAGTCGTTTTTATATCATCACATCTTAGGCTACACATACCTGAAAAATGACGGAAATGTCTTCGAGCATTCCACAACCTCTTTAATGTAGCCTTCACTGGCACTGGCGATTACTAATTGGATGAGCCTGTAACCTTGAGTATATAGTGATGTTGTTCTGTTACTCTCTTACTCTCGATCAGATGTCAAGCAGAAATGTTACTTTTCAAAACTTAAAGAGGCTATGAAACCCAAAAACCTCTTTTTTTGAGACAAAATGTTTGATAATTAGACCATTCCCTGAAGAAAATTGAACTTGTCACTACACAATGGGTGATCATGAGACATTTCTTCCCTAAACAAACAGATGGCAGAAATTTGAGGTTTCATTATGAGGTGTAGGTGAAATGGTGACATCAGTTTTATTGTTATTCCCATTGGAACAATTTAGGACAAATCTCGTGATGTTCTGGTCGGCTACGTAGTGTACATCAAAGAACAGCTAGCCAGGCAGCCGGATGTCTGTGACTTGGATAAGATAGCAGACTGCATCCACGTTGTGACCAACCACGGACTGATCCAACCCAGGGAGAGACCTGTTCACTTCACTGTGACGTATGGCAACCCTGTTGACCTTAATCAAGCCCTGCCAGGTATGGTGGTAGCTGAGTTGTGAGTTAGTGAATCAAAAGTCAAATCACAAGATGTCACAAGCCAGTCAAATCAGAGGTCACTCACCAGTCAATCACAAATCAAATTACAAAAAAAGGTCATATCACAAGTTAATCACAGGTCAATCGCAAGTAAAGTTACAATCCAAATCACAAGTCGAATCACAAGTCACATCACAAAACCATCGTAGCTGAAATCGCAAGTCAAATCAATCACAAGCCAATTGTAAGTCAAACAACGAGTCAATCATAACTCAAATCACAACCCAATAAGTCAAATCACAAGTCCATCACTCGTCAATTACAAATCATTGTAAATCTATTACAAGTTAAATCACATCAAATCACGATTTAAACACAAGTCAATCACAAGTAAAATCATAAATCCATCCCATGTTAATCACAAGTCACGATGTAGTGATATGAAAAAATGTGGCTGTGGGCACTGTGTGCGAACACCTACTCTCACAAAGCTACATTTTTCCTATCACTTCAAAATCACAAGTCATCGCAGCTTGTGACTTGACTTGGCACAGGATGACTTATGAGGATGCATGGCATCCTGGGGTTAACTGCAGGTATTATGCGTTCATCTCGCCAAACAGAATGTTGTGACCCACTAGCACAACAGTCAATAATAATCACTAAATTGGGGAGTGACTTAACCGACAGTTGTCTTGTCTTTCTTTCTTTCTTTCTTGGCAGGCTGTGATTGGGTTCTGTTGAACAGTTGCTACATCTTCCACAATGGGCCTCATAGAGTCCAGCCCAGTGAGGCTGTATCATGGAATGCTTTCTTCAGTAAGCTAGGGGTACTGAACTTCCTAGCTGTTGAGAAGAAAGTACTGACTGTGAAGGTGGAGGAACTGGTAAGTATTTCTCTCTCGAGAGAGAGTTGTGGAGTTCTGTGTCGATTGTTTTATTTAGGTTTTTTTTATATTGCTAATCTTCTCTTATGTTGTATTTTCAGATTTTATTACAAAATGGATACAAAAATAATAAGTTAATCCCCCCAAAAATGTGTTTTTCAGGATGTGACACCCTGGGCAGATCTTGGCCAATTCTGGGAGAAACCAGCAGATGGTGTCTACAAAATCCATGATAATGCCTGCAAAGAGTTTGAAGAGTTGGTCCAAGCCAATCTGGAAATGTCTACCATACAAAGTCAGCGACGGTGCCTTCTTGAGATTCTCAACCACGAATGGAGCAGATACTATCCTGCTTCCATGGGGGCTGAAGTGTTTGATCAGTCTGGGACAAAACTTGCTAGCACTGAGTCCAGCTTTGCAATCCACCTGAAGACAAGCCCTTGGCTGCCTTCAACTCCGATCAGAGAGGACAATGCAGGTCAGGAGGTGTTTCGAAGGCCTAATGACGTCTTCATCAGTTCAGGTAGAGCCAGGGAACTCCTTTGTGATCATGTTCCATACTTGGATGCCCCTGTCCAAGGGGATGGAGGCCCCATGCTACAATTCATTGGATTGAATTCCCTTGGAGTAGTTGATGTCAACTTCATGATTTCAAAGCTGAAGTGTTGGTGTGGTGATGAGGGCCAGTCTCCAGATCTTACATCCGAAACCCCCTTCTGCACCTCCTTGGGTCACATCATCAGGGTGTACCATTACTTGGAGCAGAACTGCCGTCCCCAGGAGCTCAAAGAATTATTCAGTGATCAGAGAGTTGTGTTTGTCCCTCATCAGAAGGCCTTATACGAGTTCCCTGTTCCTGGCCACTTTGTCCACAAGTCTCTGGTTTACTGGTGGGATCCTTCAAGTCTCTTACGGAAGTATGCCAACTTGTCCAACCGTGCTGAGCTGTGTACACTTTACCCCCAAAACATGGAGGACTTCTTTCTGAGACAGATCAATATTGACAAAATGCCGACCATCAAAGAATATGCCCAGGTCCTGGTGCATTGCGCTGGGGATATTTCACTTCCAGACAATGGTCGCATCAAGGAAGAAGTCTTGGTGCTCTACAGCATGCTTGGGCGAAAGTGCTCTGCGTTAAGCTCAACTGGACATAGCCAGTATTTGGATCAACATGCAGCTGGATCGGTGCAGCAGGAACCAGAATTTGAGTCGAGTTCTGTCCAGTTCTTGAAAAGCATCCTTGAGGGGCAAGCTATCTTTCCCACTTTGGGCAACAAGTGGGTGACGGCGAAGGAGAAGCCCCTGATCTGTGGCAGCCGTTCTTCGGACATCCAGAAGCTCTTCTTGGACAAGAAGGGGGTGCATCTGTTGAATTTTGGAGATCGGAATCGTCTTGGCCAAGTTGTTGAAGGTTTGTCTGGATCAGTGGGCCAACAATATGTGGATGTTTTCCTCAAGGCATGTGGTATCGAGATGCTGTTGGACTGCATCAAAGAAGAATTCATCAGCGAACTCACAAAGCCATCTCTCCAACTTCAGCTTTTCCTCCATGATGTCTGCCCCTACATCCAGCTCTACATGAGCATGCAGCGCAGTGTCAAAAAGGAGTTTAAATCCACCTACGAGAAACTTACAACAGAGGTAAACATCGCTGCCAAGTTGAAAGTCATGCGCTTCATGTCAGCCCAAAAGATTGACAAGGTCTACCGTTTCACACATGACCCCAGTGTGTTTGCAGAGCAGAGCGTTGAGTGTGGACTCCAGGAGCTGACAGAGTTCTACATAGTGACAGGCATCTCCAAGAATCTGCGACAGAACAGCAATGTAAGGCGAGAGGTGGCCAAACTCTTCAGCTGCGAGAGCACTGAGGTCCAAGAAGCATTGTTCAGTTTCATCGGCAGTCTGCTCCTGGAGATGGGGTCCAAGCGGGAAGAATCCGGAGAGAAAGGAATCAATGAGGGCATTTGCAAGGCCTTAGGGCTGACCTTCCCTCTAGAGGACGATAATGAACCATGGGAGGTACCCAAACCATTCATCCCAGAGGAAGTTGGTCAGTTGATGTCTTCTCTTGACTTAACCTAAGAATGTTACTTTTTTGGGAGCAGCAGTCTTATGTCCTATCCTGGATGCATCTTGTGGATTTTGGGGTTTTTTGTTGTAAATTTAGCATGGCTGAGTTTTGTGTTGAGGTTTAAAGTGAAAAAAAGGTTTGTCATTGAAGAAAAAGTAGTCTAAAAGCTTGGCACAAGGATTTTTATGCATATAAAACCTAACAACTACACTATTTTAGCAGGATAAGTTCTGCAAAGTTAGAGTTAAGTACAATTTTACTCATCGCCTGATCACGCAACAAATAATCTCTCAATATTTTTTTGAATTCTTCAGTTGTCAAACCGACCAAAGTCAAGCCACTGACTGAACCCACTATGCCACAGCCGTCAGCCAGTTCACTGCTTGAGGGTGATGACGATTCAGCTATCCACAGCTGGCCACCTCGGTCAGGGACCTATGGCCCACAAAAATCAACAAAAGGTAAGCGCCGAATACCCTAGGATTAATGGCGTCACTAATGAGTCATTTCAAACTGTTTAGCAAAAGGCTGTTGTAGAACTTAAGAGAAATAGCTCATTGATGGGAGGCCAGGTAAAAGATTGCACATTAACACTATTGGGCATTGTTTGAGGTACACACTTTTGTACATAGTGGTGATGTTAATGTGTTTCAGCCATTATTACATGCAGTCCTGTTTAATTAAAATTTCAGTGCAATAGGGACTTCAGACTACCTTTTTTCCCTTAATTTTATATTTCTTGTAATTGAAAGTTTTATTATGTAGTACAAGGCTTCACCTCGCCCTTTATGTGGGTCAGGCTGCTTCGCCGCCTGTTGCCTGCTTCATAGGTACATTGTAAGTTACCCACTTCGCTGGCAATCGCCTACTTTTAGGGTGATCAACTCGTGAACTATAAACTTGTGAGTGATCAGCTCATGAACACCTACACACATACACATGCCTTGCGTTTTATAGTATAGTGGTGTTTCACTGAGGCAGACATGCATGTCCATTGTTTTAATGAAAATGTTTGCTTGATTGTTCCAGCTGGTGGCCAGCCCAAGAATGAAGAAGCTGTCCTTAAGATGTGGCCTCCACCCCAGCCATTAATTGGTGCTCATCAAGCTGCCCCCTTTCCACTGGGTCCTCCGCAACCTAGTGAAGGCATGTCACATGAAGGCACTGCAATTACTCAAGGGATGCCGCACTACCAGAGGAGCCAAGATGACCTTGTTGTAGTGCGGACCTCAGGAGCCATTGGAGGAGGGGAGGTACCCTATCCAGGACAGGTAGTTGGACAAGGTAGGACGGTGTTTTACTGATGTGAAAACAATTTCTGATACTTGGATTTTACAGTTGAAATAAGAAGTAGATAGTTGGAGATGTTAGAGGGTTTTTGGAGATGTTAGCATTCGCCAATCGAGTCTTTGTTCATTCCTTTTTCTTGTGACCCGGCTTTCAATTTGACTTGTGATTGACTTTTTATTGACTCTATTACAACTCTCTGTGGCTAAAGATGTTCTTGAAGGATGAACATTTTGTAGTTTCCACATTTGTAATCTCTACAGTTCAGTTCATGTCTGTTCGGAATCTTCCAATAATCAGATTAATGCAGTTTGTTAAAACTTTAATATAGAATATGAGTAAATGGCATATTAAACACCTGTAATTGACAGTGCAATTATTATTTTGTTCAGGTGGAAGCAGAGAAGGCATTGGTCCCCCTCACCTTCACCAACCATATGCAGGAGGCCCAGTACAGCCCAGACCTGCCCAGGCACAGCAGGAAGCATTGTCTCCTAATGAATCCCCAAGTAATCCCACACAGTTAGCTAAAAACGTGGAGGAGCTCGGTTCAACAGAGGAGGATTCCTGGAAGAGTGCATCCGAGGAATCAGGAGAGGAGAAAGATGATAATTGCAATGGAAATGATACTGAGGAAGGCATTCCAGCACCAGAGAGGGTCAACGAAGAGTTTCACAGTCCGCCCCAAGTCCAGCGTTCAGCAGCCCTACCTCCTCCCTCCACCGGCAGCGTCAAGAAATTCTTCTTACCGCCTCATGCCGAGGGCGAGGCCATTGAGGTGGAATTTGAAGATCTTGCTCCTGGTCCAGCCCTTGTGGAAAGCCTGGAAGGTCTCAGCCTACCTCTCGGAGACAACCCAGACACGTCGGATATCGCACGCTGGGGAGAGCAGCTGGTGTATCTCTACCTGCGACAACAGGCTCAGAGTATGTCACTAGAAGCGTCAGAGGTTACAGTCAGGTGGATCAACCAGCAGGATGAGACAGGGGAGCCGTATGACATCGTCATCAGCCACGGCACCCAGAACATCTACGTGGAGGTGAAGTCAACAATCAGGGACCAGAAGCAGGTTGTGGAGATATCACCCAGGGAGGTGGCCTTTGCTCTGGAGATGGGTCAGGCCTTCCACCTGTACCGGGTGTTTAGTGCCGGGAACAACAGTGGGGTGAGGCTGTGTCGTCTGCAAAACCTAGCCCTCAGGATGGACAGGAAAGAAGTCAAACTCTTCATGTACCTGTGATGAGCAGACATACAAAAGTGGGGGAGGGGGCTCATTCCCTCTAAATGTCTAGTGCCCAGGTGCCTCTCCCCTGAAAAAGTCAAATTGCCCCAGCCAACCAAGACAAAATGTGGTCTTCGATCAGATGGTCAAATGTTCCTCGATAGAAAAATCCAGAATACACTCCAGGCCATTATGTGGCCACTCCATCTACCCTCATTACAAATTAATAACGAACTAAACTGCTGCAAACTGCTTACTGACTGGATTGACATGAAGCTGGTCTAACGTTTCAGTCTTTAGCGAGACCTTTCTCAAATGCAAGTTACCGTGGTACAGACACAAACATGTAGGGGACACATAAGCATCACAAAATTATTGTTATCAGAGAAACTATGTATTATTTGCTCTGCCTGAGCAAAACATAAATTTGAAACAGCTCCCAAATAATTGCAATCAATTAAGACATTCCAATGTTAGTAGTAGAAATGTATTTATGAAATGGTGGTTTGAAGGATCAGTTTTTCCATTTTTTTGGGGGGGGGGTACCACCAGAGGTCTTTCAATAGTGTACAGGTCTTATGGGTTAAAGTTTGCGACTTGTGATTGGAGGGTCCGGGGTTCAAATCCAACTGGCCATTATAATACTGTGCCCTGGTACTATACTGTGCCTAGGCACTTCAGCCTCGAGTGGTTCTCTCCACCCTGGAGAATAAATGCGTACCATCACTAAATGTTATTTGGCTTATTTGATGTGTATTTTCATATTTTTATACAAGAAAGTCGTTGGTAGATAAAAAATGGGTTTGTAGTTGAAAGCTTATGTTTAGTTTTGGCATGGTGTTCTAAAGACCGCTTGTCCATGTCATAAGTTTGAAACAGTGGAATCTAGTAACGGAATATGCTCATTATTTTAGTCCAGGACTTACAATTTTATATTTTTTCATTGTATTTTCAATCAAGTATCAAATACTAAAAATAATGAAGTTTAATTCATAAATAAAACGGCATGTAATATTTTCATTGGTAACATACATATACTTTTCCATATAAATTGGTAAACGTCTATAAATAGCTTGAAAGGTAATAGACACCATTTGCAAACATTCAAAACTATCAAAATATCATGAAATACCTCATTGATTGCTGGTGTAATAGATCAAGTATCCTGTATAATCATTAAACCAAGTATGCTGTCCTTTTTTTTAAAGAGGAGTTTTTGCCCTCATTTCCTGGCAATGATTAGGACCAAACCATTGTTCTTTCAACGGAAATCTAATAATCTATGCTTTGCGTCATGAAAATATGAAGATATATTTTCACAGTTTTTTTTCAAAAAGTATATTTTTTTGAGCTAAAGTTTTGACAGGTTATTTGTTTAATAACTTGCTTCAGATTGATTGTATAGACCTTTCTATTGTTTGAAAACATTGAGCGCCATTTTGTATGGGCTGCTATAAGCGCATAAATTGAAGCTGTGGTTGGCAACATTTTATTTATGTATTTCTTATTTTAACTGAGTAACCCATTCAGTGCAATCCACTGATCTCCCATGGGTCCCAGTAAAGAGAAGACAATGTGGAGATCACATATTTCCCCAAAAAGTCCTCATCATAACGCCTCATTTGAAGAAAAAGGCATGTTTATGAAGTATTTTGTTGCATTTGTTGATTATTTTGTATTCACAATTCAAATAATATTTGGGTAACCAATAATACCAGTTCTTAATTTTTTTGCAGTGTGGGCCTTCCATAGTTTGGCAACCCGTGGTTGGCAACATAGATGTTGACAACCACGGGTTGGCGACAAAAAGGTCGATTGTTGTTCCTTGAATCGGCAGAAACTCATTTTTGCAAATGATTTTCATTACCTTAAAAACAAAAAGGGAAAGCCAAAGAAAGTGTTATGTGTAATATTAAAAAATGTTAGAACTTTGAGCTAGACTAGAAAGTCAATATGAATCGGCTAACAGTAATGCCTTCTAAAAGTACTAGGGATTTTATGGAAGTTATTTTAAAACAAATGTAATGCAGCTGTCTTTTGTGATACAATTATAATAATACCGAATCTTTAAAAAAAAAAAAGGAGGTACAAAATGGAATTGCTTATAACATATATCCACTCTAGTGTAATCATTAGGTGCAATTTATAATTTATTAGCGAATATAATCTATTTGGAATAGAGGTTCTAGATTATGATTTAAAATATGATATGGGTACCGGTATGTGCGATTTATATAGCAGAAAAAATAAACTACAAGGAAACACAGAAAGGTTTTTGTGTGTGCATGCCTCAGCCAGAAGTTTGGGCGGTTTTTTTTTATTATACATTAACTGTAAGCTCATATGAGAAGATTTGTTAAGTATTATGACACAGTGAATCTTTTCATGCACTAAAGTACAAGTAAAGTACAGGAGGATTCCTGGGATACTACATCCGAGGAATCAGGAGAGGAGAAAGATGATAATGGCAATGGAAATGATACCGAGGAAGGCATTCCAGCACCAGAGAGGGTCAACGAAGAGTTTCACAGTCCGACCCAAGTCCAGTGTTCAGCAGCCCTACCTCCTCCACCGGCAGCGTCAAGAAATTCTTCTCACCGCCTCATGCCGAGGGCGAGGCCATTGAGGTGGAGTTTGAAGATTTTGCTCCTGGTCCAGCCCTTCTGGAAAGCCTGGAAGGTCTCAGCCTACCTCTCGGAGACAACCCAGACACAACAGATATCGCACGCTGGGGAGAGCAGCTGGTGTACCTCTACCTGCGCCAACAGGCTCAGAGTATGTCACCAGAAGCTGCGGAGGTGACAGTCAGGTGGATCAACCGGCAGGATGAGACAGGGGAGCCGTATGACATCGTCATCAGCCACGGCACCCAGAACATCTACGTGGAGGTGAAGTCAACAATCATGGACCAGAAGCAGGTTGTGGAGATATCGCCCAGGCAGGTGCCCTTCGCTCTGGAGATGGGTCAGGCCTTCCACCTGTACCGGGCAGTGTTCAGTGCTGGGAACAACAGTGGGGTGAGGCTGTGTCGTCTGCAAAAGCTCGCCCTCAGGATGGACAGGAAAGAAGTCAAACTCTTCATGTACCTGTGATGTGTAGATGAGTAGAAATACAAGGGCTGATGAGGCATATGCCTCTCCCCCTACATTTCAAGTGCCCCAGGTGTTTCCTCCCTTGAAAATTATAATTGCCCCAACCAAGAAACATGTAGTGTGTGTCAGATGCTTGAAGGGAATGTACAACATTTGCTTTTGCTGCAATTTTCAGAAATAAATGAAGTTACATGACTAGTATTGTTTAGCAAATATTGTCAAACTGACATGTTTCACATTTTCGGCTAGTAGATAATGGAAAAAACCAAGAAAATCAACCATTTGCAGTGACGAATCCAGAACACAATTTTTTTTGGGGGGGGGGGGGGTGCCAAAAAAATTTGTCACCCAAAAAGTGGGTCCACAAATTCACGGCATGGGGTTCGGACCCACCTAAGGGCCCCGGAAAAAAAAGGTTTTAGATGCTCTGTGGAGCGATATTAGGCAATTTCTGACCACTTTAACCAATTTTGGTGAAAAGATGGTGGTGTACATTGCTGCCTTTTTGTGAGAGGGGGCCGGGGAGGCATGGCCCTGTCCCCCCCCCCCCCCAAATCTGCCCTTTAGACTTTCATTCCCTAACAATCCAGTAAGTTATTCCGTATGGTGTACTATAAAGGACACCTATCTGTCCATCGTGCCTGTGAGTAAAACCATCGTGCCTGTGAGTAAAACATCGTGCCTGTGAGTAAAAACATCGCGCCTGTGAGTAAAAACATCGTGCCTGTGAGTAAAACATCGCGCCTGTGAGTAAAAACATCGTGCCTGTGAGCAGGTCCATCGTGCCTGTGAGTAAAACATCGCGCCTGTGAGTAAAAACATCGTGCCTGTGAGTAAAACATCGCGCCTGTGAGTAAAAACATCGTGCCTGTGAGTAAAACATCGCGCCTGTGAGTAAAAACATCGTGCCTGTGAGTAAAACATCGCGTCTGTGAGTAAAAACATCGTGCCTGTGAGCAGGTCCATCGTGCCTGTGAGTAAAACATCGTGCCTGTGAGTAAAAACATCGTGCCTGTGAGTAAAACATCGCGCCTGTCAGTAAAAACATCGTGCCTGTGAGTAAAAACATCGCGCCTGTGAGTAAAAACATCGTGCCTGTGAGTAAAAACATCGTGCCTGTGAGTAAAAACATTGTGCCTGTGAGTAAAAACATCGTGCCTGTGAGTTAAACCATCGTGCCTGTGGGTAAAAACATCGTGCCTGTGAGTAAAAACATCGTGCCTGTGAGTAAAACCATCGTACCTGTGAGTAAAAACATCGTGCCTGTGAGCAGGTCCATCGTGCCTGTGAGTAAAACCGTCGTGCCTATGGGGCGCATTGTGTAAATAAATTATTTAACAAAATTGTTTATATATAATTCATTATTTATTATATAATTCAGTTTTTCGGATAATTATATGTAAATAATTGTTTGGCCGTTTGCATTATATGTAAATACATTTATTTGCCACCGCATTATTTATATATAATTTTTTTGCATTCTAATTATTTACATATAGTTGAGGGCAAACTAGAATTATTTATATATAATTTATTTGCAAACTTATTATTTATATATAATTTTTGCACACTTTTTTATTTATACATAATTTATTTGCAACCTTTTTATTTATATATAATTTTTTGCACACTTTAATTTTTATTATATAATTTATTTGGTACCTCATTATTTATATATAATTTTTGCACACTTTAATTATTTATTATATAATTTATTATTTCTTATATAATCCATTAATTATTTTATAATTCATTACTTATATATAATTCATTATTTATATATAATTCATTATTAATTATTTAATGCATTATTTATTATATAATGCATTATTTATTATATAATGCATTATTTATTATATAATTCATTATTTATTAAATAATTCATTATTTATTATATGATTCATTATTTGTTATATAATTCATTATTTGTTATATAAATCAGTATTTATTATATAATTCATTATTTATTATATAATTGTGCGCCACACACATTATTTATAAATAATTGGTTCGGTCCAAGGCGAACGAGGCTATGATCTATAAATAATGGTTTTCAGCAAACAAGGGAACAAGACTAGGCCTACAGCAAAACCATTTTATATTATATAATGTTTTTTTGAGCTAAATAATGAAACTCGCATGCAAATTACCTTTACTAGGACACGCCTATGTTTTAAATAGTCATATCACATTGCACACCGCACTTGCTATAGAAAACATGCAGTATTGTGTATTTTGGGTGGGTCTGAATTTTTGTAATTTGCGCCCCGAAAGCTATTGGAAATGACTCTCAAATGTTGTAAACCCTTGTCTCAATTAATGTAAACTAGCGTATTTCAAGTCAACGATTCTTAAAAATTACGGAGAAAGTAGCTATGCACAACGCTCGCACTAGCTAGCTACGATGGCCATCATGATCTATCCCGCAGTGCAGTGCAAAAAAATATATATAAATAATACATTTTATCACTGAAAGATAAAATACATTGTTCTCCACAAACGCACAGTTGAGTCCTACACTTTCTTTTATCAGCTGATGGTTGCTATGGTGTAGGAAAAGGAAACAAAAGTAAACATATCGATTGGCCTAATTGCAGTTATCTGCCCCTTGATGGCTTAAAGCCAAAAACGATGTTCTTGGCATAAGGATTGATGTTTTTTTGCTAATTTGATACAAATGTATCAAGTTCACGCGCGTGCATTGCAATGCACGCGCGCAAGAAAGGCCAGTTCGGCGTAGCTTTTTGAGACCGCTACATCAAAAAAAAACCCACCTCCTCCCCTTCATCCGCCATATTTTACGAATTTATAAATGGCAGTAAGGTCCTGGGAGCGACAGGCAGTGCCTCAATTCAAACTAAATAAACAAGTTGGGTATTTAGTTCTGAAGTAAGACTTGGAATTTGGATGTTAAACATTTAACAGGTTGTGTTTAGTCTTTGTAAAAAAGTACGCCAAGCACCCATTTGTACTGATGGGGCATGCCAACCGTATCTACGAGCGGTGGACCAAATCGGGGTGCTTTTCCAATTTATTAAGTAATTTTTGCATATATTCAAGTCGTGTGACAAAAACTAAAAAAACACTTTGGCTAGCACCCACTTGTTCTGGTGGGGCTAGTGAATGGTTGGCAAGCGTGCCAAGGTTTTGGGCACAGTGATGCCAAGCATGGCAAGGAGGGGCAAGCGTGCCCCGTTTTATGGCAAGCGTGCCAAAATGTTTAGGCAAATAACTTTAAGTAAATCGAAAGATAATTTTAATTGTTCCGTTAAAGGTATTCACTGCCATTTAATCAAGTTAAACATTGACCAAGGAGAAATAAAATAGCGGCTCAAAAACTATGCCAAAAAGTCAAGTCATCGTTTGGATGCGTGGTTTTGTGTATTGTCTGAGAATAATGAGGTACCAAATAAATTATATAATAAATAATTAAAGCGTGCAAAAAATTATATATAAATAATAGCTTTTGTCTATTCTGATGTGTTTTCATGACGACATGCACGCCACAGTCCAGTTCAATGGCTCAAGATCTGCTAAGTTTGAAGTTCGTCGGGGCGTCAAGCAGGGGTGTGTACTTGCTCCTACCCTGTTTGGGATCTTTTTCTCAGCCCTGCTACACCGTGCATTTCCCGAACCATCTGGTATCCTACTTCACACACGCAGCTCCGGGAATTTCTTCGACCTGTCCCGTCTCCGTGCCAGGACGAAGATTCGGCATGTTCTCATCCGGGAACTCCTGTATGCTGACGATGCTGCCATTGTTGCCCACTCAGCAGATGAGCTTCAACATCTCTGCAACTCATTTGCCAGTGCTTGCTCGGAGTTTGGCATGATCATCAGCCTTGGCAAGACAATGGTGTTATCGCAAGGCCCAGGTCCCCCTCCCATGATCACCATCAATGGCACACCTCTGAGCGTGGTCAACAAATTTCAGTATCTGGGTTCTACAGTTACCAGCACCAACTCCCTGGATACCGAACTTGACTCCCGAATAGGTAGGGCTGCAACCACCTTTGGCCGACTCCGTGCTCGTGTTTGGGACAACCGGGCCCTTTCCATCAAGCTGAAGATCCGCATCTACGTATCCTGTGTGCTTAGTGTGCTACTCTACTGCAGTGAGTCATGGCCGACCTACCGCCGTCAGGAACGTCGACTGAACGCGTTCCATTTCCGCTGCCTACGTTCAATTCTTGGAATCTCCTGGCAAGACCGAGTCTCAAACCCTGCCATTCTTGAGCTCACAGGAGTCAACGACATGTTCACATTGCTGTCAGCTCGCCGCCTTCGTTGGTCTGGTCATGTCTGCAGACAAGAGGACGGTCGACTGCCGAAGGACATCTTCTTTGGGGAGCTGGCTCATGCTCCTCGCCCCCGTGGTCGTCCAAAACTCCGTTACAAGGATGTTCTAAAGCGTGATCTGCGAACCTTCCGAATCCCAGTCACCTCCTGGCAGACCGTGGTGCAGGACCGCACTCGTTGGCGATCCGCTGTCCATCTTGGCCGCTCTGCTTCCTCTGCCGCCTATATTGCTGATTGCGAGAATCGTCGTGCAGCTAGACACCGAGCTACATCGTCGTATTCGACGGGATAGGCCACTACTACCAAATAAATTATGTATAAATAAATAAAGTGTGCAAAAAATTATATATAAATAAAAAGGTTGCAAATCAATTATATATAAATTAAAAAAGTGTGCGTAAAATAATATATAAATAATAATGTTGCAAATAAATTATATATAAATAATTCAAGTTTGCCCAAAACTATATGTAAATAATTAGGTTGCAAAAAAAATTATATATAAATAATGCAGTGGCAAATAAATAATGCAAACGGCCAAACAATTATTTACAGATAATTATCCGGAAAACTGAATTATATAATAAATAATGAATTATATATAAACAATTTTGTTAAATAATTTATTTACACATTGCGCCCCATAGGCACGACGGCTTTACTCACAGGCACGATGGACCTGCTCACAGGCACGATGTTTTTACTCACAGGTACGATGGTTTTACTCACAGGCACGATGTTTTTACTCACAGGCACGATGTTTTACTCACAGGCACGATGTTTTTACTCACAGGCACGATGGTTTTACTCACAGGCACGATGTTTTTACTCACAGGCACGATGTTTTTACTCACAGGCACGATGGTTTACTCACAGGCACGATGTTTTTACTCACAGGCACGATGTTTTTACTCACAGGCGCGATGTTTTACTCACAGGCACGATGTTTTTACTGACAGGCGCGATGTTTTACTCACAGGCACGATGTTTTACTCACAGGCACGATGTTTTTACTCACAGGCACGATGTTTTTACTCACAGGCACGATGTTTTACTCACAGGCACGATGGTTTTACTCACAGGCACGATGGACAGATAGGTGTCCATTATAGTACACCATAATTCCGTGATAATTTTGTTGTTTGATGTTTGCAAATGTTGTATCTTCCCTTTAAAGAGCCTCGTAGGATGTTGTTACCAAATGATGAAACACACCGCCTACACCACTGGCTTTTATGTGGAAAATCCATCCAAGCTCACTGTACAAAAAGCTTGATATCAGAGACGGTACTTCCTCTGCCTGAGCAAAACAGAAAATTTAAACAACAATCAAATTAAATATTCCTATGATAGTAGTACAAATGTATTTATGAAATTGTGGTTTCTGGGATCTGAGTTCTGTTTGTTTTTTGGCACGATCCACTTGTCTTTCAGTTTCACCTTGTGGGTTCAAAATGTGTGACTTGTGATCGAAGGATTTGGGGTTCCAATCCAGATGGCGGCCATGTGCTGTGTCATAGGTTCAGCTAGGCACTTCAGCCCAACATGGTTTTCTCGGCCCAAAAGAATAAATGGTATCGTCAGAAAATTTCAAGTAAAAATGTAAAAAAAAAAAAAAAGGAATAATTTCTATTTGACAGAATTTATTTTGATATTCTTCTTATTTAATGTTAAAGTTTCATATCTTTATACAGGAACAGGGGAAAAACGGGTTTGTAATATAAAGATTTTTGTTAATGGTGGCATTATTTTCGTTATATTTAAGAAGGCTTTTCAAAAAAAATCGCAAGTTTTAAACAGTTGCATCTACAAAAATTTAATGTTTAATTGGGACAGAGATTCACCAAATGAAAGCTCTACATTTTGTTTTTAATCACACATCAAGTGGAAAAAATTATATCAAAATAGCAGTTGATATTGTAACGAAATATTGCTTCGCGCACTGGGCTTCCGTAGCTGCTGAGCGCTGGTGCGCGGGCTGCGTTCCGTGCGGCAATGCGCGTCGCTGGTGCTCTGCGTGCAGCGTATATAAGCGCGCTGCACGTGCGTCGCGGGCGTCTTTCCGCTGCTTGCTCTTGCTGCGCTTCGTGCGGACGAAAGCAAGTATTCTCTGTGTCTACCCGGTGTGGTGAGCGTGTGTGCGTGGTGTGCAGACCTAGGCGCCTGGAGGTAGACTCCCCCCAAAACGAGTCCGCCCCTCAGGCCTCTGCGGTTACCGTTCGTCGTGGAGGCCGAAGCCCATTATTTAGTCGACGGCAGACGCCGCCTGGTAAAGTCCGCTACAATATGTTCATAACACATCTTTTCATGTAAACTAGTAAACATCTCTATGAATAGCTGTTATTTTAATATACAAAAAATAAAATTAAAAAAGCCAAAGAAAGTTCCATTAATCGTACAAAAATTGTTTTTTAGAAGTAAATTTAGGTCAGTTATGATCATAATATGTTTAATATTCAAAGAATGTGCAATTATTACCAGTCTACCAAGGCAAAGGAAGTGAAGGGATTAATTCAAAGAATACGTTGTTTAAAAAAAAAAATACTGTGGAAGTCATTTCTAAATGCAGTGGTATTTTGTGATAATCTTGTGAGAATAAGATACAGATTTACGATAGCACCATGTGACAAATCTCTGTTGTGAGTTTGTGAGATTCTGAAAAGAATTGGATGGGGGGGGGAGAAGGGACTCAACGTTTGGGACAGCATGCTCTGCCCGTTGTCAGGGGACTGAGGGGATTCCAATGGTGAAGGGAAGTTTATGTGACTGAAAGCAGCCTGATCGAGTGAATTGAAAGATGCAGCTGATGATCAGGGGATGCTGGCTGATCAGTGAGACTGTTGTCAGTGTGGAGTCCATGCAGAAGCTAGGAATTCGGGTGGAGGGGAAGGTTGCCAAGGGTATGTGAATTTTGTAACAGTTTCTGTAAGTACCGTAAGTCTAAAAAAAAAAAAAAAAAAAGGCATTGCTTATTGTATATTTAAACTCTTGCGTAATTATGTGGTGCAGTGGGATACTTTTGAGATGCGTGATGGCAGAAATCATGCCGGTTCTTTTCAAAGGCAGGAAACAAAACTGTTCAGGAATTTTGCATACATTGGTTTGTAAAATTTGAGAGACATTTTACGGGGCTAGATACACCCAGTGCTGTAGTTTGGAAAAACAACATAGACCCCATAAAATAGCACCCGTATAGAAACAAATCACCGACCACCAGTCAATTGACATTACAAGAAAGCTAACTTGGATTATTGAAAATACATACAAACTTACTGAACTTTAAACATGTATGAACACGTTTTATGCTTTACACAAAGGAAGGGGGAAGTCCCTTCTTTTGTTACAATGCATGGGATTTTCCCAGCGTGAGAAACGGTTCATAAATATTTATGACATGATGGCAACATCCAATTGTACTACAGTATTTTGGTCACATGACAGCAATGACTCATAGTCAGTACCATTTAAAGTGCTGTACCAGCAACATATCCAGCATTTGATGCCAGGGTATACACTTCACTGTATCGATGTCTAAAATATTCTTTACAAGCTGCTTGCTTTTGGTTTTATGGTGCCATCATTATGCCACCAGGAGGGTAAGTTAACCCCATTTGCCTTTTATAGATGAAAAAGTGATGTCAGGATTTTATATGAATTTTTAAATTTGTGGCCAATAAACACATCTTGCAAAAGCAAAATGTTTCTTATAATTCTTTTTTGAAATAGGTTTGATGAGTAGGCCTAATTGAAAAACGCACACAGTTTGGAAACAAAAATGTCATGTGATGTCATCAAAAATTTGATAAGGGAAGGTTTGGTTATCATGAACCTGGATGAGCAGTTATAGGCCTAAATAAGCTAGTATCCAAAATATTGTGCAATATTTTCTGTTGCAATTCAGTGGCAAATAAAAGTATGTGAAACCAAAGGCAATTAAATCCATTCTGAGCTGAATGTTTAAAACCCCATAAAGTGTCAAAAATTGAATTGCATGCATGTGTACAATCTAACATATTAAAGGTTTGAAACATGAAATACCTGATTTTTTATTACAAAAGGACAATTACAATAAAGCTAACTTGGAATATAATACATGCACAATTTCTGAACAAGGGGAAGTCCCTTGTGTTGCAACACATAGGATTTTCCCAGTATGAGAAACGGCTCATAAATATTTATGACTTGATGGCAACAGCTAAATATACTGCAGCTTTTGGTCACATGACAGCAGCGACTCATAATCAGTGACACTGGAATACGGTATTTAAGTGCCGAGTCTGGAAGTTTTTTAGTGCTTTAAAAACAAGCTCACAGTGTTTGTGACAATTGCTCATATTTTTGTCAGATTTTAGGATTGCGTACAATCCTAATGCTTGGTAAGTTTCCAGATGCTTTTAATCTTGATTGTTAATGTTTTTCCTTCAACAATGAGCGGGTCTATTTGAATATTGGTGTTTGTTAATTCATTCACTGACTTAGTTATTGATATTCTATATTGCCACAACGTGGGTCATGCTAGAATAGTTAAAAAAATAGCTGGTTGTTTAATTTGCCAGTGTTTACTGAAGAACTAGATGTGCACAGAATGCCAACACATGCCAGCTATATTTGTTTATGATGGGCACAGGTGTGAATGACTTTGGCAGTGAGAGTTCATGGTTTTTTTTCAATAAGGGAGTTATACTTTGGAATGTTTTGAAGAAAAGCTAAAAAATATTATGTTTTCGATTTTTTTGAAAATGGATAAAGAATAAAGAATTGAACTGAATTGATCATAATTGTTTTCCAGGATATAAAATACTAATTTGGAGGGAAAATTTTTATATTCCACAGAAAATAATCATGTTTTTTACAAATGCAACTAGAAATGTGCTAGATACCACAAAGGATACAAGAAAGTAGGCAATTGGATGTTGAAATTTATTTTTAAAAAAACCCCAAAAAACACAAAAAACTTGTTTTGGTCTCAATCTCTAAATACAAGATTGTTTCATTAGACCATTTAAGGATTATGAAATACCTCTTTTCTCAATTTTCCCCAAAATGGGTAGCTTTCTCACGAATCGGGTAGTTCATGAAGACTATTTTTTAGTACAGCAGCAATTAATTTAGTCAATCTGTTTGGAATAACCTGTTAACTGGGAAAAAAGTAGGCTTGGGTCCCATGCCAGCAGTGGCGTAGCCACCGGGGGGACGTGCGGGGGGGGGGGGGGGGGGGGCGACCGCCCCCCCCCCATGAAACCTTGTCCCCCCCCCAGTCCCCCCCCCCCCCCACTGAGATTTAGAGTTTCTAAAAAAAATATCATTGATCTACATGACGCCATGGGCCCTATTATGTACTACAATGTATCTTTTGCGTAGAAAATATTGGTTTAAGTGGTCAGAAATTGCCTCAGATAGCACCACAGAGCATTTAGAATCCAAATTTTTTCGGGGCCCTTAAGCGGGCCCCGAAGCCCACGCCAATAGCTCAGAATACCGATAGCTGATTCAATGTCTCCAATCTCAAAAACGATGTTCAAATAATTATCTTTTGCCAAGAAAATATTAGTTAAAGCATGGAGGAAAGTCGTAAGAAATTGCTTCAAATCACACCACAGAACATCTAGAATCCAATTTTTTTCGGGGCCCTTAAGCGGGCCCCGAACCCCACGCCGTAAGGGCTTCGCGCTTGCATCAGTTATGATCAAGGTATGTCCCCCCCCCCCCATTTTTGAGAAGCGATTGACGCCCCTGCTTGATGCCCCCCATGAAATGTTCCAGCCCCCCCCCCCAGCGCCCCCCACTGAAAAATTCCTGGCTACGCCACCGCATGCCAGAGTTACAAATGGACCTTACTGATACATTTATTTCAACAGGTGGTTACTACAGGTTAAGGTATTGACATGAGTGAATCTGGTAGCTGCTGCCTCACCAGTTTCATGAATGAGTCTCAATATGTAGGTGCTGCAACTGAGAACCCAACTACTGGTACACCACCTGGACACCAACAAATCCAGGCTCGGCAACAGCAAACACAAAAACTTTCCCTGAAGGAAACTGCAGTTGGTCTTGTGCAACAACAGCAGATAAAAAGTGTACGAAATGAGCAGCCTGGTGTGGGAGACTGTACAGCAAGAGTAGCAGAAAGAAAGTAGCGATGGTTAGGATTCAGAGGTTGCATTTGGAAACTTGGATGCCAGTGAACTGTCATTCTTACAGACGCAAAACCGAAACTCAAGCAAGGTGTTGTCGTTATTAAGCAGTAGCGTCTGCAGCAACAAAATCATTCGCAGCTGGCACCACCGAACATGAAGGAGCAACTGCAGGGACAACCCCACCAGTGCTAAGCAGCTAGACACAAACAAAAGCAGGCATGGCGAGTTACAGAGAGCAGAAACAGTCTGCATCACTGAATCAGTCCTATGAGCAAGAGTATCCATCTCTCTCATCATCACAAAGTAGGAGCTCAAAGCAGCAGCAGCAACAGAGACAAATGGATGCAGGCATGATGAGTTACACTAGAGACAAGAGAGCCAGACAGCAGAAACAGTCTGCATCACTGAATCAGCCCCATGAGCAGATGGATCCATTTCTCTCATCATCACAAAGAAGAAGCTCAAAGCAACAAGCTCCAAATCAGAGCACCCTAGATGAAGTGGCCCAGACCCTTATTGACAACCTTGCTGCAGCCAATGAGCTGGTGACGGTGGAACGCGTGGTGGAACTTCTCATGCAGCATTTTCAGGCTGCCAGCTTGCAAAATCTGGGGCTACGAAACGAGAACCAACTACCAGCCCTGAAGCAGTTGATGAGGCTCCAGTCCAAAGTCAATGTCTTCATCCAGGCATTTGTCAAAGTCAGGGCCATATGTACCCTCCATGAGCTCAGGGAATCCCTAGCGATGGTAGATGCCCCAACCGGTTCAACAGAGAAGCTTGACTATGCTGCCCTTCACCTAGGTCCCTTATCCAAGCAGCCCCTGGTCTATCAGTTCTTTAAGTTTCCACCAACCAAAGATGACAGCGATATCCCCAAGATCACTACCATTGATGTTTTGGAAGTCCTGAACAGATTTCTGACTGCCAAAGATCTGTGGAGGGATCGTGTCAAGTTGGAGGACTTTATGGAGTATGTTGTAGAAGAGTACGATTTGGAAGGGCCGTATGACTTGGGCTTGCGAATCCAGAGTGTTGCTCTTGGCATTTCAGTAAGTTTCCAATATAAAGTTCTTTTCTAAAATTAATTAACAATTCCATTACACATTTACTCATGCACAAACCTTGTAACAATGATTTCTAGTAGATAATTTCTAACTTAAAATGAAAAGAAGGTCTTTGTACCAAATTAAAGAGGTGCAATTTTACATTCCCTATCACTTCTAAATTTATGAAATAAATGCAACTTTTTATTTATATGTTACTCTTTTCAGGCCCTCAAGACTGCCAAACGTGAACAGAAAACAACCATGGACCGGGCTCGTGAAAATATAAAGACTTCCATGACTGAAGAGGTGACCTCCGCAATAGAGAAAATCCACAAAGCTGTGATATCACCTGCAGACATTACCGGGCACCAGTTCCCCCCGGGCCCTATGCTGGAGGTGCGGCGCCGCTACTGCAGCGTGACAGCAGCAGAGGCGGTGAACATGGTGTTTGACAATGCCTGCGAGCTGACTGTCTACAGCAGGCAACTGAAGCAGTTCTGCTTGGCGCTGAAGAGCATGGTGATGGACAGGCTCAGCCGGTCGCTGTTCCAGTTGGCTATTTGTAGTGGTGACCTTAGTCGACCCAGTGACCTTCCACAGGGGATTCTGGATTCTGAAGACGAAGATAAGGAGGAAAGTGGTCCTGATGAGGAGGAGAGAAGCCCAGTCAAATCAAAACCGACTGAAGGTATGGGGTTTCTTAAAACAGTGGCTTTGTCTGTGGCTCCAACTTCATCTCTGTCTCCAGATCATTTAGAAGACTACTGTATCCAAAGGAGAAGGGAAATAACCCAAAAAAGGGACCAGGTACATAGGATCTGTTTCTCAGTAACTGATATTCAAGTCCCTCAAGTCAGAGACACTAACTCTAGCCAAAGCCAGAGATGAGGCAAACTTTTTGAAACACCCCCCGTGAAAGAGCCAATAAAGAATTTAGCTTATTATTCCGTAGGCATCTTTTTACTAGAGCCTTCCTGGATCTTCCAAAATACTTTAATGTGTCATAGCCCAACTGTGATGGGATACTTAAAGTAGCTTGGCTCTACTTTCCTCATTTTTACAAAATCTTTAATTGCCAGTGGTAAATGGGCTAAATACTCGAATTGTATGCATCTAAAAGTAACACAGGTTACTGTAGCGCGGTCTCTATTGGGTTCTTGTCCAATTTTTGTTGCCAAACGCAAAACAAGGAGGACTAAGACTGATCAGTTTATTTCGATCAAACCACTGAATTCACTCTTTTTTTGGCTTTCTCAGAGCAACAACGTATTCCAGCTTGGCACAACTTCAACTCTAAGAACCGACTTGTTACACACGGTCTAAAATCCATATACAATGTGTTACATTTTTATACCAAGAACCTGACTCATCACCAATTATCTGGTTCGCGCCTGTTAACCCTTGTATTCATGTGATTACAAAAATAGCCCAGTTATTTCCGGAGCAGCTGGTCCTACGAGAGTTCAATTAGTTCATAGTCAACGGGTACGGGGGGGAGGGGGTCAAGCATTGCTCCGGCGGAGTCCTGCTGTATGAGAAGTCGGCTATGTGTCAAAAATTGCTACCAACCTCTTTGTTTCTTTGTTTCTTTTTTGCCTCCTAGATCAAGTCCGCCAAGAGCTGCAGCGTTACCTGGAACGTATTCAGCATGGAAATGTCAATCTCAAAGACCTTGCCCGCATCGAGGACAAACTTTGCAAGCATTTTGACTTTCAGGACTTTGTGTCGCTCAGCCGAGCCAGGAAAACCTTCCTACAATTCCTCTCACTGGATCATCCAGAGGTGACAATAAAACAATTGTTGTTTTCTTGGTTAATCAGCGTTTTTCAGTTTTATTCGTCCTTGTGCTTTTAGACCCTTTACGTTCAGTATTTGGCATGATACTGTGGCGGTTTTCCCTGAGGTCAATGAACCCCTGACTTGCCGGGACCAAGTAACCCGGGAGCTGCGCCGCTCGCGCGTAAATATGGCCAGGGACCGGATCCGTTTGGGTGGAAATATACCGCCCGTTACACTGAGGACAAGGAATTCTGAAGAATGGCACACCCGGAGAGGATTATTCTCAGTCTACTCATGTCTAGCTAATTTATTTGACTCCACTTCCACTTACTTCTTCCGCACATTATTTACAAGAATGAACACTACTACACAATAACACTACCATCATTAAAATCATGACAAAAGCAACAGTATAACTGTAAACTCAGGTTACACTGACAATGCCCTAGATCGAGGTATACATGGTTGCATGTGATTATGTACATGTCATCGTACTCACATAAATTATCCTCCAACCCGCTCGATCCAGTTCAGCACACAACACAATCTGCTAATCAGATGTCCTTCTCTAAAGCTGCAACTACATACACGAAGTATTTCCACTTTATACAAATTGGTCTCACTCCTCTCCAGAACTTAATTCAAACTACTCAGCTCAACAATAACTGACTAATTCACCACTGAGCTCTGCCCCTTATACCCAGGCAGTCCCAGTTTCTATTATTTTCCCAACTTCCAAGTAATCACTTGAATCCAACCAGCCCTGTTTTAAAAGCCCTATATAAACAGAATTGGTCACAAAATAATGGTCCAACAATAACCATTTTCAGTTCCCTTCCGCTCATAAGATTAATTTGCAGCCCTTCCTAAAAAGTGCTCAAAACATACATGTATCTGATTGTCTCTTTCTAGCCTAGGTTATTTTACATATCCCCCTTTTACCTATCCACAACATCAATTACGCATCTCAAAACACCCTGTCAGTCTACTGACAGCTACACATGTAATCCTTAACTAATTCCCTATGACTGGACACGGCTGACGTTCCACAGCTCCCAAACTTCCAGTCCCAACCCACAAAAATATTTTTTGTTATGGAAACGTACTCTAGCCACCAGTCTTATACACATTGAATCCTTACCAGGCGCTCATCCTGCCCTGCTTCTGTAGTTCACAAGTTCACCAGACCCATTTGCGTTACACAGCATCCCCCTAGGTTTGGTCCGTCCCGGCCCAATTAACCGAAAATTACTCCAGCAAATGTCTGGCAAGAGAAAATCAACTAACAGGAAAACAAAATAACCAACCTGTCTTTTAGGTACAAATGTACATGTGAATTCTGTCCTCCTAACTTGAAGTGGCTGAACTGTTCCATTCTCAAACATGGTGACCGTCCCCATGAGGGCTTTATCTATTGAGAAGAGTTCAAGTTTCTCTGTTTTTGTGTCCATGCTGGGTGCTGCTGATGGCCCTTGTCCCACGTCCTCCGCTGCCTTCTCGTCCGGAAGATCGTCTCCAAACAGACTGAGAACATCCGGATCTGGTTCCAAATCTGGCATACTGCTGGTATCCACCTCCTGAGGCTTCCATCCATGAAGGTAGGGGGGTTTCCCTCCTCGTCGAACTGGGCTTGCAGATGGGGGTGGTGTTCTACTGAGGCCTGGGGCACAAGGTTCCACCTTGTCTCTGGCTTCCTCAGCTGGGGTCTCAACTTCTGGAACGGGAATGTCGCTACAGCCAGGCTGCTCCCCTCCTACATGTATGACAGGTGGTGCTAGCTGTTCCTGTTGCCTTTGGTTGAGCCCCTGCGCTACTAGGTAGAAGGCACGCTGGGCTCTCTGCCGCACCCCAGGGTCCCGTGGCTCTCGCATGATGCAGTTGAGGTCCCCTTCCCACTGAGGGTGTTCAGTGCGATAATGCCGCTTGAAGTTGTCCCTCCGGGGCATTGCGTAGCCACATCGGAGGCAGTGCCAGGCTAGGGTGTTTGGCCGATGAGCCACTTGCAAATGGCAGCTCAGATTCCTCCGACTGCTTAACACTTTGGCGCAGTGCCAGCATCGGAGCCCCCCTGCACAGGGTCTCTTCCCAGCCTCCATTCTGTTATGACAAAACAAAACAAACACTTGTAATCTTGAGGATCTGGCTACCAATTCACCGTGTCCCAGTTCTTAGGGTTTAATCACGGTACCGGGAAGGTTTCTTTCGCATCATGAAAGGATTGCGTTTCTTCCACCCTGCCCCTATATTTTCAACACTTGGCAATGTGTCCTCCTGCAGGTCTGTGTCCTCTGGCTGAGCATGGTTATCATCAACCCCAGCCTGCTGGATCACCTCTTCCACCTGCATGTGATGCTCCTGTGAGGTGCTCCTGTCACATCCATCAACACCTTCACCCAGTGGGATCTCCACTGTCTCTGTCACAGATGGGCCATCCATCACCAACTCAATCTCTGGCTCCTGGGGAGGTACCAGATTTGGATCCTCATTGTTCAGTGGGGTGCCATACTCCCATCCCTCAATGGGATCCCCCTCATAGCACTTCAGCCGATCATAGTGAAAAACCTTAGCTTTGCTACGAGGTTGACGTTGGATCCGGTAGGTCACATCTGATAGTTGCCCAACTATCAAGTAAGGACCCTCCCAACGGCATTGCAACTTCGGGGATAGTCCCTTTGTCTTTGCGGGGTTGAACAGCCAGACAAACTGCCCTGTTTTGACCTTCTTACCCGCTATTCCCTTGTCATAGTTGCGCTTTTGACGCCGTGCACTCTTTTTTAGGTGTGCCTGTGCCCTCACATGGGCACTTTGCATACGCTGCCTAAGCTCTTCTGCATAGTCCTCAGAGACTTCCTCCTCCTCTGCGGGGGGTGTCTCCATCATGAGGTCTAGCGGAACTGAGACCTCCCTCCCTAGCATTAACATATTAGGTGTCTCTCCGGTAGACTCCTGGGGGGTACACCTATATGCAAACATTGCATAGGGCAGTTGTTTATCCCAATCCCTGTGCTTCTTGTTTGGATCTATCATCACTGCAACCATGGTAAGGAGTGTTAGGGTGAACCGCTCTATGAAACCATCAGACTTGGGATTATATGGGGTGGTGCGTGTTTTGTTTATCCCCAGAATTTTGCACACTTTGGAAAACACAAGCGACTCGAAATTTCGGCCCTGATCTGAATGTAACTCTGTTAGAATCCCAAACCGACAAAAATACTCCTCTACCATTTTACTGGCAACTGTTTCTGCTGTAGCGTCAGGTAGAGGGTAAGCCTCTACCCACTTGGTGAAATAATCACCAACCACCAAAATCCACCGATTTCCATCTGTGGTTTCTGGCAGGGGTCCTATCAGGTCTAGCGCAACCCTAACCATTGGCTCACTGACAACTCGTTGTTGCAGCTCGGCCCGCGGCTTCCTGGGAGAAGGTTTCTTCCGTGCACACACGTTGCACTTCCTTACCCATGAACGCACATCGGCGTCCATTCCTACCCAGTAGTACCGCTGTTTCACTTTTCCAAGTGTTTTCCTGTGCCCAAGGTGCCCCTTGGTTACCCCACCATGCAACTCGTCCAACACCATTGAACGCAGCTTCTGTGGTAGGAGTGTTTGCCATTTTAACCTCTGCACCAGAGTCTGATTCCCACGGTCGGCACAGTACCCCATCGCGCAAAGCGATCCGCGCCCAGGACAACCAATAGGTCTTTGTCTTTGATGTGGCAGGAGTCACTTCGTCCCAATTTGGGCGGACCTCTGACACCCTCTTTGCCAACATCAACCACCCCATGGTTTCGTCCTCTAACTGCGCTTCCCGGATTCTATCCATTGTACCCCAGGGCTCACCAGCCACCACCCTCACCGTGGGATGCTCTACGGGAGCATCCCCCCAGAGTGGTCCATGGGCGTTTCCTGACGCCTCCTGGCATTTAGGCTCGGTTCTATTCTCTCTTCACCCTCCACTCGACCACACTGTCGACAGGGCTTCCGAGACAACCCGTCTGCATTGGAATGCTTTAACCCGGGTCTGTGGACAACATTGAAGTCATACTCTGCTATGACCTCCATCCAACGGGCTAACTGGCCCAGCGGATCCTTTAGGTTGAGGATCCAACGAAGGGATGCATGGTCAGTCCTGATCGTAACCTTCTGCCCATAAATGTATGGTCGGAGGTGTTTCAGGTATACCACCACTGCCAGCAACTCCCTTCTTGTCACGCAATAATTGCGTTCTGGCTTTTTCAAGGCCCTACTTGCATATGCTATGGGTCTTTCAATGCCATCTATCACTTGAGAGAGTACTCCGCCAATGCCATCATCGCTGGCATCGGTATCCAGGATGTACTCCTCCCCTGGCCTTGGGTAGGCCAACACCGGCGAGTCCTGAAGTCTGGCTTTTAATTCCATAGAAGCAGCTTCACACTCGTCATCCCATAGAAACTGACGAGACCTCTCCGTCAGCCTATGTAGCGGCTTGGCTATGTCCGCAAAACCCCGGATGAACCTCCGGTAATACGAGGCCAGCCCCAGGAAGCTTCTAACTTCCCTTTCACAAGATGGAACAGGCCACTCCCTGACTGTTTCCACCTTGTCAGGATCAGTCCTGATCCCCACCTGGGACACGACATGCCCCAGGTAACGCACTTCCTCTTGAAAGAGGTAGCACTTCTCTGGTTTCAACTTGAGTCCAGCTGCCGGAGTCGTTCCAGTACAGCCCTCAAGTTACCCAGCTCCTCGTCTTCACTTTTCCCATAGACGATGACATCATCAAGATACACTAGCAGTGTATCCCATTGCAGTCCAGATAGGACTCGCTCCATCAACCTCTCAAAGGCATGACCTTCCAGCTATATAACCCTTCCCTCACGACGAATGCCGACTTTTTCTTGGCATCGTCATCCAAAGCAATTTGCCAATACCCAGAGGCAAGGTCAAGAGTGGAGAACCATTGTGCACCGGACATATGGAATCAAGGGTGTCATCTATGCGCGGTACTGAATATGCGTCTTTGATTGTTATCGCATTGAGCTTTCGATAGTCTACGCAAAACCTCTGAGTTCCATCTTTCTTTTTGACTAATACCACATTGGAGGCCCAAGGGCTATCTGAGGCTTCAATGATGCCTCTTTCCTGCAAGTCTTGCACTTGCCGGGATATTTCTTCTTGCTGAATAATGGGATGCCTACGAGGCCGTTGTTTTATTGGGATGGCATCTCCCGTATCAATTGAGTGCTTCACCAACCCTGTTTGACCAATGTCCTTGGGTCCCTGTGAAAATACATCCTGGTATTCGACAAGGAGGTTAGCCACCTTGCCGTGATCCTCATCACTTAACTTAGAACTGGCCTGTTTGTAGAGTTCCTCCAGGTGTGGGGGAACTTCTACTTCAGCCCTACCCTGCCTCGCATCAGGCAGAGTCCCAAGCGGGCTTTTGGTTGAGTTTGTAGCCATACAAACTGTTTCAGGGTCCACTGGGGACAGAATGCCAACCATGGTGCCACTTTTAACCACGCACTTATTTTTTCCCGGGTTTAATACCCGTACTCCCAGTGTACTACTGGACGAGTCTACTAGGGACCTCCCTACAATCAGGCCCCTCTTTTCTATTTCGTTACCCTGCACCATTGGTTCAATCACCCCAATGCCTTTTAGGTTTGCACCGCCTGCTACTATGCCAGGGATAACAGCTTCATGCCCAGCTGGTATCACCATTGTGTCTTCCACAACTACCCTGGCACACCAGGCCCCACCCTCCTTGTCAGTGCACTTAAACCTCACCCCATTGAGGTTAAGTTCGAACTTCCCAAAATCAATTATTCCCTTCATGGGTAACAAGAAATCTGTCCCAAGTATCCCATCTACTTCGACGGCTGCGAATGTTGCACGCACAGTGTGTATGCTTTTTCCCACTCTAATTTCAACCCACGCAACCCCCAAGACTGGTAGTGCAGTGCCGTCTGCTTGCCGGATGGTCACATCCTGCTTTTCTAGCTCCGGCCTTAACTCTATAGGCATCTGGTGGTAAATGGATGTATTAAGAATAGTGTCTGTTGCCCCTGTGTCGATTAACATTCGTAGCTCCACCGACCTTACAATGCCCACAACATACATGCCTAACCGTGGGCTCACAACCTTTGGCAAGTAAAATACTTGTCCGCCGGAGTGCGCGTGGTCTGAGGGCCCCGAATGTCCAGCTTTCCCCCGGGCCTCTGAGTCAGCTGTTTTCCGTTTCCCTGCAAGAGTGCACCTTTCCGCTTTGGCTTTGGGCAGTCCTTCTTAAAGTGACCAGGCTCCCTGCAGTTATAGCAAACCCCAAACAGCTTTTTCGGCTCCCCCTCCTTTGGAGGTGGGGCCGCAGCTCCAACTGGTGCGTTGCCCTCTAGCACGCCAAGTATTTTCCCCAGCTGTGCTGCCTGCTGGTTTACAATTTGTTCTAATTTTGCAATGCGCAGATTGTCTTCACCTTCTAAGACGCGCGCAAATTTTTCCACCTTCTGTGGCCTACCACGCCGCGCCTCTATCTTCTCAAAATTCTCAGTTTCTAGCGCTGCGCAAATCGCATCATCAAGACTTTGTGGCTTTGCACGGAACATACCTTCCCGGATGCTTTGATTTTCTATCGCGTCTGTGAAATGGTTTTGGGCCAGCCTATCTCGGCTGTCTCGAGGTATATCTGGGTACGCTTTATACGCTAAATCCCTGATTGCTTGTCCAAGTTCTTGCAGTGTTTCTTTTGGTTTTTGCCTGTGCACCTTTAGCTCCATCAAGTAGTTTTCCGCCTGATGGCCTGGTCCGAATCTACGGGCCAACAACCCTACTAGCTCCTTATAACCTTGGTGCGGTTCACCATTACTACCGCCAAGGACCCTTAGCGCGCTGCCTTGCAGACTCGCCCTAAGGTAGTGGAGGGCCTGCGCATCCGTCCACCCATTAACCTCCCGGCATGCCTGAAAATGTTGCTGGTACTCATCCCACGACCCTTTCCCCTCATACCGGTCCGGTATGATGTATGGTGGCCGTGACGAGCCCCTAAACCTTTCAGCATACTGGTCACCCCCATAAAACCGTCGGTCCCTCACGAGGGGCCATGGGCCCTCGTGAAAGACCAGTCCCTCTTCACTGGCTCCTCGTGAGGACCCTTGATACCCCGTAAGTACATTGATACCCCGTAAGGGGCTTCTTGTTGCACAGCTCCTCACCTCATGAGGCAGTACTCGGTGCTTTTGCCCAACCCCGGCTCCTCGTGAGGACCTTTGCTCCCCACCAGCTCTGTGACCAACCAGGCTGTGTCCCCTCACGCCATGTTCTGGCCACTCAGGTGACAACCCAGGTCCTCGTGAGGGCCGCCTCCTCTGGCCTTACCCTCATGAGGAGGCTCCTCATGAGGCTGCTGGTGCATCTCATCCTCAGCAGGTAACTGCACCCTTAAATCTAATGCTTCCAACTTTGCTGCCTTAACAGTTAATTCTTCTACTGCCTGTTTTACTATTGTTTCCCAAGCATCCGCTTTTATCTTTTGCTCATGTGCAGTGCCCCGAGTCTCCTCCTTTGCCTGGCCACTTGCCTTAACTGTGTGTTCCCTACCGGGTACAACTCCGTATGCCATCGTACCAAACTCTGAGGGTGACTCACCCGACCCGGCTTCCCTCATAAAGGAATCGCACGAGGTCGATCCTGCACTATGGGCATCCCCAAGAAACTCCTCGCCGAACTGGCCACTCGTGAGGAGGGCACTGGCCTGTGCCATGCCCTCGCCCTCCCTAGGTTCAGTTCCTGCCTGAGGTGAATCCTTATTGTGCTCATTCTTACCCAGGGACCTTAAGGCTTTTTCTAATTCCCCTTTTCCCTTCAAAGACCAAAACCCAGGCGGTGTCCTAGGAAGAGGAAATTTTGTCTCTCCCTCCCCCCTCTGCGCCTCTACCGGTCCTCGATGATGGGCCTCTTCCCCCTCAGGTCCCAATTCTACCCGGCCCTTGGCTTGCGGTGGTGCCCACGCCCACCGGCCAAAAGCCGCATTTGCGTCGGAAGTAAGTGGAGTGCCACGAAAGCCACTATCAGCAAAACATTTCTGTCGATAGTGCTTTGCTATCCATTTTTGAGTCTGTTTCTGCCGCCCCTCGCTCTGTGGTGCGGCCAACTCCATACCGGTTTCTACTTTTATCTAAAAGTGATTCTTGTGATTAGCCCCAATTTTCCCCGAATGAACAGGCGTACCGAATTGTTCCTCAGTTAAATTTCCTCAGTGCAACAATCCCACTTCTGACACCATTTTGTGGCGGTTTTCCCTGAGGTCAATGAACCCCTGACTCGCCGGGACCAAGTAACCCGGGAGCTGCGCCGCTCGCGCGTAAATATGGCCAGGGACCGGATCCGTTTGGGTGGAAATATACCGCCCGTTACACTGAGGACAAGGAATTCTGAAGAATGGCACACCTGGAGAGGATTATTCTTAGTCTACTCATGTCTAGCTAATTTATTTGACTCCACTTCCACTTACTTCTTCCGCACATTATTTACAAGAATGAACACTACTACACAATAACACTACCATCATTAAAATCATGACAAAAGCAACAGTATAACTGTAAACTCAGGTTACACTGACAATGCCCTAGATCGAGGTATACATGGTTGCATGTGATTATGTACATGTCATCGTACTCACATAAATTATCCTCCAACCCGCTCGATCCAGTTCAGCACACAACCTATCTGCTAATCAGATGTCCTTCTCTAAAGCTGCAACTACATACACAAAGTATTTCCACTTTATACAAATTGGTCTCACTCCTCTCCAGAACTTAATTCAAACTACTCAGCTCAACAATAACTGACTAATTCACCACTGAGCTCTGCCCCTTATACCCAGGCAGTCCCAGTTTCTATTATTTTCCCAACTTCCAAGTAATCACTTGAATCCAACCAGCCCTGTTTTAAAAGCCCTATATAAACAGAATTGGTCACAAAATAATGGTCCAACAATAACCATTTTCAGTTCCCTTCCGCTCATAAGATTAATTTGCAGCCCTTCCTAAAAAGTGCTCAAAACATACATGTATCTGATTGTCTCTTTCTAGCCTAGGTTATTTTACATATCCCCCTTTTAGCTATCCACAACATCATTTACACATCTCAAAACACCCTGTCAGTCTACTGACAGCTACACATGTAATCCTTAACTTATTCCCTATGACTGGATACGGCTGACGTTCCACAGCTCCCAAACTTCCAGTCCCAACCCACAAAAAAATGTTTTGTTATGGAAACGTACTCTAGCCACCAGTCTTATACACATTGAATCCTTACCAGGCGCTCACCCTGCCCTGCTTCTGTAGTTCACAAGTTCACCAGACCCATTTGCGTTACAATACAATTGTCCTGTTCTGTTGTGTGGGCTATGGTGTTATGCATACTTAAGATGGCAAATGGCACCAATGGGCAAGAGCATCACCAGACTACCTACAGTTATGTTATGTCTTGAATGACATCATGCTTTGGCCCATGAATATGGAAATTTTCATTAGCATAAAAACTAAAACGTTGAAATTTCTCCCTTTTACTGCTACAAAGGAGGTGGAAAGTCATAGTTGCATGGCAAGAAACTGTTTTAAATGTATTTAAGCCATGGCATGGTTGTGACATTGTAACAAAGTCCTATCTAACTACCAAAATGACTTTTTACGTCATAGCAACTTGGGTTAATACACCCACATACATTGATAAATATGCTTCTCTACAATCCTTTAAAAATATTTGTTTTAACATTTGCTCAGGTTTTGGAGAGTGTTGGCGGTACCCTGATGGGGCTGGTATCCAGCAACCCCAGCCAGGGGTCCATCTACAGACCCTCACGCATGGATCTGGTGGAATTCATCCGACAGTGCGACCCTTGCAAAGTATGTGTTATAAGCAACACCTGAAAGAAATATTTATAACTAATTTACTTGGTGAAACAGATTCCCCCTTTTTCCACCAAGAGCATGTAATGTAACACCTTGGGGACAGATTCTGTCTCCTGATTGGCTGAGAGTGAGTCACATGGTATTAGATATTTAAACTATACTTGTTTATCTTCCACACTCGCAATGCACTACCCAACAAGATAAAATAGTTTTCACAGTTAACATCGATCCGTAAAAAACCTCCAGAGCCATGACTCAATAATGAAAAGGTAACGCTTATTTCTCGGAAGTCTAACGGACTTCTGGTACTCCAGAAAAAAAATTACAGTTTGGGTAAGAAACAAGAAGAACACAATTCACTTGGATATGAACCTAGCTACAATCAGTTTTTCCTTCCAAAAAAACTCTTTCCTATTCTTTCACCACAAAAATGCTCCAAAATTGCTTTGAAAGTAAATGCTTAAAATCAGCTAAAATCAGACGCTATATTACTTGATTCATGCAACTTATGAGAAGTAACTCTTTGTTCCATGCGCTTCCCTCGACCGTTGTAAAGAGAAAATTGGGAGGGACCACTTGGAGAGATGCTTGGATGCTTTTCCAAGTGTCTCTCCAAGTAAACAAAGCATGTCGTCATTAAGTCTTAGATCTATTAAAATTGACCTAAGACTTAATGACGTAACGCTTTGTTTTATACAAGTGCGCTTTCCAGGTGGGGCACGTCAGGTTTATTAGGAGCTCACCAGCTGTAGCTACTGCCTCGTCAGTTCCATTACTGGGTCTCAATGTAGGTGCCGCAACTCCTCTGAACCCTATTGCTAACACGATGGTGCCTGACGCTCATGGAAGAAAATGAGTTGTGTGTATACTTCACACCATGCGCACAAGAACTCTGGTGCATCCCTCCCACTAGAGCTCTAATGCAGCCATCTACTTTTCATGCACACTGTCCATACCTTCTTGTATAGTCAGGTGGCTTAGATCTAATTTTCGTCAAGATCGTGACCGCCTGGTCCAAAGCACCGAACTTGGCAGATAGATTCTTATAGAACTAGAGAAGATATTTAGAAGGGGTGACACCCGAAATTCTTTTGGGAAGGGTGCCTCATTTGCATTAATCGTTAATCCCTGCCGTGTAATATATTTATTCCCATATTTGGGTATATTTTTATTTTTTTTATTTTTTTGAAAAGTGTATTTTGGGGATTTTACTTACATATCTTTACTTAAATAACATTTTCCAAAGCATATAAGTGACTGAATAATTATGAGGACATAGTAACGATCCAAAATGGCTACTATTATGCCCTAAATTGCGCGCATTTACCTTGTCCCCAGATGTCATCAATTAGTCTTGCCAAACATCAGCATTGATGAGCTTCAAATTCACCACGTAGCTTACTGGTACAGTTACCCTATTGAAACCTTATGCAAAATCATGTGAACAATGAGAACATTGTGATATTTAGCCCAGAAAACAAAAACTGGGGCAAAAAACGAAGTGTCCATAAATTGGGCTAACAAGTAAGGTGAAGGGTTGTCTAACATGGAAGACTGGAACAAGTTCAAAGAAATTCCCAAAATTATTGTTGAGAAAACGTTTTGGCGAAGACAAAATTATTGTAAACAACAATAATCTCTTATTTGGGGGGATTTTGTTGAACTTGTTCAAGTCCCCACGTTACCCTTCCCGTAGTAGCCCAATTTACGGACACCACATTTTCTCCCCTTTTTTGGTCTTTTGGGCCAAACATCAAGATGATATCAATTTTCACATGATTTCCCACTTATTTTTGTTAGGTTAACAAAGTTACTTATGTCAGTAAGTACCTTTGTGAATTTGAAGCTCATCAATACCCACGTTTGGGGAGACTAGTTGATGATATCTGAGGAAAAGGTAAATGCGCGTAACTTTAGGGTAAAATAGTAGCAATTTTGGTGATTTACTATGTCCTCGTAATTATTCAGTCACTTACATGCTTTAGAAAATGTTATTGAAGTAAGAATATGCAAGTAGAATCACCAAAATACACTTTTCAAAAAAATAAAAAAATAAAAATATACCCAAATATGGGAAAAAATATATTACACGGCAGGGATTAACGATTTATGCAAATTAGGCACCCTTCCCAAAAGAATTTCAGGTGTCACCCCTTCTAAATATCTTCTCTAGGTCTATAAGAATCTATCTGCCAAGTTTGGTGCTTTGGACCAGTCGGTCACGATTCCCACCATATGCCACCTGACTAGTAGAAACAAATTAAGCTTTTCTTGGATTCCTTAACTTTACCTTTTTTCTTAGGAATCTCAAGACACCCTGGATATCTGCCTGTGCGCCCACTACCAGGTCAGCAGTGTGGAGGAGCTAGGACATGGACCTGTCAATCGGCTGAGTCAACAAATCATCAAGATGGCCAATAAGTTAGGCCAGCAAGAGGAGCAAAATGCCGTCATCTACGAGACAGCATTGTGTGCATCAAATAGGTGTGGTTTTAGTTACTGCCAAAATGTCTATGACCCGACCCAAATTAAGGAGTCCTTTTTCACCAGAGTTACTTTGGAATAAAAGGAGCTTTTGGAAATTATGTATAGCGAAAGGTAATGAGAATAGTCAACATTTTCTCACACACAATATTTGAATATATTACAATGTCAACTTGAGCAATCTTATTCACAAAGATTGACAGGTTCCAGCAAGTTTCGCAGACGTGGTAGGAAAGAAGGCTCGTATCAGGCATGCAATTTTCACTTGGATCAGCTGATTTAAACTTTTTTCACTTCACACTTATGCCATTAGAAATTGAAAAACTTTGTTTAAAGTCTTGTAAAGTTTGGAATTCCCTCTTTATTTTGTTCCCTCTTTATTTTGTTTAGTTACTTCCCAGTTGCATGCCTGTTGCTTCCCAGAAGCGTAGCCAACGAAGAGAAATCAGCACAGGGGGCTTCACCTCCCTGCCCCTCCCACTCTTGGATTCAGCAGTGTTCTATGTAGCTTATTTTCTTTCACATACATTCTTTTAAGGCGGAATGAGAGTAAACGCAAGGAGGTCGGCTTGTTTGGCTCTCAGAGCCTGGAGAGCGCCATCGCCTGTCTGGCCTCTGCCCCTTTGCTGGAGGATCTAGCCGAGTGGTCTCATTGGTCGATGGTCTTTGAGCCGGAACATGGAAACCTGAAAGCATTTCTGGAACGAAATCCTGGTATGGCATTTGTGTGATCAGATATCTCTTTCTACTGGAACAGAATTTAGAAAGGCCTGTTTAGGTTGAATCTGAGAATTTGTACTTGGGTCTCTCCCATTTTTAATTTATCAGTGGTGGTTGTAATTTTTTACAGGAAAGCGTGAGAATCTTTGGCAAAATGACTCTGTGTAGAGTCATTTTTAAAGCCACTTATTTGACTTTGCTTGTGGTACAAGTTCTTTGCAGATTTTAATAAAAAAATGTAGCTATTACCAAAAAGGATGTAGTTTGGAATAAGAAATCCGAAACTTTTGATCTTGAACTTCAGGTCAAAGTGTGTTGCCACCAATAGAAATCAATGCCTTGGAGGTCCAACCAGGAGTCCTGCTCCGATTGGCTGCAGAGACGTCACCTGACTTGTTTGCCACAGCGGCAAAGCGAGGTGACAGTGTCACAGCCAGTGGTCATCTTGTCTCTTTGGTGGCCAAGGAGGGCCCTAGCAACACCCCCCTGGCATTGCTTAGCAACCACATGGAGACGGCTCTGAATGTTCTGGCTGTTGAGTCTGAGGGAGAGGAGATGAAACACTGCGCTGTGATTGGTTTTGTGCGGGACTGCCTACTGGCTGTGCCTCTCCTCATTGGACAGACAGTTGTTAGGCAGGTCTGTAGGGACGTTGTGTCCCAGATTGTGAAATTTTTTAAAAGTTTTGCTTTGAGAGATGTAAATTTGTCCATAAGATTTTATCACTTACCAACCCCTTGAAAAAACATTCACAGGGTTGAACTGAAATGGGTCTTTAACCTTCCATCTTGTTACTAGGGCAGATTTTTACCACTTGACCACAATTTCCTTGAGAAACGGCAAAAACTTAATGAAAATATTTTTGAGTATTTTCAAATTTACAGATTGACCCTACTGTTTTTGTCACTGCAGGTCATCTTAAATCCCCTGACAACCGTCATTGGGTCAGAGGTCAAATCAAGACAGTTGATTCTCAAGGCCTGCCGCACTACCACCCAGAGGACAAAAATCCAGAGGCTGGGGCTCCTGCTAGGCATCAGCCAATGGAAAAACAGCTTCACAGAGGAAAGGATGCCCCGGAAGATGGATAAGGAGGAAGACTATGAAGAGGACTTCTTCGGAAATGATGAAGAGTTTGACTTCAGTAACTTGCTTGGGATTCACAAAGCTCCAAAAACTACCAAGGTGACAATTTTATCAATATATCTGAATTCTTTCTGGTAATAAATAAAACAGTTCCTCAATGTTGCATCTGAATTGAGCAATATCATAGCTTTTTGTAAAAAATAAAAGCAACATGATTCCGAAATTAAGCAAGTTTATCCTATTTGTGAGTCTGGGCTTTTGATATCTTTTGTAGAGCTTCTTGAAGAAAAGTCAAGTCAAGTCACAAGCATTCAGATTAATTGTGATAGTCGTTGTTCACCCTCAGTTGTGACTTGACTTGCGATCTTACCTGTGAATTGACTCATGATTAGTCAATTTCACAAGCTTTGATAAGAGGCAACAAATCTCGCAAATTGTCCACAGGCAGCAGAAAGTCCTTCAACCGCAGAGGTCAGTCCTATTGACACACCATCCCTTCAAGATACTGAAGAGCTTTCCCAGACATCACTGGAGAGGGGAGATGTCCAAGACAACCTTGAAGGGGAGGAGACGATCGAGCAATTTGAAGATGAATTTGGCAACCTCATTGAAGCAAGTTGTGAAGGTGATGAAGAAAATATGGAAGTTCAAGAGGACATATATGAAAGTAAGAAAATCTGACGTTTAGTTGTTTCTCTGCTATTGTGGATTTTTGAAGTAATTTTTTATTAAAAAAATTAGTTGTTTGTTAAGAAAAAGGCTGTGTCAAGATTTGTCATCGTGATCCCAGTCAGAGGCCGCCCAGTCTCAAATGAAATTAAAGTTATTCAAATGATCATTGACAAAGACATTTCTTTGTTGTCATCCCCTGTTACTTGATACCCAGCTTGTGATTAACTCATGATTTATTGGTTTGACTTGATGTTCACTCGAGAATTGTCCTTGCAACATTGATGTTTTAGAAACTAGCTCAGACATTTTGTCTCATAGTGTTTGTCCCAAGCCTCTATTCTTCTTTTAGCGTTGGGGCGTTTTGCAGAAGAGTTGAAAAATATTCATTTGAACAAAAGAAATGTGTAAAATAAAAAGGGACTGAAACAAAGTGGGTTCATGAATCTTTTTTTTTTCTTAAAGTGGTAAAAAAGTTCAAAGATTGAATTTGATTATTTCATTCCCACTAGAAGGAGAAGGTAGTGCCGATGATTTTCCAGCAGGAGAAGAAATTTCCCCTTGGGATGAGAATTTGGATGATTTTTTTAAAGAAAAAATCAAAATCAAATCTAACTATTTTATTTCTGCTAAGGAGAAGGTGATGCTGATGATTCTCAGGCAGTGGGCACAGGAGAGGACACCTCCTCCCTTGACGAGTGTTTGGATGCAGATGCTCAGCCTCTAAACAAAGAAACAATCCAGACTGAGGATGAAACGGAACCAGAGCCCAACCTGACACCATTCCAGCGCGACGTGCTGGACTGCCGGGCAGTGATCCACAGCATCTGCCGTGATGAGTTTGGCGTGGGGATGGAGCTGGATGAGCAGACCAAAGGACTGATGGACCGGCAGCAGGAACGCATCGGCCGCAGCCTCAAACGACTCTCTGAGGAGCTGTACAGCAAGGACACCCACTTTGTCCTGGAGCTGATCCAGAACGCCGACGACAATGAATATGAGGCAGGGGTGGAGCCTTCCTTAGTATTCCTGGTGGACAGGTCAGTAGCAGTGGCAAGATAATACTATTTCAAGATATGGCACATATCAAGATACAGAGGTTGCAATACAATATACGTCTTTAAAATTGTTAATTGATTTCGGGTATTTAAACATCATATGAATTCCTCAAAAGTGCCCGTGTCACTTTACCTCACAAGCCCAAAGAAACCTGTAGAGACAATGAAGAAATGTGCAATTTTAGAAGTGCAAGGAAAAACTTAAACTAATATTCTTGGGAATTCCCATGGAATCGTGCAGAGAATGAAAACCCAATACACATTTCGGCTTGGGCGGGATCCGAACCTGGGCTATTAGAGGTGGAAGGCAAAGAAGTAAATCCCCATTACTCATGATATGTATCACATGAATGAGTTCTCAGATTTTTGTCTGAAATCTTTCCTTTTGAAGGTATATTTTATACAGTTAATTTCTTGTTCAGAATTACAGATTTGTACTTCTGGTTACTGAATTAAAGTCTTTGCCTACAACATTCAACACCAGTGCACAACAGTGATGCCTTGGCATTCTTGTATCATGCCTATTGATACCTCTGTTTGTATCCCCTGCAGGTCTGAGGTGACTGTCTTGAACAACGAGGTTGGTTTCTCAGAGAGCAACATCCGGGCTCTCTGTGATGTCGGGAGGAGCACCAAAGGAAAACACAAGCGAGGATACATCGGTAAACGCCACTGAATATTAGACGTAAATATACGAATGCAAAGTTGTGACATCATGGTACATGCTGAAAACTTTTGACCGTTCTGGTCCTTTTCAATTCACCATTCAGGTCACAAGGGCATCGGATTCAAATCAGTGTTCAGAGTGACCGACAAACCTGAGATCACGTCCAAGGGCTATCATGTGTGCTTCGATCAGAGTTCCGATCAGATGGGTTACATCTTGCCCACCTGGGTAGGGCCTGAAGAGATCCAGGATGTTGCCCAGATGGAGGAACCTACCAAACCGTAAGAGCTTAATTCAATTCTTGCTAATAGACTGATGCATTAAGACTGCCCGTGATTTATTTGACCACCAAGATCACGTATCCTGCCATAGTCGTGAGGCCGAGTTGCAGTCGAGAAACTTGTGAATTTCATGAATATTCATCATATCTGCATGAGCTCATGAATATTTAATTCAATAGCTGGACCACCCGGATCACCCTGCCGTTGAAGGGAGACTTCCAGCGAACCACCAGCCTGGTCAACAAGTTTGAGGATGTCCAGCCTTCCCTACTGCTGTTCCTGAACAGACTACGATCAATTGTCATCGTTAACCAGGTTCGGTTTATGATTGATAACCCTCTCAGTTCAATTTTACATTACACGTAGTGGAGCACCAAACCGTTCCGTGTACCTCATGCTTTGAGTATGCACGTGAAAGGGTGCCTGGATGTTCGGGGAAAGTCAAAGAAAATCCCCCACCCTTGCCACCTTTGCCCGCTTTGAGAAATGTACCAGCAGCACTCTCAGCAAACTACATGGGCATGAGCCCTTCATAATTTTTGATGCAGGAGACCCCTAAAGTCAAGTCTCCCTGAATAGTTATGAACTCTCGCGTTCATTTTATGGGGCATTTGCTCTCAGAATACACCTAGACTCTTCAATTTGTTTTATAATTTTAGTATTTGTGTTGATTTTTTTTTTCTTCAAATTCCGAGATTTTAAGATTTTAAATGTGCCTGGTTTCAACTGGGATTTTTTTTTATTGCAAGCAGCAATTTTCTCTTTAGTTGTCACTTTAGTTTCGCACACAATTTTAGAACAATATCCAGGTGACAATGGAGAACCAACTGTGCATATCCTTTGGGGTAAATGGCCAGGGGAAAAAAGTATGATCTAAATATGAACAATTTTCCAAGTAGGACAAATGGGGGTTTTTCTGAATCTTGCCAGCTGAAAAAGATGGTGATAGGTTCTTAGATTATTTGGCATCTCTCCAAAAAAATTGTAACTGGAAATTGCTGCAACTACAAGTCAAGTGAGCAAATTTGCCTCACTTGTTCATGTGCACGTGAAAATTTCCTTCGTTATGATGTAAATTGGCAGGAAGAGAACACGACAAGCCATATGAGCAGAAGAGATAAAGGAGGCAACGTTGTGGAGATCCGCCACTCCAAAAACACTGACAACTGGCTGCTCATCAAGAAATGCTTGGATGCTACTAAGGTACTGCACAACATTTATTCTCCTGTGACTCGGGTGGGATTCGGGGTAGCTTTCCAGTGCTTGACCGATAAAGTTGAACGGGCTGCAGTCACTTTCCTTCGTTCAACTGATAACAAATTTTATGTCAATGTACAAGTATTATAATGTAAACTGACACTTATCTACAGTTCTATGTATATTTCTTTGGTTGGGTAATCAGAACAAGAATATGCATTTGAGAATAAGACAATTTCATGTGACAATTGTAATTGCCAAGTCTATTGAGGTTCTGGTCAGCATAGTCTTAGATTGAGGCTGGCTCCTTAAAGTCTTGAAGAAAATTTGTGATGACAACAAAATAAAACCCATGATTTCACCATTTTTATTTGTTTATATATTTGTCACACAGTTACAGCGAGTGGGCATTGAGTCGACAGAGTTGGGTCTAGCCTTCCCTCTGTCTGACGGCATGTCCAGCGAGCAGAACGTCTTTGCTTTCTTACCACTGAGGAGCTACGGTTTCCACTTCATCATTCAAGGTAAGATGAACCCAGGAATTTCTGCTGTGCCTCTGGTGCATTTACTGCGCCATCTTATCCATAAACAGTTTGTGTTCCGAGGAATGCTGTGATGAAGTATTTTCCTTAATCTTCTTCCGTTGTACTCCCTCATCGTTCCTTTCCAGGATACTTCATTCTCTCTTGTCTTGTTTGAAATAAAATGTTTGTTTGTGATTGGCCAATTTTATGAACCAAAAGTTTTATATTGTTTATCGCCAGTCCATACTCAATATTTTGTATGTCAGGTGACTTTGACATCCCATCATCTCGGGAGGACGTGGATGCTGACTCTGCCTGGAACCAGTGGCTCCTGCGGGAGATTGCGCCACTCTTCATCAATGCCCTGGAAACCTTCAAGGTCAGCAGATGTTTATTAAATCTGTTCCCTTCAAATGCAGCCAGTCCCTTAAAAAAAAATGGTCAAGTCTCCACAGCAGTAGGGGACAATATCATTGAGATCAATAAAATGCGGTCTAAGGTCCTTTGGCACTCAGACCCAAAATTCTGAGCATATTCATGCAAATATGTGTGCACGTACTATAAGTTCAAGCTAGTGCATTCTTGAGGTATGCCCAGGTTTGTGTGCCCAGGTTGGTTTGACCAGAGTATGCAAATATCAGAGAAATACTGAGCTGTAGCTGTGTGACGTACTATGAAACTGGGAAACCAGATTTGTTTGACCTCCCCAACTACAGAATTTGGAGAAGAAAATAAAAGCTTAGAATTGTTTGAAACTGTGATTTCTCCTACCGCACTGTAAATTGGACCCTATAGTTTGGCCTTTAGATAAGTTGCAGCTAAATTGGATTTTTTTTTTTTTAAATTATGAATTTTTATCAATTATGATTTTTTATTGCGAACTGCTTAAAGATTGAAGTGTTGTGAAATATCCCATTCTTTTTTAGGCACATTACCATGGCGATCCCGTCCATGCTGTCTGCCAATTCCTCAAGTTCGTTCCTATGGAGAGTCAGATTCTGACGGACTTCTTCCGGAAGGTGGCCACCAACATCCACCAGAGAATGAAGGCCACACCCTGTATGCCGGTACTCACTGGCCAAGGAGAAGGCAAGTTTGCTGTATATATAGACTAATTCTGCAATGGCCATTTTCTCAGGTGGCACCAGGCAGGCTTGCGTCAGTCGTGCTCAGGTAATACGCACGCACTTCGGGCTCCTTTGACCAATAGGGTTACAAAAATGCATGCGGGCGCCTTGTCTTTATGAACATGTGTGCCATGTGAAGTGGTTCCACCTCAAAAATGGCTTCTAATTTTGTTCGCCGAATTAGTCTATAGATGTGCATGGCCTAAATAGACTGCGCACTGTAGGCTAAAAACGAACAAGTTTGATGAAGGACCATTAGACAACTAGTGGTTTATTTTCATGTCTTAGCTAATACCCCGTGTATCAAGGGCAGAGTGCGTGACCTAAAAAGCCACTGTTCGAGCATGAGCAAGCTTGTTCAAGATTTATACTTCTATTACCAACTGTGCATCAAATGCATGCTAGTCAATGATTGCTATTTGATTAGTCTAGTTGGACAAGCCTACAGAGGTTGGTTGCGTGGCCGGTTACCAATGGCCACACACATCTACCGCAGGAAGCCAGGACCAAGAAGTTCTACAAATGTACATTATAATTATAATTGCACATTATTGGATAGGAAAAAAAACATGAAATTCCAGTTACGAGTTGAATGTATTTTATTTTTCCTTCAGATGATGTTTGTTGGAAGTTGCCATCAGAGACCCTCATGTGTCCAGACCGTAGCGTCCGGGAGTTGGTCTGTGAGTTGGTTCCAGAGGGCACTTTACGAGCGCATCTGAGCTGCTCCTACCTGCATCCGCACGTGGCGAGCTCTGTCAGCGAGGTGTTGCTCAAGAGTCTGGGAGTCAAGGTGCTACAGATGGGGGAGCTGATGAACATCCTGAGCAGTGTGGCACGGGCAGCTAAACAGACAGGTATAGTGGCCTAACTGGAGGGGGAGCCCCATTTCATGGCCTTTAACCTCACCCCTCTGATGCCCCCCTCCCCCTCCCACCTTCTCTGAATTTGAAGACTGATCAGATAGAATTGCATCAGGGAGATGTAGACTCAGTGTTGTCCGAGGGTTTGCAAGCAAAACATTGACAAGCTTACTTGGGTGGGACTCGAACCCATGACCTCCTACTAACTAGTGCAGACTTATTAAGATGTCAATCTGAGTGATATCCCAAAACAAAGAGTATATAGGAAAGAATAATGAAAGAGTGTGTTCTTTCCATAGAGCTATATTAAATTACTAGAGCGCTAACTCGCCATTCTGTGCGCGGAGACGCTTTGAAGCCGTCCTGGGCTCATACATTTTGAATTCGTGTGCGTGTTTGTAGAACATAATGAAATGAGATGGATTGAATTTTGGAAGTGTACTCTACATGCAACGCGCAAGTAGAACATACGCAAACAACTTAAGCGCGTCATTGATGGTTCAAAAACCTGACGGCAAAAAGCATATGCAGCGAATACGCGCACGCGTTGCGCTGTTTGCGTAGAGCAAAATGACATGCTCATTTGCTGATCGTGTGTTTCGTTTTTGGGGTGTATTGGCTTCGACAACGCACCGGTATGGAATACAAACTCAGATATGCAAATAGCCATACAAAAGCCGTACAAATTTTCTAGGTCTCCATAGGTTTGTGCACAAACATGGATGCGCCCAGCAGGCATTACTTTGTACACGAAGTTAGCGCACTTGTAATTTAATATAGCTCTATGGTTCTTTCTAATAAAAGTAGTGGTGGTATGACTTTTGTTTATTCCAGTCACATAATGTGGAACTATGGGTATTGCTTGCTGTTACAGAGGAACCGTTGTCTCCTAAAACCGTGGCACAATGGCTGACCTGTATCTATCGCAGCCGCGACAAGTATGACGTATCCCAGGGAACACTGGACCAGCTACGATCCATTCCCATGATTCCACTGTCATCGGGACAGGTCGTCACCATGGAGGAGGGCAGCGTGTTCTTCCCTATCAGTGAGGAAGACAGGACCAACCAATCACAAGGCCAGATTCCATCAGGTGATTTCTTCTTTGACTAATAAGGCGGATGCTGAGATGTTGGATCCACTAAAATTAAAGTTCCGAATAAAAAAAGCCAGCAATTTCTGTGAAGAACAAATATTTTAACTCTTGTTATATTCTTGTTTATATGCCAATCCTATTTAAATGCTAAATTTTCTTGGGAAATTTTGAGTTCAGTTGATGGAGCAATTGTGAGCAATTCAAACCACAGACAGAACATACCTTTGGAGGCCTACATTATGTTTTACCTTGATTGCATCTTGTGACAATGACATTATGCACTGAACCTGAGACCAATGAGCCTGAGCTCAAATTGAGACACGCTTGGTTTATGCAAGTTCAGATAAAAATTGATTGTGTGCATTTGAGGGAATACGTGCTAAGGAACCAGTGCTTGCAGATTGTGTCTTTCCCAGTAGACTGATTCGGCGACCAAGAATAGCCATTTTATAGGTAGAACCAGGCTCGCACTCAGGTAGTATGCAAGCACTTCGTGCTTCTTTGAGCAATGGGCCTCTTTCAAATGACGTCGATTCCTACAGATTAATTGTCACGACGTGTCAGCAGTGGCGTAGCCAGGAATTTTTCAGTGGGGGGGGCGCTGGGGGGGGGGCTGGAACATTTCATGGGGGGGCGTCATGTAGATCAATGATAATTTTTTGAGAAACTCAAAATCTCAGTGGGTGGGCGACTGGGGGGGGGGGGGACAAGGTTTCATGGGGGGGCTGTTGCCCCCCCCCAGGTCCCCCCCTCCCCTCCGTGGCTATGCCACTGCGTGTTGGCATTTTGGGCGTCACATTTTGAGCAACATGCGCAGCGGCGGCGGAACGGGTTTGAAACTGGGGGGGCAGCATCTAAAAGGGGCACTTGCAACTTGCAACTTGCAAACCCGTGCTGAAATGTCACCACGTTTTGTTCACCGGACACTTGGCCTCTTTAAAATCAAATAGTGGGGGAAGGGGGGGGGGGGGGGGGGCTTGTACCATCTTCCAACATAGGGGGTGCTCTTCAAAACCAATGATTATATGCTAAACATACATTATGTGCCCATTTTCAGGGCGTCTTGTATGGGTTTTGGGACCTGGCTTTCATATTCCTCGTTTATATCAAAAATATCTCTACCATTATTGGGAAATGGTTACTTCTAAGAAATACTAAGATACTTTAAGGGCATTTTTTATTTATCTCGAGGGGGCACATTTATGGCCGCCAAAGGGGCACTTGGGAAAATCTGGGGGGGCAAACGCCCCCCCAGCCCCCCCGGCTCCGACGCCCCTGAACATGCGCACATGTCATGTTTAGAACATTTTGCACACTGCGCGCACAGGCACCTGATGGCATTGAACATGAGTTGTAACTTTCCTACAAAGGTGGCAGTCTATGAGTTATGAGAGGGGTCTATAGGGTTACCAAAATGCCTTGGTTTTAAGAACACATGCGGCGTCTAATTTTGCTCTCCAAATTAGTCTTTGGAGCTCTTGAGTGGTGATGAAGCACAATCTACTCTTGCACATATGACATGTTAAATAATAATCATCAATGCAATATTTTTGGTTTTGTCCAGTAGCTCACAGCCAGCCCTTACAGGCCTTAGAGGAGGACATGTGTACTTTAGACAGCCGAGTCCTGACCAGCCTGGACAGCGTGGCCAACTCCCAGGTGGTCCAGCTGCTTGAGGAGCTAGGAGTCCTTCGCATCAGTCCTAGAGATGTGATTGGCCACCACATACTGCCGGTCATCCAATCCGATCAGTGGAAGGTAGATTTTTGATTTGATTTAATATTGAAAACAACTCTCAAGGTGAAAATGAAATGGCTACTTTTGAGAAGATTAGAAAGCATGCGCCAACTTTTCTCCTGGCAAATATTTTTGTAATTATCTAATGATTAAAACACTTTCAGAAGAAGTGAGACAACTAAATAAGAGGGAGATACTTGCATAGAAGGAATTTGGCCAGAGGACCAATGCGAGCGCGGAGCGCGAAGCACTTATGGCGTGGGGTCCGGGGCCCGCTTAAGGGCCCCTGGAAATTTTGGATCGTAGATGCTCTGTGGTGCAATCTGAGGCGTTTCCTGGCCACTTTCCCCTGGTTTTTTTAGCAGAAGTTTTTAAAATTATGAGGGGATATTTTGTTTCATTTGTTTCAAATACATATAGGCCTATATACTCTTGCTCCTATGAAGTGTCTTCTGTATTCAAAGCTTAAAGTTGAGGGCATGCACATAATTTGTAATTGTTCCGCGCTCGGTCACATAACTCTCTTTTCCCTCCATATTTTTACATGGCAAAGGGGGGTGTTTAACAGCCAAAACACCCCCCCCCCCCCCTGCGTACGCGCCTGAGTCCGGGTGACCATTGCAAGTTAACTTCGAATGTATTCGCGCGCCGATGACGCCTGATGCTCACGCGTGAAGATGCTATGGCTTAGGTTTGTGTACATTCAGGATAAATAAGTTGTGCGTACTTCACAAGCGCAAACCAGTACAGTACGCACACACCGTGTCCCGTCCAAGGGGCTCTCAAAAGTGGTAAAAACGCGCCCTCTTTTGTTGGCGCACAGAGCCTACAGTGATGATATTCTGTTACTTTCAACCCATAAACCTCCTTGTTTGGGACAAAAAGTTCGATAATTAGACCATTGCCTGAAGAAACTTGAACTTCTCACTGAATGATGGGTGATTATCACACATTTCTTCCCCAAACAAACAAATGTCCGAAACTGAAGGTTTCATTACGAGGTGTAGGTGACATGGTGACATCAGTTTTATTGTTATTCCCATTGGAACAATTCAGGACAAGTCCCGTGATGTTCTGGTTGGCTACGTAGTGTACATCAAAGAACAGCTAGCCAGGCAGCCAGATGTCTGTGACTTGGACAAGATAGCAGACTGCATCCACGTTGTGACCAACCACGGACTGATCCAACCCAGGGAGAGACCTGTTCACTTCACTGTGACGTATGGCAACCCTGTTGACCTTAATCAAGCCCTGCCAGGTATGGTGGCAGCTGAGTAGTGATTTAGTGAATCAAAAGTCAAATCACAAGTGCTCACAAGCCAGTCAAATCAGAAGTCAACCAACAGTCAATCACAAGTCAAATTACAAGTCTGCCGCACGTCATATCACTAGTTATAGTCACCGGTCAATCACAAGTAAAGTCACAATTCAAATTACAAGTCATATCACTAAGGCCAAAAAAAAAAAGTCTCCGGTTTCTGGTATGCGCGCGCGTTGCCGTAGCCATGCGCGTCGGCAAAATGAAAAAGTTTTTTTTCAATGAAAGATGATGTCTCAAAACCGCCAAACTCACTGGTTTGACTGGAATTCTGCTACTGCACAATTTTAACGTGTTTTTAGATGGGGTTATGATCGAGAATAAGCTTTATGTGGCCTCTCTGGACTCCCATATATTTGCACTAAGTTTAGTCGGGCACCATTTGCAGTCATCAGCCGACATTTGAAGCAAAAAAGTCAGGTAAAAAAAAAAAAAAAGCCGCGTCGCCGCACCACTTTTTGGACAAGCTCCATACCAGAAACCGGAGACTTATTTTTTTTGGCCTAAACCATCGCAGGTCACATCACAAGTCAAATAAAACACAAGCCAGTTGCAAGTCAGATAATGAGACAATCACAAGTCAAATCACACAACTCAATCATTTGTCAAATCACAAGCCAATCACTTGTCAGTTACAAATCATTACCAGTCTATTACTAAAATCACATCAGATCACAAGTCAATCACAAGTTAACCCATCAATCAATATATTAATCACAATATATCACACTGTGTGCGAGCACCTACTCTCGCAAAGCTACATTTTTCCTATCACTTCAAAATCACAAGTCATCGCAGCTTCTGACTTGACTTGACACAGGATGACTTATGAGGATGCATGGCATCCTGGGGTTAACTTCAGGTGTTAAGAGCGAAATAGTATGAAGAGAGACAGGTAAAGTCTCGATACGCTACAGACTGTTTTACCCTAAGGATCGTCAGGCGTATGAGTATATATTACATATATATATATAATAATCACTAAATTGAGGAGTGACTTAACCAACAGTTGTCTTGTCTTTCTTGAGGCAGGCTGTGATTGGGTTCTGTTGAACAGTTGCTACATCTTCCATAATGGGCCTCATAGTCTGCAGCCCAGTGAGACTGCGTCATGGAATGCTTTCTTCAGTAAGCTAGGGGTGCTGAACTTTCTAGCTGTTGAGAACAAAGTACTGACACTGAAGGTAGAAGAACTAGTAAGTATTTCTCTCTCTCAAAAGTTGTTCTTGTTTTTATATTGCTATCTTCTCTTATTTAGAATTTTCAGATTTAATTACACAATGGATACAAAAGTAATAAGTTTATCAAAGAAAAAACATGTTTTTTTCAGGATGGGACACCCTGGGAAAATCTTGGCCAATTCTGGGAGAAACCAACAGATGGTGTCTACAAAATCCATGATAATGCTTGCAAAGAAATTGAAGAGTTGGTCCAAGCGAACCTGGAAATGTCTGCCATGCAAAGTCAGCGACGGTGCCTTCTTGAGATTCTTAACCAAGAATGGAACAGATACTATCCTGCTTTCATGGGGGCTGAAGTGTTTGATCAGTCTGGGACAAAACTTGCTAGCACTGAGTCCAGCTTTGCAATCTACCTGAAGACAAGCCCTTGGCTGCCTTCAACTCCGATCAGAGAGGAGAATAATGGTCAGGTGGTGTTTCGAAGGCCTGATGATATCTTCATAGATTCAGTTAGAGCACGAGAGCTCCTGGGTAATCATGTTCCTTACTTGGATGGCCCTGTCCAAGGGGATGGAGGCCCCATGTTACAGTTCATTGGATTGAAAACCATTGGAGTACTTGATGCAAACTTCATGATTTCAAAGCTGAAGTCGTGGTGCGGTGATGAGGGCCAGTCACCAGATCTTAGATCTGGAACCCCCTTCTGCACCTCCTTGAAACACATCGTCAGGGTGTACAATTACTTGGAGCAGAACTGCCTTCACAAGGAGCTCAAAGAGTTATTCAGTGATCACAGAGTTGTGTTTGTCCCTCATCAGAAGGCAATATACGAGTTCCCTGTTCCTGGCCACTTTGTCCACAAGTCTCTGGTTTACTGGCAGGATCCTTCAAGTCTCTTACGGAAGTATGCCAACTTGTCCAACCGTGCTGAGCTGTGTACACTTTACACCAAAAACATGGAGGACTTCTTTCTGAGACAGATCAATATTGACAGTATGCCGACCATCAAAGAATATGCCCAGGTCCTGGTGCACTGCGCTGGGGATATTACACTTCCGGACAATGCTCGTATCAAGGAAGAAGTCTTGGTGCTCTACAGCACACTGGGGCTAAAGTGTTCTGCATCAAGCTCAAGTAGACATAGCCAGTATTTGGATCAACATGCAGCAGGGTCAGTGCAGCAGCAACCAGAACTTGAGTTAAGTTCTGTCCAGTTCTTGAAAAACATCCTAGAGGGGCAAGCAGTCTTTCCCACTTTGGGCAACAAGTGGGTGACAGCAGAGGAGAAGCCCCTGATCTGCGACAGCAATTCCAAAGACATCCAAACGCTGTTCTTGGACAAGAAGGAGGTGCATCTGTTGAATTTTGGAGATCGCAACTGTCTTGGCTGAGTTGTTGAAGGCATGCCTGGGTCAGTGAACCGACAATACGTGGATGTTTTCCTTGAGGTATGTGGCATCAAGATGCTGTCGGACTGCATCAAGGAAGAATTCATCACCGAACTCACAAAGCCATCTCCACCACTCCAGCTTTTCCTCCATGATGTCTGCCCCTACATCCAGCTCTACATGGGCATGCAGCGCATTGTCAAGAAGGAGTTCGAGTCCACCTATGAGAAACTATCGACCACGATGAACATCGCTGCCAGGTTGAAAGTCGTGCGCTTCATGTCAGCCAAAAAGATTGACAAGGTCTACCGTTTCACACATGACCCCAGTGTGTTTGCAGAGCAGAGCGTTGAGTGTGGACTCCAGGAGCTGACAGAGTTCTACATAGTGACAGGCATCTCCAAGAATCTGCGACAGAACAGCAATGTGAGGCGAGAGGTGGCCAAACTCTTCAGCTGCGAGAGCACTGAGGTCCAAGAAGCATTGTTCAGTTTCATTGGCAGTCTGCTCCTAGAAATGGGATCCAAGCGGGAAGAATCCGGAGAGAAAGGAATCAATGAGGGCATCTGCAAGGCCTTAGGGCTGACCTTCCCTCGAGAGGACGATAATGAACCGTGGGAGGTACCCAAACCATTCATCCCAGAGGAAGTTGGTCAGTTGATTTCTACTCTTACTTTTGACTTATAATCTAAGCATATTGCTTTTGGGGGAGCAATAGTCTTATACCCTATCCTGGATGCATCTTGTGTTTTGGTTTTTGTGTGTGTGTAAATTTAGCGTGGCTGAGTTTTGTGTGGAGGTTTTAAAGTGAAAAAAAAAGGTTTGTCATTGAAGGATAATTAGTCTTAAAGTTTGGCATGAGGCTTTGTATGCATATAAAACACAACAACTTCACCATTTTTGGAGGATATGTTCTTTTGCAAAGTGTAAGTTATGTACAATTTTACACATCGCCCGATCACTCAACAAATAATCTTTCAATATTTGTTCAATATTTCAGTTTTCAAACCTACCAAAGTCAAGCCACTGACTGAACCCACTAAGCCACAGCCATCAGCCAGTTCACTGCTTGAGGGTGATGACGATGCAGCTATCCACAGCTGGCCACCTCGGTCGGGGACCTGTGGCCCACAAAAATCGACAAAAGGTAAGCGCCGAAAACCGGCCTTGACTAATGGCGCCACTATTGAGTCATTTCAAACTGTTTAGCAACAGGTTGTTGTAGAACTTAAGAGAAATAGCTCATTGATGGGAGGCCAGGTAAAAGATTGCACATTAACACTATTGGGCATTGTTTGAGGTACACACTTTTGTACATAGTGGTGATGTTAATGTGTTTCAGCCATTATTACATGCAGTCCTGTTTAATTAAAATTTCAACGCAAAAGGGACTTCAGACTACCTTTTTTCCCTTAATTTTATATTTCTTGTAATTGAAAGTTTTATTATATAGTACGAGGCTTTGCCTCGCCCTTTATGTGGGTGAGGCTGCTTCGCCGCCTGTTGCCAGCTTCATAGGTACATTGTAAGTCACCCACTTTGCTGGCAATCGCCTACTTTTAGGGTGATCAACTCGTGAACTATAAACTTGTGAGTGATCAGCTCATGAACACCTACACACATACACATGCCTTGCATTTTATAGTTTAGTCCACTTTTTAATGAAAATGTTTGCTTGATTGTTCCAGCTGGTGGCCAGCCCAGGGATGAAGAAGCTGTCCTCAAGATGTGGCCTCCTCCCCAGCCATTAATCAGTGCTCATGGACAGGTAGTTGGACAAGGTAGGACAATGTTTTACTGATGTGAAAACAATTTCTGATACTTGGATTCTATAGTTGAAATAAGAAGTAGATAGTTTGGAGATGTTAGAGGGTTTTTGGATGATGTTAGCGTTCGCCAAATGAGTCTTTGTTCATTCCTTTTTCTTGTGACCTGACTTTCAATTTGAATTGTGTTTGACTTTTTATTGACTCAATTAAAATTCTCTGTGGCTAAATATGTTCTTGAAGGGTGAAATTTTTTGTTTTCCACATTTGTAATCCCTACACTTCTACATTTATGTTCAGAATCTTCCAATAATCAGATTAATGCAGATTAATGTTAAAACTTTAATATAGTAAATGAGTAAATGGCATGTTAAACACCTGTAATTGACAGCGGATTATTGTTTTGTTCATTGGTCCCCCTCACCTTCACCAACCATCTGCAGGAGGTCCAGTACAGCCCAGACCCGCCCAGGCACAGCAGGAAGCCTTGCCCCCTAATGAATCCTCAAGTGATCCCACACAGTTGGCTAAAAACATGGAGGAGCTCGATTCAATAGAGGAGGATTCCTGGCAGAGTGCATCCTTGGGATCAGGAGTGGTGAAAGATAATGGCAATGGAAATGATGCTGAGGAAGGCATTCCAGCACCAGAGAGGGTCAACGAAGAGTTTCACAGTCCGCCCCAGGTCCAGCGTTCAGCAGCCCTACCTCCTCCCTCCACCAGCAGCGTCAAGAAATTCTTCTTACCGCCTAATGCTGAGGGAGAGGCCATTGAGGTGGAGTTTGAAGATCTTGCTCCTGGTCCAGCCCTTCTGGAAAGCCTGGAAGGTCTCAGCCTACCTCTCGGAGACAACCCAGACACGACAGATATCGCACGCTGGGGAGAGCAGCTGGTGTACCTCTACCTGCGCCAACAGGCTCAGAGAATGTCACCAGAAGCGTCAGAGATTACAGTCAGGTGGATCAATCAGCAGGATGAGACAGGGGAGCCGTATGACATCGTCATCAGCCACGGCACCCAGAACATCTACGTTGAAGTGAAGTCGACAATCAGAGACCAGAAGCAGGTTGTGGAGATATCACCCAGGGAGGTGGCCTTCGCTCTGGAGAAGGGTCAGGCCTTCCACCTGTACCGGGTGCTCAGTGCCGGGAACAAGAGTGGGGTGAGGCTGTGTCGTCTGCAAAACCTAGCCCTCAGGATGGACAGGAAAGAAGTCAAGCTCTTCATGTACCTGTGATGAGCAGACATACACAAGTGTGGGGGGGGGGGCTCATTCCCTCTAAATGTCTAGTGCCCAGGTGCCTCTCCCCTGAAAAAGTCAAATTGCCCCAGCCAACCAAGACAAAATGTGGTCTTCGATCAGATGGTCAAATGTTCCTCATAGGAAGCTGTTAACCCAATTTTACCCCCTTCCCCGATAGAAAAATCCAGCATACTCTCCAGGCCATTATGTGGTCACTCCATCTACCCTCATTACAAAATGATAATAAACTAAACTGCTGCAAACTGCTTACTGACCGGATTGACATGAAGCTGGTCTAACGTTTCAGTCTTTAGCGAGACCTTTCTCAAAGGCAAGTGACCGTGGTACAGAAACAAACATGTAGGGGACACATAAGCATCACAAAATTATTGTTATCAGAGAAACTATGTATTATTTCCTCTGCCTGAGCAAACAGATATTTGAAACAGCTCCCAAATAATTGCAATCAATTTAGACATTCCAATGTTAGTAGTAGAAATGTATTTATGAAATGGTGGTCTGAAGGATCAGGTTTTTTTTTTAATTTTTAGTTAGGGGTACCACCAGAGGTCTTTCAGTAGTGTACAGGTCTTATGGGTTAAAGTTTGCGACTTGTGATTGGAGGGTCCGGGGTTCAAATCCAACTGGCCATTATTATACTGTGCTCTTGCTGTAGTCTAGGCACTTCAGCCTCCAGTGGTTCTCTCCACCCTGGAGAATAAATGGGTACCATCACTAAATGTTTTACTATTTACTATTTTTAGTGTTTTCTGTAATTGTAGTTTTAAATGAATTGTTCTGTATAATTGCTGGGCACCTCTGGAAAACAGTGTACCACTGAGAGGTTTCCCCAGGGTAAATAAGAAATAAATAAATAAATAAATAAATGTTATTTGGCTTATTTGATGTGTATTTTCACATTTTTATACCAGAAAAGTGTTGGTAGATAAAAAAAAAAAGGTTTGTAATTGAAAGCTTATGTTTAGTTTAGGCATAGTGTTCTAAAGACCGCTTGTCAATGTCATAAGTTTGAAACAGTGGAATTTAGACACGGAATATGCTCATTATTTTAGTCAAGGACTTACAATTTTATATTTTTTCATTGTATTTTCAATCAAGTATCAAATACTAAAAATAATGAATTTTAATTCCTAAATAAAACGGCATGTAATATTTTCATCGGAAACATACATATACTTTTCCATACAAATTGGTAAACGTCTATATAAATAGCTTGAAAGGTAATAGACACCACTTGCAAACATTACAAAATTAAAATGTCAAAATATCATGAAATACCTCATTGATTGCAAGTAAATAATAGATCAAGCATCCTGTGTAATTATTACACCTAATATGCTGTCCTTTTTTCTTTTTTTTTTTTTTTTTTGAAAAGAGGACTTGCCATCATTTCCTCGCGATGATTAGGACCCAACCATTGTTCTTTCAACGGAAATCTAATAATCTATGCTTTGCGTCATGAAAATATGAAGATATATTTTCACAGTTTTTTTCAAAAAGTATATTTTACTGAGCTAAATTTTTGACAGGTTATATGTTTAGTAACTTGCTTCAGATTTATTGTATAGACCTTTCTATTGTTTGAAAACATTGAGCGCCATTTTCTATGGGCTGCCATAAGTGCATTAATTGAAGCTGTGGTTGGCAACATTTTATTTATTTATTTCTTATTTTAACTGAGTAGCCCATTCAGTGGAATCCACTGATCTCCCATGGGTCCCAGTAAAGAGAAGACAATGTGGAGATTACATATTTCCTCAAAAAGTCCTCATCATAACGCCTCATTTGAAGAAAAAGGCATGTTTATGAAGTATTTTGTTACGTTTGTTGATTATTTTGTATTCACAATTCAAATCATATTTGTGTCATCAATAATAACAATTCTTCATTTTTTTGCAGTGTGGGCCTTCCATAGTTTGGCAACCCGTGGTTGGCAACATACATGTTGCCAACCACGGGTTGGCAGCAGAAAGGTCGATTGTTGCTCCTTGAATCGGCAGAAACTCATTTTTGCAAATGATTTTCATTACCTTAAAAACAAAAAGGGGAAGCCAAAGAAAGTGCCCTTATAATATGAATCTACATTTTAGCAGTTTCTTTTTCAAAATAATGTAATGTGTAATATTAACAAAATGTTAGAACTTTGTTCCAGCTAGACTAGAAAGTCAATATGAAACGGCTAACAGTAATGTCTTCTAAAATAAGTACTATGAATTTTATGGAAGTTATTTTAGAAAATTTAATGCAGCAGTCTTTTGTGATACATGTATAACAATTGCTGTTAATATCGGATCTTTAAAAAAAAAAAAAGAGGTACGAAATGGAATTGCTCATATATCCACTCTAGTGTAATCATTGGGTGCAATTTATAATTTATTAGCAAATATAATCTATTTGGGATAGAGGTTCTAGATTATGATTTAAAATATGATATGGGTACCGGTATGTGCGATTTATATAGCAGACAAAAATAAACTACAAGGAAACACAGAAAGGTTTTTGTGTGTGCATGCCTCAGCCAGAAGTTTGGGTGTGTTTTTTTATTATTATACATCAATTGTAAGCTCATATGAGAAGATTTGTTAAGTATTATGACACAGTGAATCCAGTTAGGCACTACGGTACAAGTTGTTCCTTCAAAGGCTGAGACAAGTGACCGCATAGCAACTTTTCCTTCCCGCCTAAACTTTCCGCCTCTAGGATGTAAAGAACCAACCCTACTTCTCATTGGCCCACAGCCAGGCTTTGCCACGTGTCACAGAACAAAATCTCTGACTGGCTGGTCACCCCTCTCAAGCCTTCTCAGCCAGTGGCTCCTAATTGGCTATTTTTATGATTACCGGATCCCTCTTTTGTCACACAATTTTCTATGTCATTTCGTGTACAAAAGTTATCCATAAGAAAGTACTGCGGTGTAGCGAGATGCTATAACAGTGGACAGAAAATGCGCTCCTTTCATGCACATGAAGAATATAGGGGAACGCAGATTGCAAGATTTGCTGCTTATAATAATAAAAACCATTCTTATATAGCGCATATCACCGTAAGGTCTCTATGCGCTTGCTTATTAATAATTTGATCACTAATAGTGATAAAATTTAGTATGTTTTAGTATATTTTTGCTGGAGTGAATGGACGAACATTCTGATTTTCTGTCAGGATTGTGAATTTTGAAATGTTGCTACAAACTCAGTGCATCTACAATCTATGGAGGAACAATAATTGACCATTGAACATGTAGTACTGATTTACCAAGAAAAACATGTTGCTGGAGATTCTGTTATTTCTCATTCGGCAGTCAGCGACCTTCTCCCTCAAAAGAATGATTGTGAGCCCTCGAGGATTAGTTGATTATTTGATCAATCAGTTATAATGTTGGTTATTAAAACCACTTTCTACCTAACGAAGGGTTCCTTCTGAAGACGAAAGATTAGCGGGGGGGGGGGGGGGGGAGAGAAACAATTATTGAAATCTTGTGAAATTGTAATTACCTAAATGTGCAAAAAAACATCCTCAGATTATTCCAAGGTTTTGAACACGTGGATAATAAAATTCGTCAATAACTCTTGAAACGTTATCTCTATAACCCCCACCCCCACCCCCACCTCCACCCCTCTCCTCGAATGCTATTGCCCCCAATGCTGTGTCTCTTATTGTAAATCCTTACGGATTATTGAAGTGCTACTTGTAAACTCTCATCGCAATAAATCAATTAGATTATGCTCAAAAAGATTGCAAATAATATTTAAATGTACCATATTATAATAAAATGTGTGTTTTTATCAAATGCTTGCACTTTTACGATGATGGGTAAATAAGCAAGCTTTGGTAAGTTAGAATGGTAAGTTGCAGCTAAAAATGCTACTGCCTGCATATGCCTACCCATATATCCACCCGGCGAGAACAATAACACTGTCAGCCGAAATAACTCAAAGCCAAGTTACAATCCATTGGATGTTTAATTACAAATAAAACAAAAACGAATAACTAATTTGTATTGCAAGATTTAAATAGAGCTATTTTCAAGCTGAACAGTTTCAGATTAAAAAGAGGTGGGGGGGGGGGGAGTTGAATAAGAAAAAGAGTGACTAGGCTTACATCTCGGTAACAAGATAAGGGCCCAATAACAAAAGGTAATTTTCCAGTGCACCAACTACGGTTCTTTGAAGTAGCTCCCCCCCCCCCCCCCGTGCTATTCTCGAGTTTTACTCAGAAAAAGAAATGTTGAGCATGAAAGTTGTTTCTAAATTTGTATTAAAAAAAGAAAGAAAGAAGATTATTTACTTTTGAATGAGACATCGAACAACAAAATCTGCCCCCGTTTAGTTATGTCATAATCACTTCACGAAGTTGGAATTATCTGCGGCCCCGACAATAATTCAGGCGTATCTTGCGTTATGGGCGCAAAAGCGGCCCCAAAATAAACGAGTATCTTCAGGGGTTGAAAACATCTAAAACGGTATAGTGGTTTGTTTCCGTAAAAGTGGAAATTAATCCTGAGAAAAAAAACCGGGAAAAGGACTGCGTTGAAGAGCACGCGCGGTTAAAACAATTTTAAAATATTTTTGTCCAACGCCCCCTGTGATTCCGTGCACATCCAACTAGTCACACACCGATAGAGGGCGTGATCTAAATGGACCGTAAAGTTGACGATTTTTTCACTGGTAGTTTGTCCGATTGTTATTATTACAATGTGAATGAGAGGGATCAATGAAAACTCTCACTTCGTCGTTGTGTACAGTACATACAGCGTGTGCCAATAGGGCTAGAGGTTTCCGAACGTATTACCATGTAGGCACCCGGCCTATGTACAATGTACGTACGTACACTTCCGGACTACCATTGTGTGGGGAAAGCGTCGCTTTTTATTCAATTCAATTTAATGTTTTCCTTTTTCCTCTATTTACAAACATGTCAGCTGTTGGTCTAGTGTAACATTGATGTTCGAGGGTCGGTCGGGCCGTGTGGAAGTGAAGAAACAACAGAGAACACTATTGCATGATCAATGGAACGGATGGTTTTTCTACGAGCCAATTTGGCCTGGTACGGTGAGATTTATGGGTAGGCCTAGTGACCGATTTATGTTCGTGTTCGGAATATTTATATTGTAAGTTTGTAACCAAGTTCCTTGCTCTTTGTTGTCATGGTTGTAAGTTATACATATACTCATGTAAGTACTAAGTTGAACCATAATGTACAAAAGTCCTTTATCCAGTCTTGGCCGGAGTTTATTTGATTATTGTGACGTTATGTGATTAAATCATTGCCTTGATTTTGTGGTCAAGGTCATGGACTTTACATCATTTTCAGTGATGATTTAAACCACAGCAAGGAACTTGCTCCATGTTTAATGTAAACCTGATGATTTTATCGACTTTTGATCATAAAATTGAGTTGAGTTGTGAATTTGTAGAATGTTGTACCTTATCATGCTGAAAAGAAATGTAGACATCCTGTACATTAGGCATGTTTTGTTAAATTGTAGGGAAAGTATTCCATACTATTACTAGGCCTCCACTTTTTTCAATTAATTTTCAAGCGCCAAAAAGTTGCATCCTTTATGGTTATTTCCTTCCTCTATTCTCACCCTCTCCTTTCCTTTATTCCTATTTGTTAATCAGCCACTTACTTCAGCGAGATTCGAACCTCGGACTCTTCTTTGAAGGCACTAGCATGACTAGGCTGTTGCAATGATCAATCTTTGGACGTATTTAAAGTGTCCATTGAAATAAGAGTATTGAATATTAAATAAACTTAATATTCATGAGAAATTAAATATTCATAATGATGTATTGCACTATCATTGGCCTGCTCAAGCGTTGTCTATGTCATGCGCAACATACTGCTAGACTCACAGACACTTCAATCACTATGGCCAGGTGCCTCCAACTTAGCCCCATAAATGTGGCCAATTTACTGGACTACCTCCGTAAATAAAGGCCACACTTCCAACATGTAAAAAAACATTTCGAACTTTGTCAAATTTTGATTTTCACATTTAGGCTTAGTTTGTAGGTTTTTTTTTGCTTTAGAAGCACACTCACCCTCTTTATAGGCTAATCAGAAAGTGCTGCCTTTTTGTCTCGGATGTCTATTTTTTGTGAAATTTCCTGATTCGTTTGCACACGTTTGCGTATCAAAATTTCAACATGAATTTTCACGAAAATTGTCTGCCCACATTTCTACAGTTGTGATGCATTCATTGCAATGTATTAAATGCATTCATTCAAAGACATGCCTGTGCTTTTCCTCGGCAGAATAGTACACATGTGTTTGTGAAGAATTTCAATCAGTCAACAAATTCCCCAAAGGTCATTCGGGATAAAATCACTGACATGATGATATGCGATGTTACGCGGATGCCAGGTCTGCTTGTAATTAACACGCGAGCGTCGTGCGCCCGTCTCGGTGCGCATTCATGCGCCTTTGACGAACGTTCGATTATCCCCAATGACCCGTGACGAAACTGGCTTATTGTGAAGGTCTACTCTTCAAGGCTGTGAATGGCCTGCCTTTTTACATCGTATTTGCAGTCTATTTCTTCGAAATTTATATTCTAGCCATTAGATACCGATTTGTATTTCTCAAGAGTTGAAACACTAAAATCACTTTTTCAATTTGCAAATGTCATACCAAACGCACTCTGTACATGTACACCCACAGCAAAGTGTTAGTAAAAGTCCCTGCTTTTCCCAACACCTCTCCCTGTTAGCAATAGGAGACCCAGATGGCAATACCACTCTCAGACGCCTCGGCCAATAATGGACTTTCTCCTTTCACAGCGACCCTGATCATCTGATAGATAGGCCTATGTCTGGCTAATTCTTCCATCACTCTGTGCCCTTTATAATGGGGTTGTTATTCAGAGGCTCTGCTGATACGCTTATATGCTTGAGCGCACCAGCATACAAAAGGAATAATAGGTGATGCACTTAATATTCTTGGGTAAATCTTGTTGGGCAGTGGCTAAATGTGCCAAACCGCTTTCAACCATGGTCTAATTGTGGTCTGTTCTTACACTCTCTGTTCCCTGTAGACATGTTTTCACTGAAATAATAAGACTGTCCTCTAATTAAGAACAAGTTTTGTGTTGCAAATTGAGAAAGTTATTGTATGGTAAGAATGTGATGCAGACATGTTTATTGCAAGTGTGTACTGTTTTGTGGCTTTTATTGTTCAGTTACGGGCAAAATAAATGCAAGGTCCTCATGTTTACATAATCAGCCTGTGCTGTCAGAAAAAAATCATTGTTATTATCTGATGTGATAAAAAGGAGAACAGTGATCCTTTTTGTGTTGGGGGGGGGGAGTTGATTGCTCTGTCATATACTGAATTACTAAACCGTACGATTGGGGCAAAATGTCCTCATTTACCCATAAACAACATTTTATTTCAGGAAATTGTTGAAATTTGAATTTTTACAAAATCTGAAGGCTTCTGAATGTCATACATTTGCAGGAATTTATGTAGTTCTGCATTTATCTGCAACATATGCCAAATTTCTTGACGTTAAAAGTATTGACTTCATAATGACTTAACCTCAAGACAGAAATCTCCTCAGACATGTTATTGTCATTTAAAAAAAAAATTTAATTGTAATTTGTCTTCTTTAAACAACAACATCTGTAGGTGCATTTAGCTGTCTGCTAAAATGAGTCAAGACTGCGAAGTAGACAACACAGTGTACAGAGTGCGTGTGCATCCGGGCTCGGTGTGCCCTGAGCGGGGCTGGGTCTCCATCGAGGCCACCAAGCAGACTACCACCGCCGAGGCCCTCCGGCTGGTCCTGGCCAAGCTGAACCTGACCAACAACCACCAGGAGCGCTACAACTTGGCCGAGGTCTGCGAGGAGTCTGGCCAGAGCTGTAAGGAACGGCAGCTGGATCCGGAGGAATACCCGGTCAAACTGCAGCTTCTCTGGCCCAAGGTCCTCTCAGACGACGAATCGGAGGCTCCCTACTACTACACCAACTACCGCTTCTTCTTGCGCAGCATGCACGACACTCTGTCCAGCCGGGTCTCCAATGCCTCGGACTACCAAACCATCGACTCCTTTGTCAGTAACTTCTTCCCGCATCCCTCCACGGATAAGGAGTACCATGACTTGTGCAACCTCCCGGACCTTAACGAGAAGACTCTACTGGGCAACTTGGCCACTCGCTTCCGCCAGGGCAAAATCTACACTTATGTGGGATCCATACTCATAGCCGTCAATCCTTTCAAGTTCTTCCCCATCTATAATCCAAAGTATGTCAATCTCTACCAGAACCACAGTCTTGGGGAGCTGCCCCCGCACATCTTTGCCATCGCCGATTCGGCGTTCCACACCATGTTGGAGGACAAACGCAACCAGTGTATTGTCATTTCGGGAGAAAGCGGATCGGGAAAAACAGAGAGTACCAACTTATTGATACATCACCTGACTGCGTTGAGTCGGAAAGGGCATGCCAGTGGGGTGGAGCAGACACTGTTAGGTGCAGGACCAGTACTGGAGGTAGGTCATTCATGTAAATAATTTCCTTTTTACTATGACTTTGATTGAGACTTGAGGGTTTGCATGGTGGAAAGATCAATAAGTGAGAGGTTTGCGGTAACACCATGTGGAAGTATCCCTTTTGTGAGTATGTGTGGTTCTGAAGAGAACCTGTTGGTTTAACTCGACGTTTTGAACAGTATGCTCTGTTCGTTTCTCCTGATGACGAAGGAGCATACTGTTCGAAACGTCGAGTTAATCCAATAGGTTCTCTTCAGAACCACACATACTCGCAAAAGAGATAGTTCCACATGGTGTTACCACAAAACTCTCACTTATTGACTATGACTTTGGCAAAGTCTTTTAAATGTTTTTCAATGAACATGTTGTAGATCATCGATTCTGTTTAGGCCTATTACAAAAAAATTACATACATGGATATCTTTGAGTGATTAAACTGCAAAAACAACAACATGATTCATTCATGGAAGAGAAAACAAAGGGGAATTATTGACCAATGTAAGCATGGGTCTAGATAAATATTACTGACATTCTATATAAGTGAAGAGTGATCAACAGTTAAACCAAAACGAATGTTTCTTGTCAAATTAATTCTAAAACCCTCTACTCTTTTGGACCACAAAATGCAACTCACTCCTTTTATTAGAGTACCCATTCTCGGCATTCTGTGTTTAATGCATACATGTACTTTGTAAGAAGCATAATTGTTCTAAAAGGCAATTGACCCTTGTCAGCCCCAAATATGGATGTCTAACTTCCCCTCAGCATTTGTTCAATTAAAAACCACCCACGTCCACCATTGTGTGTTTGTACACTATCCCCCACGCTGCCAACACCTACACTATCCAGTTAACACATTGTCTGCAAGGACACAATCATGGACAAAAATCAAATCAAAATGGCAGGCCCCAATGGCCCTTTCCTCCTCCACAGTTTTAGTGTTATGAAAAAACTGGACAACCCCTAACCTTGACCCCACAAGGCTTTCAACCCTCCAGGAAAAAAAAGGAAATCTTTGTCTGTTATCATTCATCCATTGCCAGTGATAATATATGCACCCTGCAACCCAACCCATACAGTTCCAATCAGCGTTCAGCCAGACCCTTTTGTTGAGTATCAAATTCAGCGTGAAACCAGCGAAAACAATAATTGGAGGGTGTTCCTCCCCCCCCCCCCCTATTTATGGAAAATTGAAGCCACGCTGTGATACACTGTACAAAAGAAATGATTATTTTGTTCACAGAGATCGCGTTGTTGTGTTCGGCATACCCTTTGTATTGTGAATATCAGAGTTGTCGCTTAATGATCTCATTGAACAAAGGTGAAAGATGTTAAATGATAGTATTGTATCTACATGTAGTCAAGAGATAATTTTATTCGTTATAAAACAAAAATATATCGTATTTGACTGTCTGTTTGACCCAAAACAAAGCCCGGCTCTTGTTTCTGTACTTTGGCACTTTGGTACCGGTAGCACATATTGACAATTACAAATTATGTCAGTTTTATGACTAAAAGTAAAAACCAGTATCTAAGAATTATACCAGGCCTGAATATTCCGTCAATTTCAGGACCTTTGGTTTTATAGGCCACCCAACGCTATTCACAGTATCAGGCTTACTGTGGACATTTATAATGTACCAGGGAATGTTATAAAAACATTGATATTGATTTACTGCAGCCTTTCCGTGTTTTCAAACATTGGGTGATCGTTTTGATTTGGGCTAGGGTTTAACAGACCATGGAGGTAGAATTACTTGTGTAGATGGCTCCATCTGCTGTTTTGATGAAACAGAAATATGTGTATTTGGTTTCTGTTTTTGAAGATGGCTCTTTTATCTTCATGGAGACTGAAATAGTTATCCATTGGCAGTGTAAAAATAGGAAGAAGAGTATCAACTACACACAGCTTGCATTTCAGTTGAAGGAAATATACACATTTCAAATGAGGAATTGTAGGCCTATTTTTTGTGTGGCTAATGTACATGGTTCAGTACACCGATTTAAAAGTTGTATTTTGAAGAACATTGATTATTCATTTTGTAATATAAAAATGCTCTGGCGGTAAACAATTTTGGCAACACTCTGCTCAAACAATTGTCTATTGGTCTTACTCTCTATTTTACTTTGGTATACCTGTAACAGTTTTCAGGAATAATTAACATGTTAAATTATTCAATTAACCAATAAGTCACACACACAAAAATCGCATAGGGCAGACTTTTTTTTATTTCAAAATATACTTGATTTTAAATTTTGGCCTAACCCTAACCCTGCTGAATCCAACAGGATCCAACTATGTCACATACCCGATGGAGCCTGTTGGATTGAGCAGTTAACCCCTTGTGTACATTCCTGATGCAAAATGTTGGATTCAGCAGGCAACTGAACCGCATTGTAACGCCATGTTGGACTCCGTTGGATTCAGCAGACAACTGAAAATGAAGCACATTGCACAGAAAAGTCCGGTTGGACTCTGTTGGATTTAGCAGGGTTCCCCTGAGGAAGTTCTAGGGGGTTAGGGATATATATGACCGGTATGTGGCATTTTGAGATCGGCAATTTGGGATCAGCAATTTGGCCGCAAAAAAAAATCATGGTAGGTCGGGTTACATTGCACCATATACATTGTACATTTTTTTTGGACTCTCAGTTGGGTACAATGTACAAGTGCGGTATCTGTTAATTTTGAAACAAGTGGGGGGGGGGGGGGGGATGATATAGAAAGAAGTATTGTATTTGAATCTTGAACTGGAGAGCTGTCCCGAGATGAATCTTGAACGCTGCTTAGCACACAGCAACTCATGGAGCCTCGATACCTCCACCACCCACATGACATGTGTAGACAGGCTACCCTTTGTGGGCAGGAATGTCAAGACTTGTAGCAGATAGCTTTATTTATCTTATCAAAGGTTACTTGTCCCAACACAAGTATCTCAATCATGTCATGCACAGTATGTAGGCGTATACAATGTACATGTAGGCCGTGTGCTCTGGCATATTACAGATGTATACATGTATGCTTTCAGTGATCAGGCTAGACTTAGCAAAGCTTTGAGTCCAAAGCAAACTGTGTTTGCTATGAGCACTACCAGTGCGTTTTGTTTTAAAATATTTTGTTGAATGTGTACATAGAGAGAAACTATTGAGATGTGCAGTTTAATAAAAATAATATTAATAATTTAAAAAAAACCTTTCCGTTTCATAAAGACGTCATAAAGCACTGTACAATTAAAAAAAAAAATTAAGAAAGAAAGATAAAAATAGTCATAAAACAAAACCAGTTAATTAAAAATAATTAACAATTCAGTAATCAATTGTGTCAAAAGATGTGTTTGATGTCAGTTTTCAGTTGTTCCATGCTAAGTTTGAGGAAAGGAGAAATAAATGAAACTTGGAAAGAAAAAAACCCAACATGGCTACAGCAATTACAATACAACAATAAATTTCAAGGAATCCACTTGTACATTTAGTGTAAATGTATTCCATTTACATGAACCTTCTATAAACTAACCCTGTAGGATTGTTCTGGGATTTTATTGTTCATCAACAAAATATTGTTTCATCACAAAATAGGAATGGTATTGAAATGACAAGTGGCCTTTAGGTCCAATTCATGTATGTGTACAGTATACATTGTTGGAAGTTCCCAGTGGGATAATTACACACTGTAGAGTATATGACAGCCCCCCCCCCCCTTTTTTTCAATTACGGAAGCTGCCGAGCAGTCTCTTATCGTTGATTGAAACCTCCCATCATGTTCCCTGTGGTCTGATGAAAGGAGTTTTTATCAGTCGCCATCCAAACAATATGGCATCTCTCAGGAAAAGAGGAGGAAAATTTTTGTGGGTTAATCCTGTGCTTGCACTGGGGCGATTATCAAGAGACAACATGCTGGGAGAGCTATACCTGTAGGGGCCAGATATTTCCAAGCATCCTGTGCAGTGTTGGCTCCGGTAGTATCAGCTGTCAGCTACAGATGAGTCTAGATAGCTGGGTGAAATGGATGGCAGTATCGTATGACGATAGTCATGATACATGTACCATGATGCAGTGTATTTAGGTCCTCTTTTTGAGTCCAACAGAAATAAATACAGCTTGCATGGCCGCAAGAATTGGGGCTTCTGATCATGGATAGAAAGCCCAGTATTTATACGTGAAAGGCGCTATTCCTTCCTCCATGATAAAAGGAACACTGTTCATGTATTCTGAAAAAGTCCAAGTATTTTCAGAAGGACTTGGGCTCGAGTCTAAGCCCAAATCCTGCTGCAAAAATGTTTTCAATGTCTTGCATACATGGATGGTGTGTCGGCTGTCTGTCCAAACATATCGCGTCTCAGCTAATGAATCCATCCAGTCAGCAACATAAACATCATGAGGCATGAGTTCTTATGCTTGATTTGCAATGGAAGGCCACATTTCAAAATTCTTGTGGACTGCAGGGGAAGGGGTTTTCCTCCAACACTTTATCTACAAATAGATTAATTGTGTTGTTTTCTTTGCTGTTAAAGGGAAAATACAACATTTGCAAACATCAAAAAATAAAACTACCAAATCATTTTGAAATACCTTGCTGGACTGTTAGTGAATGACAGTGTAAAGCATCCTGTAAAATCATGGCACCTGGTATACTGTCATTTTCAAGAAAAGTGGTATTTTTGTATCAATTTCCAACGCTGATCGGCCGATCAGCGTTGGAAACAACTGGCTTTTTTTCAAATACTGGCCCCAATTGACCATCGCACTTGTTTGCAATCGATTACAAACCTATGAACGGGTACGAGCCAGCTAGACTGGTTCCCTGACCTTACAATTCCCCAATGTATGTAAACTGCTCTCTTTCTTCTTATATGGAGTCAGGGAACCAGACTACAGGAAAATGATCGTTTTTCTTGGTTTTTATAGCATTTTCGAACCCAAAACCTCAAAAAAGTCAGTGTAACTATATTTGCTATATATTTCCAACCCCCCAATTCCATCCATTTCTGAAAATTACAGCA